GATGTACAGTTCTGTTCCCTGCACTTATAAGGGGTTTTTTTTTTAAGTGCAAATGCGGCAGTTCCTATGACTGGGGGTAGGGGTGAGAGGGCTGAAGCAGCTCCCTTTGAAGATTATTTTGACAGCTGGGAAGGGTTTAGAACAAGGGCAAAGGGGGGACCTCAAGGTGCATGCAATGATGCCTGGTGTGCGGAAAGTGAGGCATTTGTGGGAAAAGTCTTCCCATGGTGACTAGTCCTCATGATTCTAGGTTGCCTCCCATATCAGAGGTAGGTACCCCATATCAGGTACCCCAGCTGCTGAGGGTTCTAGACCAGATGAGCCCTCAGCCTGCTCTAGGGCAGCTTCCTTTGTTGGCTTGTCCTCTGTGCAAAGCTGAGGTTCCAGCTTCTCTTGAAAGGGCAACAATGATGGGAGAAAACGGCTCTGTACAGAGTGAGATTTAAGAACTCCCATCCTGTTGCAAACGCCCCTTTCTTGGGGAAGGTTCTTGAGGCTGTGATGAGGTATCCACAAGCTCTCATGGAGGACACTATCCAGACCCATTTCAATCTAGATTTCCTGGTTATGGGCCTGGATCTGCCTTGATCCCTCAACGGATGGCTTTTATGAAAAGAGAGGCAACAGAGTGTGACCCTCTTAATTCTTCTTGAAGATAGTATAAGCTTCTAGTCCTCACTGTCCTGGAAGGTGATTCTTTCCACCAGTCCACGTGGCCCAGTGCTGGCAGAAAGCTGCCAGGCTTCAGACAGGGCAGGTCTTGTCCCTCTGCCGCTTCCTGATCTTCTAAGGTGGAAAATCCACTGCAGTTTGCTTATTTTGGCTTTTGTGATTTGCCAAAACTCTCCTTCTCTGAGTATCTCTCCATCATTCCCTGCCACGCCTTTCTCGGCCTGTAGAACTTTTGGTCTTCAGACAAGGGCTTAGATGCGGGTCATCTCTAAAGGGACATATACTTGTGCATAGGAAAAAGACTCAATTAAGTCTCCTGGCTGACCATTTTGTCCCTCTGCCTTCCCCAGACAGGTGGGACCAGAATGGCAAACATCCCCCAGCCAACAGAAATAGGGGAAGAGCAAAAACCCTACCAAGTCGTGCTAATGAAAGCTGAAGATGGCATTCCCTCACAAAAGGAACATAACAAGGCCATGACGATTTTGTAGAGCGCATAACAGGAATTGTCTCTGGTCATAAAGAGTTTGAAGGTCATAATTAGTTTGAGTTTGAAGGGGCCCATCCAGTCCCTGCTTGAGCTGGACTCCAGCTTAAAGTATCCCAGACAGATGGCTGTCCAGTTTCTGCCTGAAAACCTCCAGCGATGGAGAGTTCACAGCCTCCCTGGACAGAAGTTCCTCTGAGCTCTGGCCAACTGCCTTCCTTTCCATTAATCCCAGCTTCATGTCCTACCCTGCAGCCCTCTTCTGCATGACAACCCTACGGGCCCCTGAAAAGTGCCTCTCCCCTCATCGTCTCTTCTTGGGGCTAAACCTACCCAGTTCCTTCCATCTTTCCTTGCGGTTTCTTGTCTCCCAAGATCTTTTTTGCTCTCCTCCAAACTGGTTCCAGTTCATTTGAATCCCTCCTAAAGTTGTTATATGGCTGGAGAGCTTCATGCAGAAGCCGAAAGGCCCTCTGCTGAGGATTCTGGGTTCCCTGCCGTGAGCACAGGCTGGACTAGAGGGCCTCCCAGGCTCCCCTCCACTTCTAGGATCCTATGAGGCCCACTGCATCCCTTTGGCAAATGAATCTCTGGGAGCGATTCCAGTGAAAGTAAAAACTGCCGCTGTTTAGTATGCATGAGAGAGAAGCGCTCCCCATCTTCATTAGGAAGGAGCATGAAAGAAATTGCCTTTAACGGAGACTGAGTGATTACATTGATCACCAGTGGGAGAAACCGTCAAGCGCCAACCGAGGGATGGAAAGCTGTGGCATCCACGTGGATCCTCATGGATCACGTTTCCTGCGACTGCCTCAAACCCACTCATCTGGAGGGCTCCTGCTCGGGGCAGGCTGTATGACACAAGCCCCTCTCCTCACCTGTTCTCACGAAAAAGTCCCTAAGCTGGCTCCCTTGTCACTGGACCTGAAAAAGGGCACTGCAGAGTGAGGGAAAGCACAGGCAGCCAAAACTGATCAGGGACTGGAGCAATTCTCCTATGCAGAAAGGCCGAAACACCTGGGCTCGTTTAGCTTAGTAAACAGGCAAGTGCAGGGAAGACAGGACAGGGGGAGACTGGATGATGCAAGCGATGGAGAAAGCGCAGAAGCAGGTTCTTCCCGCCTCTCCCGTAGTACACATGGTTGGTCAGTCCCTGTGCAGCAGGCTCTCAATCTGATCCAATAAGGCCTTCAGCAGGGTTTGAACTATGCGGGCAAATAATGCTAGGCCAGTGGCAAGCTTAAGGACCCCCTTTAAAACATGCTTGAGTGGGCAATTTGTCCTCATAACAAGCCTGTGACAAGCCGGTCAGGCTGAACAGTGGCAGCTGGCCAGGGGAGACCTGCTGAGCCTCAAAACTCCATGCAAGAGCCGAAACCAGTGCTCTAACCAATATACCACACTGCCTCACCTTCCTTCAAGTATCCGGCTCCCTCACCAGGGAAAGCCAATGCCAGCACTCTACACTGGGAGTGGAGACAGGCCATGGTCCTGACTCTGTGGCAAGGCTCCCACGGGGAACCGGCTCCTTTAAGGCTGCACAAAACCCAGCAAATCGATTTGAATAGACAGCTCACTGTCAAAGTCAGATGCTGCCATCTGCTGGCCAAATTTTATAGAGAGCAGGTGTGCCTCCCCAGGTTGAGCATTGGGGAGGGGACACCGGAGAACCTAGCCCCTAAAAATCGCCTGCTCATCCTTTTTTCTTTTCTTTTCTTTTTTCTTTTCTTTTTTCTTTTCTTTTCTTTTTTTTCTTTTCTTTCTCCCTCCCTCCCTCCCTCCCTCCCTCCCTCCCTCTCTCTTTCTTTCTCTTGGTAGCAGGCTGCCTCCAAAGTTGCTCTTCCATGCTTTCCTCCACCCACCCTCACCACCCCTGCCCCCTCTCTTGGCATGGCTGACCAGGCAGGTCCTGCTGCGGCCAGAGGCTAGGCTGCTGCCCACCACTGCCCCAGGGTGCAGCTCAGAAAGGGGCTGACTTGGCCCACCTCCTGAAAGCAGCCAGCCAGCGTAGGAGGAGCTGCAAAGTTCCCAGTTGCCTCGCCTCTGCATTTGACTGGACATATAGAAACACAGAAACAGAGCGAGTCAGAAGGGGCCTCCCAGGCCACCTAGTCTGACCTCCAGCACCAACCGGCTCCGCTCACAACATGCCCACCATGTGGACATCCAGTCTATCCTTGAACACCTGCACCGATGGGGCCTCAACGAACTCTCGCTTGATTTTTCTTGCGACCTCAAAGCAGCTGGCCTCATTCTCCCCATCCTGCTCTCAGCCTTATGCCCACAACAACCCTGTGAGGCAGGTGGGCTGTGAGCCTGGGCCTAGCCCGGCGTCCCCAGCTGGCTTCATGGCCGGGCAGGGACCAGAACCCAGGCAGCCCGAGCCCCAGCCCTGTGCTTGTAACCGCCTTGCAGTGCTGGCTCTCTAGGAACGTCAGTTCCCACCGTGAGTAGAGCAAGGCAGGCACGGTCAGGCCGCAGCCTCCGCAGCCAGGAGGGGACATACAAAATATGCCACTGCCTCCATTGCAGGGCCACCAAAGGTGCTGCAACCGCCATGAGGCTCCGGAAGCACTACCGTTCCAGCTCGGAGGTGTAGGCTTAGCCACCCAGCTGCAGCGACAGGGACTGCAGTTATCCACAGGCAACACCAGCGCAGCGAAAGCGATCACGCCTGGGCCCGCAAGAGCCCCTCAGGCGGCCAGCTGGGAGGACTGGGCAGACGGTGTGGGGCGCCTGCGTGGTGCAGCACTCTGCATGCTAGACTGGGTCCTGGGAAAGCCAAGCCAAGCCTTTGCCCTGCCGGGTGATTTTGGGTCTGTCTCTGAATCTCTGCCCTAGCCTACCTCACAGGGTTCGTTGCTGCCAAGGTAACATGAGGGGGGAAGGATTATGTAGGTCCCTTGCAGGAGAGAGGTCGAATAGGACTATAATTAATAAAATAGAAAAATATTATCACCCCAACACAGCCCAGTGTGAACTGGATCTGCTCAGTGGCTGTGAAATGGGTGTCAGGGGTGGGGGTGCAGAGAGAAAGATAACTGGGGAAAGGGTGTTCCTGGAATGGAAGGGGTCCTGGCCGGCTGCACCCTGAACCATGGGTCCTCAAACTACGGCCTGCAGGACGGATCCAGCCCGTCCTGCTCCCCGCTGCCTGTGCACACACTTGCCCGCTGTGCAGGCAGGAGGTGGAGGCTTGCTCACTCGCCTGGAGATGGCTTTGAACTTGCTGCCATTTCTCCAAGCGAGCGAGCGAGCGGCCTCCGCTCGCACCCGACGCCTCACTGGCCCGCGTGCCCAGGCCCCCCCCCCACGTGTGCAGCCACCGCCTTTCAACTGGCCCCCTATTGAAAAGGTTTGAGGACCCCTGCCCTAAACCATTAGGTCAAACCTGCTGGCATTTTGGCCCCACCCCTCAACTTCAGCCCTGCCCCCTGCCAGAATGCAGACCCCGAGACTCACTCCATGATGGACTGCGCCCCTCTGGCTGCAAGCAGCTTCCCACCCGTGCTTTAGCGCTATCCTGGCTAGCAGATCTGTGGTAATGAGGGGTGGGAGAAAAGATGCCCGCTCGTGATCAGGCCTTCGGAGCACTACAAGGCCCCTGCTCCTGCTGGGGGTGGCACACGGAGGCTGCCAGATGTGATTTTAGCACGTCCCAGCTGTAGCAGGAGGTTCGCTGAGCTGGCCTTGGAGTTCCAGTCATTATTTCCCGGCAGGTCCAACAGTGCCTGGCCGGGAAATAATGTTATACTAAAACACGTCAATGGCAGCCTCAAGTTTATCCACAGAATTCAGGGAATAAGTTCATTTTTTAAAAGGAGGCACACTGAAATTGGGCTAACTTTAGCACGCGCTTCATTAGTCAGATGATGGGCAGACATCAGAGAAAGGGCATGTGATGGATTTCCGTATCACCCGGTGACCTCCAGCTCTGCCAAAAGACAAAGCTGGGTCATGCAGCTTTTCCTCCCTCGGAAAGTCTCAGAGAAGGCTGGAAAATTGCCCAGGGGAGCAGAGCGCCTGTCTTGCCTAATGGAGATTCATCACCCAGCGTTAGTTTGCTGGCTCTTGCCATAACTCACTGCTGCTGAGGCAGGGGAGAAAAATACCCCATCAGCGGAGCCTTTACAGAGAGGCCGCCGGTGATGCGGGGGGGGGGGGGCGAAAAGGCAGCTCCAGACGACAGCTGCGGGAGGCAGAGGGTCTCACACAAGCCTGGGCTCCATTCTGAGCATTGTTCACCTCTCCTTTATCTTTGTAAAGCCCTAAAATCCATCTCTGGTAGCCATGCACCGCCATCGCTGCAAAATCTTGCAGCCACCTCTTTTGCTGAGTTCCCATGGGTTGTTTGTTGTTTTGCACTTCACCCATTTCGAGCTCCACCCCACCCACAGACTCCAGCTGTCCAAGTGTTTTGGACCATTTCCCTCCTCTGACCATTGGCATTGCTGGCTGGGGGTTGTAGTGGACGGGCCGGGGGAAAGGCTAGAGAGCACGATTCAGGCAGCAGGCCCACGGAAGCAGGGCCTGTGGGTCTTTGGCACCAGGTCCCATCACTGCAACGCCTTCAATGTGCTAAAAAGACCCATTTATTTATTATGGCTTTCTCTCAAGTAAGATTTTATTGGGATTTTATTCTGTTTTCACGGTGATTATTTACCGATTTCACAGTTGCGTTTTAATGGACTACATTTGCTGTTCTATTGTTGCTCCTGGTTCGTATCAGTCATTTGCTTTACGGAATGGCTTTTAAAACGCATTGTGCTCATGTGCTGCTCTTCTGTTTTTCAGAAGCTGCCTTGGGAAGGACTTATCCAAAAAGGCAGCATGCAAACTCTAAATTAATTAGAAATGCCAGCCGCTGGGATGCTCTCCATTCAAGCTCCAGAACCTGTGAAATCTGAAACAATTCAGTGCCCTGACAGGTTTAGGAGCTTCAGAGGGGATAAGAATTCAAGCTACTATTTCAAAGTGCGGCAACCCCTCTACACAGAAAACTGCACCAACCATGTGCAAGAGAGAGACGGTAGTGGAGTCGAGAGAAGCAAGTGGATTCCAGAAACAAAAACATGCACAACCTAGGCGCGGGGAAGGGGGTAATTGAGAAAAGATTGTAAACCAGATCCACACCCTCCCACCCCCGTACACTCACTGGTTATAGAAATGCTAGCCAGAGAAAGAAAAAATAGATGGGGAGGAGGAAGAAGACATTTAATGGTGTATCAAGGAGAGGGAAAGCAATGGAGCAACCAGAAAGGGATCTGGCCAGTCAAACAGGAATTCTCCTCGCTGCAATCTCTTTGTTGCAAGACCCACCAATACTGAGCACTAGAAAATTCTTACCACTTTCATCCAGCCTAAATAACAATTTACTCTTCATCTCTGCGAACATTCTGCCCTGCACTCTCTCTTCTGAACTCGACCGCGCTGTGTGCCATGCATAGCAAAGCAATCCCAGGGAGCCCCAGCCAACACAGATGGGTTGACACACAGACAGATGGGCTGGGAACTCTGCCGGAGACCGTGGTGACACGGACGCCAGTTTCTCTAATAGGATGAGCTTTCCACGGGAACAGAGGGGAGTGTTCAGAACTGCAGGCCTTTAACTTCACTCAGCCTGGCTCTCCAGCTGCCCCCACACCAGAAGAACCCACCCACACCAATTCATCTCACTGTCACGAGACACCCTGGCAGGATACGCACGAAGAACTGAAAGCATCAAGGCTACCTGCCTGCTTGGCCTACGGGGGCCTAGATGACCGACTCAAAGTGAATGCAGGAATGGCAAAAAACCCAGCTCCCTCGTGTCCCTCGCTTCTAAGTTCCACTCAGACAACAAGCAGATGAATGCCACAAGCCAAACAAAATCCCAGCTTGATCAACTCAGCCCCCAACAGTTCTCTGCTTACTGCAGCCTGCTGTACTGGGGAGGGGAGGGAAGTGAGAGAGCAGCCCATGGACAGAGGCTCAGGCCCATCTGCCCACTGGCCAGCCAAACTACATCCTGGGTTCCATCCCACTTACAGCCAAGCAGCTGGGTAGGGTTGGCCGGGATGGGTCAGAATCTCTCCCTCTGTTCTGCTTGCAGATTCCAAAGCCAGGGCCTGGCTCAGGTTCCAGCACCACCCAAGAGAGATGGTTCTGCAGGCACTGCTCCATTGCTGGGCCCTCGCCCCCTCGAATACTGCAAGAGGAACCTAATTTGAACTCATTGGAACTGCTTGTGAGGCAAGGCAGGGAACAGTTCATTAGTGGTGGGTGGAACCCGGCTGGGACACCGTCACCCGAGGAAACATAACGCCGCGACACCAATTTTGCAGCGGATGCTCCATGGATTGAAGCCGCCAGCTGTGCTTAGGAATGCAGCTGGAGGGCTGGAAAGTATCTCCACACAAAAAGGGCAATTGACTGGGAGAGGGCTGGTGGGGGTGCTGAGCCCTTCCGTCCAGGAATGATCAGTCGCTTTCACTTTCCCCGCTGGCAGAGTATGCTCCCAGAAGGCTGAGGGAAGAGGCTCCTGGTTTTGAACTGGAATAGAATGCGGCATCCTTGAAGGCATCATCTGCATTGCAATTCCCAGCACCTAGGAGCAGACGGAAGCAACGTGAGGGCCGGGCCGGCAGAGGCGTGCGAGTGGGAAGGTCGCACAGACAAGCCTTGCCCTGGCTTGGGCCCCTGAGGCTGCCGGGTTGCAGCCCCATCATTGATGGCTGCAGAGTCGTGGAAGCTGCCGCCCATCATCATCTGGGAACCCACAGCTGGGGAAGTCCGTACGAAGAAAGGGTTTTTGCCCAGGCAGCTCTCCTCTCCTCTCCTGAGTTCCCTTCCAAGACGAGGCGGCGCCTACAGCTGGGTCTGCAGAATGCTGTGGGCTCAGCCCCAGCACTGCCAGTGGAAGGCTGCTCAGCCCAAAGTCTGCATCCCAGGCACAGCAACTCCCAGCGGTAAAGAGGGAAGGCTCCCACAGCACAGCACCCTGCCGCTGAAGTTTCTTGCTTGCTTCTCACGAAGCAGCCACAAGGTGTCGTGGTTACAGTGCAGGGCCACGCCTCAGGCCCTGGGGCTCAGGCGCCCCACCCCTGAATTTGCGGGGACAGGGACGACCCCAATCCATGCTTGAGGCCGCCAGCTGGAGCAGAGGAGCCTGGGCATGGAACCAGTCGCTCTTTGCCGGTATCCGGTCTGGGGACAAGGCAGCCTGTCTCTCCCCTGCTTGCAGCCCTCCCAGCGCCCTCCCTCCCACGCCCCAGCACCTCCCACAGTACCTGATCCAGGCGGTGTACCCGGGCTTCCTGTTCCATTTACGAGGCCAACGCCCACTGGCTTCTTCACAGCAACCAGCCCCGAGAGCTTGGCCATGTGGGGCAGCCGGCCCACGCTCCGCTCCCAGCTTTCTCCCTTCAGCTTCTTCGCTTGTGGCCCTGGATCCTGAGGCAGAGCCGGGGGAGATACAAACAGATTGGAGATGTCTCAGCTTCAAGAGTTGTGGCCTGCACAAACTGCAATTGCCCACACACTCAGCTGGAGATCCTTCCACAACACAATGCCCCAGGAGATTCTTGTTTTAGCACAAACACAGTATTTACTATTTCAAAACCAATAAATCAATAACGTCTTTTTTCCAGATTCTTAATTCAGTGCTGGGAGCATAACCCCCAAGTCAGTGATTTGCTCCTTGTGGATATAAACACCATCTAAATAAGGGTGTGGAGATTATGGTCCCCCGGAAGTTGGTGGAATACAAAGCCCAGTATATACAAAACCAATAGCAATCCTCACAATATGCCACAGAATCCTACAACATCCAGAGGGCTGCAGCTTCAGTGGCCCAAGATCGAAAATAAATTCTTACCAGAGACGCCATTATACACAAAGTGTTCTGTCCAACTCTGTCTCTCCAATCATGGGTGGAGGGGGGGAGGCCTTTGATTCAGTAGAAGCTTCCAAGAATAGAGTATGAGGGGAGAAATCTTGCCAATTCCCTGCTCTCTCCTCCAGCCTGCCCACATTGGTCAGAGGGCCCTGCGCCACCTGAGTGGCAGGAACTCTGGGAAGAAAGAAAACTGCCCCCTCTTTCTTCAATTCCAGATGCCTCTGCCAGACCAAAGGGCCTTCCTCGAACAAAAGGACAGCACTGGGACCAGTCTCACATGAGTCTGGTGTAAGTGCCTGGTGGTTAGAGTAGCACACCAGGAACACAGATGAGGCAGGTTTGAGCCCCCACTCGGCCCTATTGCTCACTGAGTGACTCTGGGCCAGTCATGGACTCTCTGGCTCACCTACCTCAAAGGGCTGTTGTTATAAAAATCAAGTGGAGAGGGGGTAAAGGGTTAGACACCTTGGGGTCCCTGCAAGAAGAAAAGGGTGTTCTCAGGGGCTAGGGATGGCTTGGCATCCCCCTCCAACTCATGGGTAGTGTTTTCTACCCTTTTGGAAGGGAGCCAGTACGGCGTAGCAGGAAGATGTTTGGACTGGGACTTGGGAGTTTATCCCAAAGCTCATTGGGCAAGTCTGGGCCAGCAGCTGATCCGTAGCCTAATCAGGTTGCTGTGCGGATATCATGGAAGATAAATTATTGTTACATTTCTATACAGCCCACAGCCGAAGCTCTCTGAGACATTTAAGTCCCCCATCCAGATTCCAGCCAGCCCCAGCCACGCTTAGCTTCCAAGATTAGGCAGGATCAGGCACTCTGGGCTATGCAGAGGCATGTAAACCCCACAGGGGTCTTTTCAAGGGAAAAACAGGCAGGGGAGGGCACGTCCTGAAAAGTGATTTAAACAGCATGGTTCTGCCACAAATGGCATGAAGGAAAAGGGATGCATAGGAGGAGGTTCTCTCAGGGGGAGAACAGCCCCTGCAGATGGGGCAGCCTGGCCCGCACAGCAAAACGGGGCCCTGTGATTGTTCTCAGACCTCAAGACGTACCTCCTGCAGGATGTCCGTGGGCTTCATTCTGGTAAGGGATTTTGCGGGTGTTGGAGCGGGTTCCTCATCTGAACTGGAGTCCTCCAACATCCGCCTGATCTGGGCTTTCTCCAGCATAGCTCTGGGCAAGAAAGTGGAGAAAGGGCAATGTAAGAGACCAGAAACATCGGAACACCGCAGGGTGCAGGGGGTCCCAGTCTCTGTGGAGGTCGGCACTGCCCCAGGAACGTGCAGCTGTCACCCCCTAGTTCAGCCACAGCACCACTCTTCAGAAGAAACTAAAGCTCCTGCATCTATCACGATATTGTTTATCTAATGAATACAGTGGTGAAATAGCAATGCAGATCATCAGTAAACAGGCAAAAGGAAAGCTACCGATGTCTTTTCAGCCACAGGGCTTCCTCCCGTGACAGAGGTTGCTCCTGGGGAGCAAGATCCACAAACACCTTGCGCACTCCTGGGTCCAGGCAGAAATCAATGAGCAATGCCCCTTGCCCTGGATTTTCGGTAGTCCCTCTCTCCCGTTTCAGAGCCTGCCTCTGCACGCGCTGTCTCCCTTCTTGCACATTATCATTCAACCTGTCTCTATCTGATTAATGTGAACCTACAGGGAGATGGCCTTGGCTACGTCCTGCCCCTGGGGTAATGCAGCAGCAGGCCAGAACATCTGGAGTGCGACAACTCCTTGGCTGGGAAAAACACTCCACACAAGGAAGAGCTTCCAGTCCAGGAGACAGACCATCCAAAATCCTGCACGGTAAATACTCTGCAATGGCAGGGCTGAGGGGGAGGGCTGGTGAGCGCATCACCTTCTCCAAAGCGGAAAAACCAACAAGGGCCAAGAGGGCTGCAAATGCCCAACTGAGCTCTTTTCCCTTTCCCCTCCACACTCCTGCCCCAGACCTGTGTCCTACTTTTGCCCTCTTCTCCAGGTTTTAACAATTGATTTTATATTTGGATAGTATTTATATTGCTTTCAACTTTAATGCATTTTAACTTATTGATATCTGACCATGGCTGCACATTTCTGTTTTATTGTACATTATTTTTATTGCTGTTATTTTATGTAATATTATTATTTTATATAATACTGTCATCTGCTTAGAAATGCTTTGGACTAGTATAGTGGAATGTAAGTTGAATGAATTTTTGTCCATGTACCCACCTGTCAGTCACCACAAAATGGATTTTTTGCGGGTGGGGTGGGGGTGCCCCAAAAAGCAAGACAAAAGATGCTTTTTTTTTTTGAAGTGAAGGATGGAGAAATGAAGGATGGGGAGCTTTCTAAGTTCATAAAAACAGAGACTGCCACCCATCAACATTGTGGGGCACCCCCCGAACCAGCCGGTGCCACCCCCACAGGTCCTCACTTCATCTCCTGCTCATCCTCCTCCTGCTCCCGCTCCCGCTGCTGTTCCTCGTAGTCCTTGCACTGCCGCAGCATGGCCTCGAAGTCCACGTGGGCCTGCCGCTGGTTCAGATCCTTCAGTTCCTGCAGGTTCTCCAGGACCTCCATCTCGAGCTTGGAGTCCTTGGTTCTGTTCTCCAAAACCTGACAAGTGGAGCAGACATACCTGTTCAGAGGCTGAGAATCTGTGGACTGGCGGCGGGGGTGGGGTGAGAATTTGGAAAGCAAAGCTGGACATTTGCATCTTTGCCACTTCTCCCTGTTCCCTCTACCCCTTCTCTGTGCTGCTCCAGTGGGCAGAGTTTGGCTAGACATTAGAAGCCTCCTAGCCATAACAGCCTTTTGACTGGCCCACCAGCGAGAGTCAGTGGGATATACTGTTGGTTTATTGCAGGAAAAAGGCAGAATATAAATAAAATAAATAAAAGAAAAGAGAAACCTATTAGGCTAATGGGAGAAGGCCTTCTCAGTGGTATCCCCACATCAGCTTAGAACTCCCTCTGCAAGGAGACAGATATGCACCAGCTCATCACTGCAAGCTTTCAAAAAGAGGAAACGGGAAGACTTATCTATTCCCATCTGCATTCCGGGCTTTCAAGGCAATGGCTGCCTGTGCAGACACATGTATGCGCTTGACTGAAAACCTTTAGAATCACGAGGTCTAGAAACATGAGCCAGTCAGCACTGTGTGCGCTTTTGTGTGCATGGAAGCACAATCATAATATGGTTGCTGACCCCGGTTCTGCTTGGAAGAACATAAGGCAGGCCTTCCTTCCACAGGGAGGGGCAGGTGGCAAACCTTCATGGGGTTGTTCAGCTCCTCATCCTCTCTCTCCTTCTGCAGCCGCTTCTCCTCCTCCTCCAGGAGCTTCTCAGCCTGGAAGTTCCGAGTGGCCCCGTGCTCCATGGCGTAGTCCGTGTTCTCAGGGTCTGTCTGCAGGGGGAAGGGTGCGCAAAACATAGCAAGGCAAGCAGGGTGAAAGAAGAGGCCACACGTTTAGGGCTGAGCCCTGCCTTGGGCTGAGCCACCAGTCAAGGAACCAATCACATATTGCCGGCTGGCTGTGCCTCTGGATGGACCTGAAATCATCTTCAAAAAAACCTTTGGCAACTGCAAAAGAGAGAGCACTCTTGGGGCAAGGGCCTTGTCGTGGTGGCACCCCCCAACTCAGCAGCACTGTGCCCCCAGGAACATCGCTCAGGCACCTAAGGCTGGCACCCCCCCAAGCCCCAGCTGCTGGAACGCAACAGCGAAAAGGGGCTGTTTGCCAGCAACGCAGAGCAAAGATTGGGTTAGCTGGGAGAAACTGCCCAGAACCTCCCGCCAATTATCTTCTATCACCTGAGGGAGGCAGCAGGAAAATTTATTTATCTGGAATTTTTGTATGCCATACCTTTCGCATAAGCCTCGCGACGGCTTCCAACATCATAAATAATCATACAGATAAGTACATATAAAATTTGGATTCATCCTGGCTAAAAATTTTAAACCAATAAATAAATAATATTAACAATTATTAAAATATCATTTAAATAAAAAGGTCTTGGCCTGGTGCCAAAAAACAAATAACAACGGCGCCAGGCGGACCTCTCTGGAGAGTGTCTCCCTCTCCTCTTTCCCAGCACCATGTATAGCTCTGTGCCTTTTTTCCTAAGCTTAACAATCCCAGTGTTTGTGATCTTCCCTCATACAGAAAGTGGTTGCTGCAGTTGCCCTTCTCTGCAGTTTTCCCAACTCTATGACACCCATTTTAGGCGGCCTGTTTCCACAGGTTCTCTCTCTATTCACAAACCAGCCACTTTTACTTGACCAACAGTGACAGCATTTATTTTGAGCTGTTTTAAAAAATAAAACAAACAGGAACTTTGGGGTTTTTTTCCAAAAAGATTTTTCCAGCATACTAAATACTCAATGAAACACAGCCCAAAATGGTTCAAGAAAGACCATAAATTCAACAGAATCTGGAAGAAGTAGTGAGACCGGGTTATAAAATCTTCAACCCACAGTATTTTAGTGACATGTGGTGGGAGAGGCAGATATCTTTGGCCTTGGATGGCCAGGCAGCATGTCTAAATGACAGGTACCACACTGCACAAAAGGTTTCTAGTTTTTCAAGGCCTCTAATGCTAATTATGTGAGCTGGTCCATTAATCAGCAGTCCTGCAACTGGAGAGGATTTTAAATACATAGTTCATTTGTCATTTTATTGGGTGTGGTTGTCTGTTGTTTTGTTCCTATTCTTTTCCTTCCCCATCCTGATGCTTTTCAGAAGTTTTGGGTTCTGATCCCCAGCATTCCTGACCCTGGGAAGGCATCAGGTTGGGAAAGGTGGTTTACTGCCTCTAATCATGTTTTTTTATTATTTTTGTCAACTGCATTGGGGGGGAGAGAGAAAAGGAGAGATCAAAAGATGTCTGACCTTGAAAGTGATTTCTGCAAGACAGCGGGTACACTTGATATAAAACCGGAAAATAGGAAGCCCCAAGTAAGATTCATTTTGGACTGTCTCCTTCCGAGCGTTGAACTTTTTGCCTTTGTAGATGTATTCACCACAAGTCTTGCACCTGTAAGGGTTAAAACACACAAATATGGACATCTTGTAATCCATAAGGCTTCAAAGTCCATGTCAAGGCCACTGGGAAGAGTCTGTATCACTTTTGAGCCAATGTTATTCCCTGAAGCATACCTAATTAACCATACTTTCCTGTTTCATCTCAACTAAGAAGCTACAGTTAGCAGGTTTGAAACAAGACATGAGAATAAAGCAATATCAGAATGTGGTTTGAGCTAAGAAGAAAATTAATTAGCAATATTCTAGTTTAATCATGATTATGGAGAATCAAAGGGACTTGGTACAGGAGTGAAAGATTTGAGCATATCTCAATAAATTAAGATATGATTGTCTGCACCAAGTCTCTGAGAAAGGCAAAGTAAAAACATAGCGCCCAAAATAGACTTTTCACAACAGTAAGGAGCAAATTTTTTTTATTCTGAGGCTTTGACACTGTTTTAATGGTGCAGATCATCACTATTTTGCTGTAATATAATTTTGAGACACACAGAAAGATGAAATTAAATGCCACCTTTGTAAAGGTTTAAAAATCTGTTTACATTCAAGCTGGCAACAAACTGAGGCGACTCTCCATTTTTCTTCTCTCCCAGATAAACAAGATTATAACACCTCATGGTACCTCCCACAGAAAGGAATTGAGGGATATCACTGGTCCATGGAACGTTAAAAGTTTTCAAGGTCAACATAGTTCTGAGGAGTCTTTTGCTTACCGCATGTTAAAAGGAGCCATCAGCCGGACCACATACTGACGGTCCTTTGGAAGTTTAAGTTTGGGGATTTTAGATGGATCAAAATCCGGCGGGTAGTATTTCTAGAAAGATGAGTTACAGGAAACAGTAAACCATTTTCACACATTCCACAACAGGCACTCTGATTGCATTTGCAATAAAAATAACCCTGGAAAGTAGGTTAGGCTGAAAATCAAGGGCAGACTCTAAGCACTAGGCCACACCACTCTTTCCCAAGAAACCCCACCGGTTGGGCAGCCCCAGGACATATGGAAGACACCTTCTGTACCAACACACCAGGGTCGGTCGTGGGTGATGGGGTTCTAGTCCAGCAAATATAGGCTTTGCATCGCAGCATGTTGTGGTGGGGTTGGAATGGGGCTGAGGTCTAAACACGTCTGGAGAGCAAAGTCTGGGGCTGGTGCGACTGGGGCTTGCAATCCCAACACGTCCAGAGGAGGCCAACCTTTCTTTATTTCGTCTTTTTTATCGCAGAAGATGAAAAAAAGGGTAGAAGCTCTCCCTTTTTTCAGGACATCTTCTACTCCTCGCGCTCCCAACGGCCTCCATTTTGTCTTCATAACATCCCTGTTAGGTAGGCCGCTAGGCCGAACGGAAAGCTCCCCAAAACTGGCGCTGCCCCACCCCCCGCCCCCCCGCCCCATGCCTGTGCCCCCCTTGGCGCTTCCACTAACATTTAACACTTTTCTCTCCGACATGTTGTCGCCCCTTCTCGCCGATCACGCTCCGCCTCTCCGGGATGGACGAGCCCGTATCCGCCCCTGCTATTGGCCGCTGTGCCTCCATCCGGTGCTCGTTTCCCGTCTCCATTGGCTTCTGTCGAGCGCTGCTCTGTGCCACGGCACGCCACTGGCTTCCGCTGAGATCAGTCAAAAATAAGTCCGGCCTCGGACATCGTGGACTGGACGTGTTTTCCGGTGAGCGCAGGTTCCCCCCAAAAATGCTCCGTGGATGGAACGGCATCTCCCGCGTGGACGTTCCAGGGTAAAATGGGACATTGTTCCGGCTGGTGTCAAGACTGTCAAGCCTGGATCCGTTTCACCTGTCAGGATTCCTGGTGATTTGATAACCAGCAACACCCAGAACTCGGTGAAATGTTCATGAAAAGGAGGAACTACCTGCAAGGGAAACTCGATGTACTCCCCAGAACTGCATCCAGGAGAGCGGTGTCCCTGAGCATGTGCAGAGCTTCCTTTAATCGCACAAGTAGAAGCAAAGGTGTAAATGCTGCAGGCTAACTGCCTCTGAGCATGTGCAAAGGTTATCTACAGGTTATTGTTTAGTTGCAAAGTCTTGCCCAAGCCATCACGACCCCATGCACAACATTTCCCCAGGCTCTGCTGTCCTCCACCATCCCCGGGAGTCCACACAAGCCCACACCCAGTGTCCCAGTGACTCCGTCTAGCCAGCTCTTCCTCTGCCGCCCCCTCCTTCTTTTGCCATCTATTGTTCCCAGCATTAGGCTCTTCTCCAGGGAGTCCTTCCTTCTCATTAGGTGGCCAGAGTGTTTGAGCTTCATTTTCAGGATCTGGCCTTCTAAAGAGCAGTCAGGGTTGATCTCCTCTAGGAGTGACCTGTTTGATCGCCTTGCGGTCCAAGGGACTCGCAGGAGTCTCCTCCAGCACCACAATTCAAAGGCCTCTGTTCTTCGGCGCTCAGCCTTCCTTATGGTCCAGCTTTCACAGCCATACATTGCAACTGGGAAAATCATAGCCTTGACTATACGCACATTTGTGGGCAGGGTGATGTCTCTGCTTTTTAGTATGCTGTCTAGATTTGCCATAGCTTTCCTCCCCAGGAGCAATCGTCTTTCCTCCCCAGGAGCAATCGTCACAGAACCGTCTGCAGGTCTCTTGTAGCCCAAGAAACTAAAATCTGTCACTACCCCCATTTCTTCCCCATCTACTCCCATCTCTTTAAGAACTTGCCACAATTTGTTGTGATTCACATAATCAAAGGTTTTAGTGTAGTCAGTGAAGCAGGAGTAGATGCTTTTCTGTGATCTAGAATATGTTGGCAATTTGAACTCGAGTTCCTCTGCCTCTTCGAAACCCTGCCTGTACTTCTGGTAGTTCTCGATCCAGATATTGCCGAAGCCTGGCTTGTAGGATTTTGAGCATAACTTGGCTAGCGTGTGAAATGAGTACAATTGTAAGGTAGTTTGAACATTCCTTGGCATTGCCCTTCTTTGGGATTGGAATGTAGACTGACCTTTTCCAGTCCTGTGGCCCCTGCTGAGTTTTCCAAATTTGCTGGCATATTGAGTGTAGCCATTTTAATTGCAACATCTTTTAGGATTTTGAATAACTCAGCTTGATTATCATCTCCTCCACTACCTTTGTTGTCACTGAGACTTCCTAAGACCCATTTGACTTCACATGTCTGGCTCAAGTTCAGCGACTGACCATGGTCAGCGACCGACCCCATGGTTATCAGGTACATTAAGATCCTTCTTGTATAGTTCTTCTGTGTAATCTTATCATTGTGAGCAGTGGATTTACCTCTCCAAGGAAGAATTTGTTGAAAAGTCAATGCCAGGTCACATGACTCCAAGCAGCACTAGTTCATTGAATACATTTTGCAAAATGGGTGTCCCAAGCAAGGAGGTGCACCAAGCATAGGTCGCCATTCCTTTTTATTCCCTATCTCCAGCTGCAGGAATCCTCCCCGTTTTCCCTATTTGCTGGGTACTGGAGGGTTCACAGACTTTCTATCATGCAATTCCTGTCTCATTCCATTACATACATCTACATACATTGCATGTGCATTATAATTAGCCCATTGCCTATTTGGGGTGTGTGAGTTAATATGCATCAACTTATTATGCTTGTGTGCTAATAACTAAAAGTTCAATAGTTCATTCTTCTCTGAGTTCACCTTGCCCTATGACCACCTATCTCATAAAACTACTGGGAGGAAGAGATAGGAAGTTGCAAACTTTCTTTCAAGCCAATTATCTTTTTCTCCCCTCCACATTCCTTCAGACAGGCTTCATGGCTCAATTAATGGCTCTTCTGTTCTCAATCACTGTTTTACTTTCTCTTTTCAAGTTAAGTTGCCCCTTTTGGGTGAATACAGAAACCAAAACTGGTTCTTAATTTATCTCATTCTCCTTTTACTGAGTAACAATTCAACATTGTTTTCCACACCACCTCTTCTGCCTCTGTTAGGTCCCTGCCATTTTTGTCCTTTATCATGCCCATCTTTGCATGAAATATTGCCTTCATATCTCCAATTTTCTTGAAGAGATCTCCAGTGTTTCCCATTCTATTGTTTTCTTCTCTTTCTTTGCACTGTTCATTTAAGAAGGCATTCTTATGTCTTCTAGCTATTCTCTGGAATTCTGCATTCATTTGAATGTATCTTTCTCTTTCTCTCTTGCCTTTTGCTTCCCTTCTTTCCTCAGCTATTTGTAAAGCTTCCTCAGACAGCCAGTTTGTTTTCTTGCATTTCTTTTTTCTTTAAGATTTTTTTTTATTTGCTACCTCTTGTACAATGTTGCGAACCTCCCTCCATAGTTCTTCAGGCGCTCTGTCTGTCAGATCTAATTCCTTAAATCTATTTGTCACCTCTACTGTATATTCATCAGGGATGTGATTTAGGTCATACCTGAGTGGCCTAGTGCTCTTCCCTACTTTCTTCAATTTAAGCCTGAATTTTGCAACAAGAAGCTCATGATCTAAGCCAGTCAGCTCCTGGTCTAATTTTTACTGACTGTATAGAGCTTCTCCATGTTTGGCCGCAGAGCACATAGTCAATCTGATTTCTGTGTTGACCATCTGGTGATGTCCATGTGTAGAGTCATCTCTTGAGTTGTTGGAACAGAGTGTTTGCTCTGACCATCGTATTCTCTTGACAAAATTCTGCCAGCCTGTGCCCTGCTTCATTTTGTACTCCAAGGCCAAACTTGCCTGTTATTCCGGTTATCTTTTGGCTTCCTACTTTAGCATTCCAATTCCCCATGATGATACGGACATCATTTTTGGTGTTAATTCTAGAAGGTGTTGCAGGCCTTCATAGAACTGGTCAACTTCAGCCTCTTCAGCACCAGTGGCTGGGGCACAGACTTGGACTACTGTGATGTTGAATGGTTTGCCTTGGATTCGAACTGAGATCATTCTGTCATTTTGGAGATTGTATCCCAGTACTGCTTTTCCTACTCTTTTATTGACTATGAAGGCTACTCCATTTCTTCTGAGGGATTCTTGTCCGCAGTGGTATACCTGACGGTCATCTGAATTAAATTCACCCATTCCTGTCCATTTTAGTTTGCTGATTCCCAAGATGTCGATGTTCAGTCTTGTCATCTCTTGTTTGACCACATCCAGCTTGCCTTGATTCATGGATCTTACATTCCAGGTTCCTGTGGAGTATAGATCTTTGCAGCATCGGACTCTCCTTTCACCACCAGACACATCCGCAACTGAGTGTCCTTTCGGCTTTGACCCAGTCGCTTCACTCTTTCTGGCGCTACTAGTACTAGCCCTCCACTCTTCCCCAGTAGTACCATATTTTTCGCTCTATAAGACGCACTTTTTCCCCCTCAAAAGTAAGGGCTGTGCATCTTATAGAGCGAGTGTGTGTGTGCCCGACGCCCAGGACGCTGCCGGCCGCCTGCACCACGTGGCACCACCTGGCTGGCACACGCTCGGCGCGCCCTGCTCCACGCCCCCCGCCTCCGGCGCAGGTAAGAGCTGTGCTGCTCAGGGGGAGGCGTGTGGAGGAGGAGGAGCTTTAACCCGCCGGCCGCACAGAGAGACGGACTGGTCACCCCCACCGCCCGGGAAGACCACCACTGGCACGCTGCCGGCCTGGCTGCACCACACCTGGCTGGCATGCGCTCGTCATGCCCTGCTCCGCCCCCCTCCTCCGGCACAGGTGAGACCTGTTAATCACAGGTCGGTGTGTGTTTTCAAATGGCAACCTGTCTTTTAATGAAGCCGATGGGAAATGTGCCTGTGATTATCAGGAAGCTTTCCATGGATCCCTCCTCTAAAAACTAGGTGCATCTTATGGTCAGGTGCATCTTATAGAGCGAAAAATACAGTATATTGGACACCTCTTGACCTGAGGGGCTCATCTTCTGGCATCATATCTTTTTGCCTTTTGGGGCTGTCCATGGGGTTTTCATGGCAAAAATACTGGAGTGGGTTGCCATTTCCTTCTCCAATGGAGCACATTTTGTCAGAGCTCTCTGCTATGACCTGTCCATCTTGGGTGGCCCTGCACGGCAGAGCTCTTAACTTGATTGAGCTACACAAGCCCCTTCGCCACAGCAAGGCAGTGATCCATGAAGGGTATCTAAAGGTGGAGTGTCAGGCTGTAACTTGGGAGCTCTGGATTCTAGTCCCCACTCAGCCATGGAACTCACTGGGTGACACCAGATCAGTCACAAACTCAGCCTAACCTACCTCACAGGGTTTTTGTGAGGATAAAATGAAGTGGAGGAGAACCTTCTAAGCCACCTATAGTTTTCCGCCCCTTGAGATCGGCGGCAGAGGCCCTCCTCTGGGAGCCCTCCATGAAAGATATTAGGAGGGTGAGTACCCGGAGGAGGGCCTTCTCTGTGGTGGCGCCCCACTTATGGAATGCGCTCCCCAGAGAGGTCCGCCTGGTGCTGTCGTTACTTGTTTTTCGGCACCAGGCCAAGATTATTAACGTTATTTAAATGTTATTTTAATTGTTAAATTTATTTATTGATTTTATATTTATGCTGGGATGTCTCCAGATTTTACGTATTTGAATAGTTATTTATTTGTATTGGAAGCCGCCCTGAGGCTTTTGTGAATGGGGCGGCATATAAGTGTTCCAAATCAATAAAATAAATAAATAAAAGTAATAACATCAACAGGAAAGTAAGTGAGGGCATAGTCGTCTGCTCTGAAAGAGAATAAAGTATTTCCACGGAGGAAAAGGATCAAGTGTACAATGCTGTACACATCAGACTTCTGTGCCTCCCAACCGGGCCCTCTCCAGATGTGTTGCCCCGTGGCTTCCATCCTCCCCAGCCAGCAGGGCCACTGGGTAAGACTGGGTCCTGAGCTAAAGCTGCCCCCTGATTCGTGGGGTCTCAGTTCTTGTATAAAGGAATTTCATATTTGGCTGACAACAACCAGGATGCGATGCTGGACTGGTAGCCCTGGATATCGTTTTCCTTGTTAGGAACAAAACCTAAATCATGATGACATGAGAGTTATCGTGTTGTCTGAACCCAGCCAAAATGACAAACCATGGTGAAGCACAAGCTGTGGGTTCTCTTTATGAGTTGTTCCTAGTTAACAAGCCGTGGCTGGTTAAGCACAGCTGGGTTCAAACAACACAATAACCTATTCATGTTTATTATTCCCAGGCTTACCCATCCCCTGCAAAGCCTCAAAGAACCTCGTAACCCTATGCAGGGATTGTGGGCAAGTTCAAGTTGGAGAGATGCTTCGTCTTTCTCAGGCCTTGGAACCATCAGCCACTGCCAGACATGGTATCAGCTGGCGCACTTTGGGATTAATGGGCGCAGAAAGGGGCTCCGTGTTGCATCTGCCGACCTACCAGGCAGCAGCATTTGGACTCCATCACACTTTATGGGCTAAGCTCGCTGCAATTAACATAGACAAAAGACTTCTTTCTCTGCTCCAGGAGATCCAGGGAGACACAGCTGTGTGTATTAGAAAAAGTGTGAAGCTGGAGTGTGTGCTGGCCCCCTTATGATTCAATCTTTACATAAATAATAGTGTAGAGCACAATAGACCACAATTTACACCCCCATCATTGGGTCAGCTAAAAATTTCAATACTATTATATGCTGAAGATATGGTCCTGACCTCCCAAACTAAAATTGGTTTAAGAAGGCAGTTTACAACAATTTGCAACAATTAGGGCACTATGGTAGAGAAGAAGATCTTAACATAAATTATGCTAAGACCAAAGTAGTGGTCTTCGGGGGAAAAAACCCAGAGTTTCATCTTGGAGCATCCTTGGTAACCGAATCAATGTCGCTTTTTTAAATATCTGGGGATCACATTTGGGGACACTTTAAACTGGAAACTCCAGTTAAAAGCTCATCTCTTAGGACTGCGGGGTCTTATCTCACACTCATTTTGTACTAAAGGATGACGTTCGATAGATCCTGCACTGAAGCTATTCAAGACCAAGGTCGTTCCCCATCTCTTATATGGTGTTGAAGAATGGGGATGGAATGAGAATATAGTATCTCACTTGGAGGTAATTCCAAATGCTTTTTTGAGGCGTATACTTGCTCTACCTAGGGGTACCCCAGCAGAAACAGGGGTCCCTTCTCTTAGGGCTCATGCACACCTTGCCATATTAAAGCAGAGGAACAGGAGCACCTCCTCCAGCATCAATTCCTTATGGAATAAATCATTCAGATTGTTATCATCAAAAGACCCTAAAGGACTCAGGTTCCTGAACTCCACCATTGACAGATACTCCATCCCTGACAACTTCCTACAGCTGAGAATTCCCATCTTAGGGACTGGATACACACACACACACCCACACACATATATATATATAGAGAGAGAACAAAAATAGAACTTTTAAAATCTATTTTTAATCATGCGAGCCTGGGGGCAGCCAGGCCAGGGGAGGTTGGCCCTGCGCTCGCCTGCCAGTGCCGCCTCACCCTCCACCTTTCAACTGGCCCCCTACCTTAGGGTGAGTTTGCAGCCCTTTGTTTCCAAACCACGTATACAGCTTTACTCTCTGGTCGCTACTCTCGCCTTCCAATGGTGCAGCGTGTCTGCACTTGAGGATCACCGGAAACAGAGGACCTCGCACTATGTTCCTCACTGTTCTTTGTAGTGTGAGCCTAGGGAAACCTTTTTGACTCGCATACTACCCACCTTCCATGCCTACTCTGACCCAGAGAAGTTCGTGTTTTTGTTACCAGAGCCTGGTGCACGAGTGTCTTACCAAGTTTCTCTTTTTGCTCTTGCAGCTAAAAAGATAAGAGCCAGGGAGACTTTGAAGTCCTGAATTACACCTGGCCTGTCTTTTAGTATTATGTTTTAATGCATTTGATTTATGGTGTATTTGTTAATTCAGTGCTTTACCTTGTTAAGCTATAATGGCTATGGCTAAAAGCTATAAACTGACTGACTGACTGAATGACTGGCTGTGTCTTTCTCTTTTGCTGACTCTACCGTAAAAATCACCCCTAAATACTTTTATCAGCCCCCACAAAACAGCTGAGCTCCTGGTCAAGCATCTTGCTGTAGCTTCTCCCCTGCTTTTTAGTCATATTTGTTCTTGGTAGGTTCATGGTGTATATACTTTTGCCCTTGATCAATAGGAAAAAATAGTGCTTAGTTGTCAATGGAGATTCTCAAGAAGCTTATTTATTTATTTATTTATTTATCTATCTATATCCTGCCTTTTTCCTACAAAGTGCTCAAGACAGCTTACATCATTCACCTCCTCCATCTTATCCCCACAACAACAACCCTGTAAGGTAGGTTGGGCTGAGAGTCGGTGACTGGCCCAAAGGCATCCAGGTGGCTCCATGGCCGAGTGGGGACTTGAACCCGGATTGCCTGAGTCCCAGTCCCATGCTCTTAACCACAACACCACACTGGCTTTTCCTAAGCAGATCTACAAGGAGGTTTTCTCAAAACCAACAGGAAAGCAGAAATATTTGCTTAAAAGTGGCTGGATGAATTTTATTTCATTAAAAATAAAGACAAGTTTGCTTCCCAGAGTAGATGAAGCTGCCCTTCAGTTCCACTTGCTGGGAATAAGAAATACTGAGAAGAATTTCATGGACTCATCTGGCACATGAAAGGGAAAAGTTAGTTATTCCTGGTACCTTAGGGGATAGATACTTGACATTATCTGCACAAAACAAAAAGGAATAAAAAAGAAAAGAGTTTCATGTGGAAATCAATATCTGATTGCTGTATGTGATGCAGGATCAGGTGAGCAGCTTTGGCCAGAAATGTGGCAGGTGGGTATGCAGAAGCAAGGCCATCCTTACCCTCTCAAAGCCCTTTGCGCTGGAATCAGGGTGTCCCCATTGCTGGAGAACTCCAGTCGCTGTACTGGCCGATGTCAAGCGAATCCTTGGCTGCCACCCACGCAGTGTATGTTGCTCCTGGACGGATCCCAGTCAGCACTAAGGTGGTTTGCTCTGTTGGCCTGGCCTAAGGGAAGCAGGCAGAGGCATAATCTTACGACTGACAAACCCTCTTTGTCAATTAAAAAGCAGAGAACTGGGGCGCCTGTCTTGAAAGGAGCTGCTAGGTGTTGTGGACGTTACAGAACCCAGGTGGAATGGAGAGAAGCAGTGGAATAGGGTCATTCCTGAATACAAACCCTACAGGGAGAGCCAGGAAGGGCGACCTGGAGGAGGTGATGCGCCATGCATCAAAGAGGACACCGTGTCAAGCACCCTAGAAGACCCCAAAGGGGCAGATTCTTCCAGAGAGGTGACAAAACCAGCTCCAAAACAAATTTATCCCTTGGAAATTGCTATTAACCCCCTTGCCAGAATGCTTGGGGTGATCTTGAGATGGAAGATGAAACCTGAGAATCCTCTAAGCAAAGAAATATTATAATAGGCAGCTTCAATAACCCATAATGCATGGCCCCATCAGAGCAAAGAAGTTGGATTCCCCCATGCGCTGAGTGGCTGTGTGGGGAATCAGCAACAGAGTGCAGCAAAATGCAGGAACTAGTTAAAAGGGAATTGAAAGAGGCTTAAAGCCCTTCAAAATGTTTTGAGGCTTCTCAAACCCCCTGTTAGGAATGATAGTCCAAGAGCTCAGGGTTCCAAGGGGTCTACTACGAGGCTCATGCGATGGGGCGGCATATAAGTTGTTTAAATAAATAAATACTATGAGATAAACGGGCTCCTTTAGCAAAAAGAATCTTGCCATCTTAGAATCCTGTACAGGGTTCACTATGGCCCATATGCCAGATGTTCTCCACAGCTGGAATAGAGGGAACATCTCAAAACACCACAATCCAGTTTAAATATGAAAACTCATGATTTAAGAGCATAAGAAGCAAAACAGGACCTGGGCAGAAGTGGGCAGTGCCTGAATTTAATCATCATGATTCTCACCATGTTGCTGTTGTTGACTCCATTCCTCGAGTAACGGATCAAGTATCGGAGAGGGAAATATTCAGAGTACATCCAGGAGCTGGGGGGCTTCCATTCCAAAAGCAGCTTCCGTCTGTTCCCAGGGATTGGGGAGAACTTGAGGTCTTCTGGGGGGTCAGGCTTGACTAGAAAACAAAAGACACAATGGAGAAGAGGGAACAATAGGAAATCAGTCACTGAGAAGGGTTTGGCTGCAGACAAGGTCCAAGGAGGGAAAGCATGGAGAGAACTGGCACAAATTTGATTAAAAAGCACAAAGGTCATTATCATGCAAAAAAAAAAAAAAAAAAAAAAAACCAACAAATATTTAGCAGCTTGCTAAGAGGAGATGAAAGATCTTAATGTCCCTGCTAACTATGGAGGTGTTATCATTGACCTTGAGCCAGACAGGCATCCTGGAATGTGAAGTCAAAAGGGTCTTAGAAACACAGCAGCAACAAAAGTAGTGGAGGAGACAATATTCCAGCTGAGCTATTCAAAATCCTAAAAGATTTTGCAATTAAAATGCTACACTCAATATGCCAGCCAACTTGGAAAACTCAACAGTGGCCACAGGATTGGAAAAGGTCCGTTTACATTCCAATCCTAAACAACGGCAAAGCTAAAGAATGTTCAAACTACCGCATCATTGCGCTCATTTCACATGCCAGCAAAGTTATGCTCAAAATCCTACAGGCTCCAGCAGTATGTGGACCGAGAACTACCAGAAGTACAGGCAGGATTTCGAAGAGGGAGAGGAACTGGAGATCAAATTGCCAACATACGCTGGATCATGGAGAAAGCTAGGGAGTTCCAGAAAAACATCTACTTCTGCTTCATTGACTATGCTAAAGCCTTTTATTGTGTGGATCACAACAAATTGTGGCAAGTTCTTAAGAGGTTGCAGTACCAGACCATCTTATTTGTCTCTTGAGAAACCTATATGCGGGTCAAGAAGCAACAGTGAGAAAAGGAAATGGAACAACTGATTGGTCCAAAACTGGGGAAGGAGTTTGGCAAGGCTGCATAGTGTCGCCCTGCCTGTTTAACTTATATGCAGAGCACATCATGAGAAAGGCGGGCCTAGATGAATCAGCAGTTGGAATTCAGATGGCCAGGAGAAATATCAACAACCTCAGATATGCAGATGATACCACTCTAATGGCAGAAAGTGAAGAGGAACTAAAGAGCCTCTTGATGCGGGTGAAGGAGGAGAGTGCAAAAGTTGGCTTGAAACTCAATATTAAGAAAACTGAGATCATGGGATCCGGTCCTAACACTTCCTGGCAAATAGATGGGGAAGAAATGGGGGTAGTTACAAATTTTAGTTTCTTGGACTCCAAGAGACCCGCAGAGGTGACTTCAGCCAAGAAATTAAACACTTGCTGCTTGGGAGGAAAGCATTGGCAAATCTAGAAAGCATACTAAAAAGCAGAGACATCACCCTGCCAACAAAAGTGCGTATAGTCAAGGCTATCGTTTTCCCAGTTGCAATGTATGGCTGTGAAAGCTGGACCATAAGGAAGGCAGAGCACCGAAGGATTGAGGCCTTTGGATTGTGGTGCTGGAGGAGACTCCTGCAAGTCCCTTGGACCGCAAGGCGATCAAACCGGTCAGTCCTAGAGGAGATCAACCCTGACTGCTCTTTAGAAGGCCAGATCCTAAAGCTGAAGCTGGAATGCTTTGGCCACCTAATGAGAAGGAAGGACTCCCTGGAGAAGAGCCTAATGCTGGGAACAATTGATGGCAAGAGAAGAAGGGGACGACAGAGGATGAGGTGGCTGGATGGAGTCACTGGGGCGGTGGGTGTGGGCTTGGGTGGACTCGGGGGGGGGATGGTGGAGGACAGGAAGGCCTGGAGGAGTGTTGCCCTTGGGGTCACAAAGATTTGGGCATAGATGTGGCGAGTGAGCAACACCAAGAGGAATGGATTCCTGTTTCTTCATGGTCAGCATCACTAGCAAGATACTAGCAAACACACAAAAAGGGGATGGTGCAATGTCCTTCCTCATTTCCAGGCCGCTCAAACGCCAACGGTTGGCAGAGGCGCAACAGAGGAAGTGGTTCCTTCACCAGCAGCTCACTCGCCTGCATGGAATTCTTGGTCTCCTGGGGTGACTATGCAAATGCTTAGGGCAGGCATCCTTTAGAATGAAATGGCATTTAATTTGAACTTGAATTTTGATCAATGCCAAGAAATTAGCACATTAGATGAACACATTCAGGGCAGCAGAGAGGAACACAAAAGAATCTGTGGCAGTGAATGCGTCAGTCACCCAGACGCCACACTATGCTCCATTCAGCCATCTAACCTCTGATGTGTCTGTGTGTTTTCCCTTCCCAAATATGCATCTAGGCAATCTGGTGCAGTGGTTACAAGCATGGGACGGGGACTCAGGTGATCTGGGTTATAGTTCCCACTCAGCTGGAGAACAATGGGAGGACTGGGCCAGGAATAGACTCTCAGCCCAGGGTATGACAGAGAGCAGGAGGAAGAGAACGATCTAAATTGCTTTGAGTTATTTAAAAGGGGGGAAAGGCAGGATATAAATCCTTCTTCTTCTTCTTCTTCTTCTTCTTCTTCTTCTTCTTCTTCTTCTTCTAATATTTCATCATTTGGATATGGCTGATGAGAAAGGCTTGGCTTAAAGATGCTACTGCATGTTTAGGCAAGGAAAATCCTACAGTTCCTAGTCTGCTGGGACTTTTAGGGCTTTCTTCCACCCAGACACGCACAGGACAGTGCCCTAAAGGAGGGGTGTTGGCTGGGTGGTGGTGGTTAGGAACCACGGATGGAAAAGCAAGCCAAGAGGCTGAATTCTGTGTCAAAGGCTGCAGTGCCACTTCCATTCCCGTTCCTCAGGACAGGAATCCAGAAAAGGTACTCCAACGTGAAATATCTCAGTCAGAATGCATCGGCTCCCCACCCATCCCTGCCAAACAAAGTTTGATCCCATCTCTTTAGGCCTGCATAAAGATGATGGTTTCCCACCCGTTGCAGGTGCCAGTTAGCCAAACAATGCTAAGGCAATCCTGTTATCACCCACAACTGGGATTCTGCCACTTCTGCTATCCAGCTTTGACTGGCTGGTAACCTCGGGCAAAGGGTGCCATCTTGAGGGTGCCCTTAAGTCTGGTCCTAAAGCTGACGCAAGTGCCGCTCGGCTGATGTCCAGAGATGTCACCTAAGTGGCTGCGTATTTGCTTCCAGGCCAGGGGTCAGGTTTCGGCACCAGCATATCAAGCACTAGAGAGTTTGGGACCAGGGTGCGGGAGGGAAAGCCTTCTACCTTACCACCTGCATCTTAGATCGGGCCCTCCCAGGGGCTTCTATGGCCCAAGTGGAGCCCACCCAGAGAAGGGCCTCGCTCTGGAAGCACGGACCTTGTATTGTTTCCTGTGCTTCCTGGAAGCACTTTACTTCAAGGAGCCTTTGAACTATTCAGCCTCAGTTTTACTGATACAATATTATTGATCTTGATCAGACCTTCCTGCAGGAGACATCTATGGTGTCTTTGTGATCTCTCACCTGTGGAAATTAGCGGGTCTTTTATGCAACTCCATCATCCCATTTCCAAGGTCTCTCCTGTGTTTTCCAGCTATTTTGTTGCTGTTATTTTTTAACTGTGAGGCTATTCAATTAATTGCTACAGAAGATTTGCCTAATCACAACTGGAACCCCTGCCATAGCATCTCTTTGTGACTGCATAATAGAATGCACAGGAACATGCAGTGGTACCTCGGCTCACGACCTCAATCCGTCCCAGGACTCTGGTCGTGACCCAAATTGGTCATGAGCCAAGTCCAATTTCCCCATAAGGGTCAATGTAAATAAGGCTAATCCATTCGGTAACTATTTTTTTAATCACAAGAATCTGAAGCAAAGTGACAAAGAACAACAAAGATCGCGGCCATCTCCCCCCACCCAGCAATTGTGGGGGAGGCTGCGGGGGACGGGTGCAATCGCTGCCACACTGGTGGGGGAGACGGACGTGCTTGGGCAGGGAACACTGGCGCCATTGTGGCCATCTCCCCCCCAGCACGAACGTGGCCACCCCCCCACCCCAGCACAACCACGATCGTGCCCATGCAGGGAAGGCAGGCGCACTCACGATCGTCACAATGCAGAGTTTGTGACCTGCAGCAAAATTTTTATGAAATTTCTGTGCACAACCCGATTTGGTCATGAACTGAGGCACCACTGTACATGAAAGCAGAGAAAAATTCCCTAGCAGGGGAAAAATTTCCTTTCTCCCACACAGAAAATAGAAACAGCAGTCTCAGTGAAGCACGGGGTTGAATGCCCCATGCAGAGAATCTCACTGCATTATCCTTTTAGGTGTCTGAACTTCTAATATTCACGGTGCAAATCAAGAAAATCCACTGATATTGGATTATCAAACGGGTGAGCGTGTGTTTGCATTCACTGCAGGTTACCATTTTTTCCTGCCTCCAGCCAGGTTTATATATACCTGCCAGTTGAGACTTGCTTTCTGCCCTTATGAGGAAGATCATATTTCAATATATTTTTGGTATAATCTATTTAAAATAGCAAACTCTGTCTTGCTTTTCTGAGAGGAGTGGCAACACAGCTTCACCGCATCCATCACATTGTTGGGAAGGGTCACCCCACTAGCTCATGGGTCTCCATGATTTCTAAGGCAGCCTTCTTCAAGCAGGTAGGTGCCTTGAACTACAACATCCATCTTCCCCAGCCAATATGCCTCTGCTGACTGGGAGCATGGAGGATGCAGTCCAGACACATCTGGAAGTTGCCAGGTAATGTCAAATAGCTACGGACAAAGCTTTGTCCAGTAAACAGCTCAGGGAACTGTATTTTTCTGCCTCCACTGGAGGACAGCCTGATTCTTCAACAGAATCTTGGAGACCAGCAAAAAGAAATGCATTGGGAAGACCAGGGAACTCTAGAAGAGGGCAGATTGATTCAGCAAGAACTCACGAATCTGGTCCAGGAAGACATAGGCGATGTCTGTTACCATCCCAAGAGGGTTCACCGCAGTTACGTTCAGCATGTAAGGATAGGTGGAGAACATCTCCACGTTGGAGATGGAGCAGCTGTTGGCCCCAGAATCAGGCTGGACGCATTCAAACTCCTCTCCTTGCATGCCGTGCCTGATTTGTACAGAGGAGCAAGGTTAGTGCGAGATTCTCTGGCCTGATGGTTTGGGTTCTTGGGCAGTGGAGAAATATCAAGAAAAAAGGGAAGAAAAGGAAATTGAGCGCTGCCCATTCCTGCGAAGGGATGTCACAACCCCAGGGTCTGTGCAGAAGGTGCAGGAAGCTGCTGTCAGGCGCTGCACGCATGCAGTCACCTGGGAGGCTGCCATCCCAGACACCGTCCCACGGCTGATGCACAACTGCCGTGGCGGCAACAGGACTGCACCGAAAACCACCATGGACATTTCTTCCTTCCCAGCCCGTTTCCCTTTCGTGCCATGTCTGTGTCGATGGCAAGCTGGCAGGGCTGGGGGCTATCTTGCTTGCACACACACTTCCCTTTGGAGAGGCAAAACTTCCTTCAATACACGAAAGCGTGAAGTCGCAGGCTCTGCTGAGCGAGGCTGGTGCTACATAACTGCAGCTGGAGAGGTGATCAATAGGTGAGATTTAGTCCGGGGGATGGGAGGGGGGTGCTACGACTGGAGAGGTGATCAATAGGTGAGATTTAGTCCGGGGGACGGGCGGGGGGTGCTACGACTGGAGAGGTGATCAATAGGTGAGATTTAGCCCAGGGGATGGGAGGGGGGTGCTACGACTGGAGAGGTGATCAATAAGCGTGATTTAGTCAGGGGGACTGCGGGTGTGGGGGGCTACTATTCCACCCAGCCATTTTTCCTCCTCACACTCCTGCACGTTACCTGTATGTGGAGAAGAAAGAGGTGCCCAAGTGTGGCTCTGTTCCCAAAGCCCAGGAGCAATTGATGGATGAGTAACTGACAGAGCGGCACTGGATGGAAAGTTTCTCGGGAGGGTCTGGGAGAAGGGAGGAAAGGAAAACAAATAAAGCAGCCGCGGTTCAGTCCCTTTTCTCGCCCTTCTCACGGCCTAGCGGATAATTTAGGGGGTCCCAGGTCATGCAGTGTTTGGGGTCTGTGTACATCCACACTTGATTGCCTTGTCCTGGCATTGTCCGGTCCCTGGGTATCTCCAGGGTCAAGAATGGAGTCTTGGAGCTGGAACAGACCCCGGCAGGGCCCCACCAAGTGCTTCCTCCCTGCAGAGACACCTGGCACAGGTTTGCTCCTTCCGCTCAGCCTCGCAACCTGCTGGCTCACCTCCCTCTTCCCCAGGCCCTGATAACAGCCGTGGTGCGAAGGGTGCGGGGGAGACAACGCAGCTTTTTTCTTGTTCGCTGGATCTCTGTCCAGCAAGTGAGAGCCGCAAGGACACGGAGGAAGAGCAGCTGGTGGCAGTGCTGGTATGAGGGCAGCTGCCCAAGTGCCCTTTGAAACGAGAATCCATCCCTACTCAGGTTGGAGGCTGAGAATCAAGGGAGCGGGGAGAATGTTCTGCTTGGTTTCGGGCAATAAAAAGCACAGATTTGCTCATGCTGCTTTTAAAATTGCTGATCGTTATTCCGTCTCTGCCAAGTGCTCTTTCCTTGTGCAAGGAACCCAGGAGTGCTTTATATCGCCCTCTTCTTCAGCGATGTATCCTCACAAAGATCCTGTGAGGCGGGTGAGGCTGAGAATCAGCGGCAGGCCTGAAGCTGTTGAGTGAGTTTCATTGCCCAGTCAAATGCTCTAACCACTATACCACACAGGTTCGGATCTATCCCCACATCTCTCCCTCTGTGTGTTTTTAGGAGCCTGTGTCCTAAAGACACAAAAAAGGGGTGTAAGGACAAGGGAGGGACAAGCGTTTGATTTCAGGAAAAGGTTCGGGGAGACACGCAGGAGGGCTCAGGCCCGCAGATCCAGGGGTCCAGTGTCACAGCCCTGCTCAGGACGCCAGGACCTTTTCTCAGCAAGGACCCTGGAGAGCAGAGTGGGGGTGGGGGGACCTCCCAGGGTCTTGGAGTACCAAATGAAAGATTCAGCGCTCCCGCCCTGGCACGCCACCCCCTCACAGTTTGGCCAGCACTTAGATGCCGCTCAGAAGCTCATCTAACACCCGAAGGGGACGGAGGAGGAAGGGCGGGTTCCCCGTTGCACTCACAGCCCAGCTTCAGGTGGACCCTGTGCAGGGTCTCCCCAGTGGTGGCTTTGTGGCAGCTGTACGTCCCCTCCTGGTCCAGGCTGGCGTTCCGCACAACCAGGTCGCTGTTCCCTCTGGCCAAAACACCTCTTGATGTGCCATTCACCTTCCATTCCACCTCAGACACTCCTTCGGGGATCGGGCAGGCCAGGATGACTGTAGGTGCTCCGAGCCTGGCATAGTGCCAGTCTAGGGAGCCTGCTATGCCAGTAAGAAAACAAGAAATAAATATTTAATTATGATTAATCTTCTCAAATAATGTGCCTGCAGGCTGAGGGTTTTCGCCTCTGCCTTGGCGGTATACTGCTTTCGAGCATGGCAGCTCCACACAGTGATCACGGTTAATAGCCATGGATAAGACAAATTCACACCCGATCCATTTTTAACGAGAACCACCATGAGAGCTGCCAAAATGCCACATCCACATCCTTCGCCCAGATGCTTCCAAATGCTCACCCAAGAGATGCCCTCCCCTTTTCAGCATCCCCCACCAACTCCAAGGTAGAATGCCCCTAATTGTGGATCTGGGACTGTCAAGCTGCCACACTTGCAGAAAGACCAATCAAAAGGTTGCATGTGGACTTCAATGCACCATGGTGCTGTCCACTTAACTATAGGACCTATCAAAGAAAATCTTGGTGGCATCAGTTTGAGGATTGATCTGCTCTTGGAATCCAAGCAATTATACTCTGGTCTTAATGAAAGATGGGCATGCATGCATGAAAGGTATGATCTGAAAACAGGGCCAGAAATGCTGCAGGAAGCAAGATCCTAGAACAAGATCCTCATGAACTGCTCAGAAAACTTTGGATGTTGGGAGTATGGAAATAAAATAACATTAAATTAAATTATAAAATGAAATCATAAATAAGTAAGTGCAGCTCCAACAACTCAACACAGGGCTTTGGAACCATGAAACAAAATATCTTAGTCCACCACAAGCAAAAATCCCTCCCTTTGTTCACGAGAAAGTGGGGCCCGTACCTTCCTTTTCATGGATCCAAGCGGCATCTCCACATGACATGAAGCGGAACAGAAGGGCAAAGGCGAAGATCAAACCACACTGCATCTTCAACTTTGGGGTGGGGGGGGGAAGATTTGAGAGAACCCTTTAAACTTCAGCTTGTGTTTAAAATAAAAAAATAATTTAAACATCTTACTCTGCTTTATTTATTATCTGTGCAACTGCCAAGCAAGGACACTTGAAATTTCTGGCCTAAAGTGCAGAACTTTTGGTTTCTGTTGAGTTTCATTTTCCTAATGAATGTACACATGCTACAAACTTCCACAAACTGTACGCAGCCCTAAAACTTCTTTTTTTCAGGGGGCGGGGGGGGCGGGGGGGAGAGGGAGAAGGACTCACCAGAACAGAAGACTGCTTTCTCAGGCTGGCCAGGATAAGCAACAAGTGTCTGTCAAAATGGGCCTCCGTCTGCTCTCTACACCCATTACCTTCCCATTGTACTCAGGAAGATTTTCTCGTCAGAAATAACCATTTCCCAGCGACAAGCTGCACCACCCAAGGCCTGCCAGCTAGCATTTCCTCCTCCCATCACCCCTGACATGGACATCCGGGATGGCCAAAATAAACACTTTGACGGACATCACCGGGTGTGTGTGCAAAGTTCTTTCCTCAAGGGGCCTTGCAAGCTAGTCCAGTTGCAATTAGCATTCACAGCAGCCCTGCAAGGTAGGATAATTGTCCAGGCATGGAAGCAAAACCCCAGGTCTAGGACCTATTTTTGTTTTTAAGGCAAAAATGCAAGCAGCACGGCTGTTTCCTGCTCCCTAGTGCCTCTGAAGCTCAAACCCAGATTATTTATTGGGTTTTCAAAAACATTTGAATAGTTTTTCCTGCTTCCAATCATTTTATTGATGTCTGCCCATATTTTGAGAATCATTCAGAAAAAGGTGTGTTGGTAGAAGACTTGCATTTGGGACCCATCAAAGTCACGCTTTTGGCTGACATTGGCTGTCACCCAATTTCAGTCGGCTGGTCTTGTTGTACCATCCAGCCTAGGCTTTGGAAGGGGTTTGGAGCAATTCATTGCTGTGGATGAGCCTATTTCATATTCTGTGTTTTTTATATTATATTTTAGGGTGTTTATTTCTCATATTATTGTGCTGACAATAGTTTGTACCGATTTGGGGTTTTCCTGTTACGGAAGTCAGCAGTGTAAGTCACTTTGAGTGCTTGCTGCAAACGGAAGAGTTACACCCCTTTCAAAAACATGCTGGTACATCTTGGGGTTTGCCCTTCCTGCAGTCCATTGCAGACTTTGGGAACGAGTGGCGAGGGCTGTTAATTGTCGGGCAACGTCCATTGCCCACTTCTGCTGCTGCCTGGCCCTCATCCCATTTCCAGGTGGATTAACCGGGAGTTCAGCTAAGACCAGTGCTTTTTTTGTAAGAAAAAGGGTGCCGGAACTCATGAAATTATTTACCTTTCGCATGTAGTCAATCACTGTACACACACCCACACATTTCAGTTGTGTAACGAAACATAACGGTTGCCACCCTCAGTAAGCACTCAGCGCGCGACCACATGACCAGTCACAAGCTGAGCAGCACCATCGCAACCAGCGCGGAGGAAGTGCGCATGCATTGGATTCAACACACAAGCAGCCCGCATGCACCAGTTTAACGTTTTTGCTGCCGACCTGCTACGCTTGACAGGGTGATTCAAATCCACGTGGACCAAACATCAAATTTTCAAAGTTACTTTTAAAACTTGGAAAATCTGTTGAAAAAAGGTGCCGGAACTCTGTTCCAGTGCATTCTATGATAAAAAAAAGCACTAGCTAAGACCATAGTCCATGTGGGAGGTAATAGGGGGTGACACTCTGCACATGAAACACTGAGTTCTTGTCAGCTGGCCTTTTGTGCTGGCAAACACGGAGCTTCAAAGGAATTGTGCTTCAACATGTAGAAGAGAGAGGACCCCACCTGTTCACTTTGGGCTTTGACCCCTCCTACTTTGCAGTGCCCCACCCATCACTGCCACAAGGCACTTAGAACATCAGCCACAATGGGATCTCCAGTTGGTGCGCCCACAACTGGAGTATTGTGCTCAGTTTTGGGTCCCTAATTACAGGAAGGATTTAGCCAGGTTGGAGTCAGTGCAGCGCAGGGCCACAAGGTTGGTGGCCGGTTTGCAGGGGAAGCCGTATGAGGCGAGACTGAGGGAACTGGGTCTCTTCAGCCTGGAGAAGAGGCAACTCAGAGGGGATCCATGGGCGACATACAGGTATGTGAGGGGGTGTCTCACGGAGGTGGGGAGAGACCTGTTCTCCCCTGCAGAGGAAGGCAGGACGCGCTCCAGCGGAGCCAAGCTCAGGGAGCCAAGGTCCCATTTGGATGCCAGGAAGCACTTCCTGACAGTCAGGACCCTGAGAGTGTGGAATGGGCTTCCATGGGAGGTGGTGGAGGCCCCATCGCTGAGGGTGTTCAAAGATAGGTCAGACGTGCACATGATGGCCATGTTGGAAGCGGAGCCAGCTGAAGCCGGGGGTCAGACTAGATGGCCCGGGAGACCCCTTCTGACTCGCTCTGTTTCTATGTTTTACTTATTAATCCACGTTTGTACCATCCAATAGCCAAGGGGCTTGGGGGATGCAAAACGTCATGCCACTTCTGGTGCAGCCGCAACAAACCTTGAACAGATGTCACTTCACCATTCATTCCCAGTTGCAACTTAGCTTCTGTGCCCCCAGCCATTGTCCAAAGCTTCCAATGTGTCCATCGAGGCAAAAATTGAACAGGTGAAGCTTTGCTAACCTTAACCAGAGAAACTTTAATCACCATCTGCCCCAGCAAAACCCTCAAGATATTTCCTCCTGGCACATCCCTAAATTTTGTGGTGTCTCCCGCTCCTTGCCCCACCTAATTGTGGAATGATTTGGGGAATGAAAAGGTGACTCAGATGCCCATGTATCCCATTTATGCCAACTTAGCTCAGTTGGAGAAGAAAGAGCTGAAATGGACGCAATGAACTTAATTCCAAATGCATTTTAATAGGCCCATTAAAAAAAAAGACTCAAAGCAGAAAAGTAGTGTTGGGGTTTCACAAAAGCTTTCCTTGAATCTGATGCAAGGGGAAATGGGACAGGGAGAGAGACTGTAGAAGGAAAGTAATTTCTAATGCTCTAAGTATGCAAAATAGGGGTTCTGGCACTTCCCTTAAAATTTCCAGTCCTCATAGTTCTGAACAAAGTGTTGATTTGAAAAGGAACACGGAGAGTTACCTTAGACCAGATCGTTATGCTCTGACTGTTAGCAGACCGCCTGAAAATTTGGTTGAGATTGTTTTTTCCCATTGCTTCCTTCCTGAGCCATTTAATTGGCGATCCCAGGACCTGAATTTGAGGCTCTCTGCATTGCACTGCAGGTTTTCTAATCACTGAGCTTTGGTCCCTTCTTTCAAATAACAGAGGAACATGGAAATCCACCTTCTAGCTCTGTCCTGTTTCAGACCAGGATCTTTCCCAGCCTTGCTCCAAAATGCCAAAAAAGTGAAACTGAGACTTTTTATATGCAAAGCAGAGGCTCTACCACTCAGCTATAGCCCTTTCCCTAAAAGTAAAGTAAGGTTCCAGTCCTCATGGTTTTGACTTGTGGGCTAATTTACATAGAACAAATAAGTCAGAGCTTTGGTCTGCCTGACTGGCAAAGGATCTTCAGAGCTCTAACGTGGGGACGTTCCCAGCCCTACCTGGGAAAGTGACCCGACTCTTTTGGCATGCTTTGCTGCTTTAACATCTGGCAGACGGGGACTACAGCTGCATCCTGACCTGGGCCTATATCCCCTCCATATCCCCCAACACACAAGGATCACGGAATGTTCAGAATCTGTCGCCACGCTTCCAATTTTGTCTGGAAATTGCATCTTGGGTCCCTTGGAAAAACAGGTGAGGCTGCAGCCGTCTGACGGTCCAGCTGCAGGATCCAGCCCAGCCCCAGCTGCTTACACAGTGGGATAGCTGGCGCTGTTTGCCACGCCGCACTGATTGCTGCCCTTCAGCAGTCGCATGTAGCCGTCTTCACCCCAGTTCTTTGACCAGCTGTGCAGGAGAGAATATGAAGAAAAATAGGAGGATTGCTTAGGAACTTCTGGCTCTGGGTGCTGCGGGAGCAGGTGCAGAAAGCCATCAGTCAGATATTGTGCTGAAGGGGTGTATGGGGTGTGGGACAGAAGTCCTCCGAGCCACACCAGGAGTGGGGAAGCTTCTGCAGGCATATCCAGCCTTCCAGGACCTCCAAATAACCCTTTCTTCTTCCCCATCTGTCCCCCAGCAATTCTGAAAGTTTCCCCTCCATTTTAAAAGGTCCTAAGACTCAGTTTCTGGCTGTCACACCTTTAAGCTTCAATATGCTGATATAGATATCTGTATACATATTTATGAATGTATATTTAGCCCCACCTCTTTAGCATTTAGCCTCTCCCACTCCCAAAATTCAGCCCTGGAAAGCTTGTTTGAAGACACCCCACTGGCAAAATCAATAGATTTGAGATAATTTCATGCCTCAGCCCTGTTTGTTTTCAGAAAGAAAATAATTGAAGGAGGCTGAAATTTGGAGGCATGGCAATGGTGACAGAACTAACCATGTCTCAGTGGGAGATCATGGCATGTTTACTCTCATTTTAACTGATAGGAGCTTGGTGAGCTTTTCCAGAGTATAATTTTTGAAGTCATTCATTAAAAAAACAGGGCAGCCCCCGAAAGTTGTGCAGGCGGGTCTGGCCAATTAGCATACCTTGCTCCAGAAGCATTCAGTGGGTTCCCTGATCACCTATCCTGACCTGGCCTCTTATGGCGAAACCCTCCACCAGCAATGCAGTGGGCAGTTTGGAATGCATTAACTCATCTCCAGGGAGAACTTTCCAAAATGCAGGCAGCTGCAGGGATCAGGCCAACCAACTAGTTTTTGCAGTACTCATCGCCACTGGGGGATGGTCCTTGCCAGAGCAAATGGGCCTTCACTGTCCATTCAGTGCCAAGCCAACACCCAAATATTTTGCATTATAACAGGAAGCAATACCCTGTTGTTGAAAAAAATACTTTTTTAAACAAAGTCCTGCAGCATCCTTGCTCATTTTAAAAAAGTCCAGGGCTTGCATGGTTCCAGCAGCTGGCTCAGGGACTTGGGACTGCTGTGCTCCCCTCTCCGCTTAACCCCCTCCCCCGCACTTTTCGCATGCTGTGAGTTCACAGCGATGCCACCCCCAAGTTTGCACACAGGGCTTCTCACCTGTTCTTCAGAATCCAGTAACCTGTGCCTTTCCCATTTTCCTGGGAGTCGTTGTAGCCAATGGCAAGCATGGCATGGTTCAACACATCCCCGCCCCAGGTGCTCTGGAAGATTCCTGGGCAGAGGAAAGGTGCAGCCCTTTTAGTATTGGTGTTTAGCAGAGGCAGAGCTGGAGCCCTGGAGCTTTCATCCGGAGCCCCGAATGTCCAGGAGGCCCCTTGCCCCACCACCCTGCAGTCCAGGGTGACTTCCGCTGCCCACACATCCCAGATTAGCTGGCAGTGGGGCATGTGTGCCTCCACTCCAGCCTCCCCCCCTGGAATTTTCTTTCAAGTTTCTTTCCTCCCAAAACCAAATGCCCTCCTCTCCCTCTTATTTACATGCATCCCTTTTTACAGAAAGGGTGTCCTTAGGAGAAAGGATCTTTTAAGGACACTAGGGCCTATGCATATTATCCTGTGCAAATTCACATATGCAAATTGATTTTTTAAATAGACTTGAGCCTCCGACCTCTTCTGTACCAAGCATGACCCCTGCTGACCCTCAGCATTTTTCTTTCCTGACCCTCCACATTCCATGGCCACGGAGCAAACTCAGGTTGGGAGGTGGCCCCTTAAATCTCTCTCTCTCCAATTTTCTTTCTGCAAGCCTCAGTGCTCCCTTGAGGATGCTTCGTTTCCCATTTTGGCTGTTTTGGTAGGCAAAGACTGACTACTGCTGGGGAAGTCCCTGAGGCCCACACAGCTCAGCTGGTGCTCTTCACCCACAGGTGTACCTTCACAATACCCCTGCGAGGGAGGCTAGGCTGAGAGGGCATGCTCACCCAGCAAGCTTCAACAGGGGCAGAGGCAGATCTACTGAAAAGTAGATCTGCCCAACTTAGGTGCAGCCAGAGAGCTTCCCAGAAGCCAACTACTCCAAGCCCCTTCACAAGGCAGGAAATTTAGAGCTAGGTTTCAGGTCTGACACAAGGTGCTGGAGGACACCAAATCCACCCAGAGACACCTCTCCCAGTGCCCACCTGGTTTTCTGACCTTCCTCATCCTGTCTCTCTCTCTGCATGTTCTGAATGTTGTTTTTTAACATTTGAGAGTCCGGAAGGCTGCAAAACCATGGAACCTCCCAGCGTTCTTCGGTTGCATGTTCTGGAAATTCCAATCCCACCCTCAGCTTCCAGATTAGGTTCCTGGCCTCTCAGCCTCCCCAGCTTGCCTTTTGGAAATCAAATGCTTTGTACTCAGTCATGCCTACTGCAACAGGGAAGCTCTCCCTGACTGCCATTTTGCAAGGTTGGGGACCACTGGGAAGGCTCTCCCAGGGGACAGCCACCAGGGCCTGCTTTAAGCAAAGGAAAACCCCCATCATCCCCTTCTAGGCAATGGGTTCCAGGATCCATTAGCACGTTGTCCAGACATTTCTCCTAATGTTCAATGACCAGAATTATCACCCACCCATTCTCAAAGCAACCTTCTCTACCTTAAGGGTTAGAAACTTGCTTTTGTTTTTAAGCACCAAAACAAACAGAACTTCTCAGGAAAAAGAATGATGGGTGCCTTCTCCCACTCAGAAAACTTATTTTATAGGCACACACACAGCACCTTGCTGCGGGTAGGCTGTGACAACTGCTCTTCTTGCATCCTTCCAGAATTACCACCACACGGGTCTGGTGACTTCCTTGCCCAGCTTTTGTGGATGAAAAGAACAAAATCCAATTTTTTATAAGGCTCGCAGGCCTTGTCCTTCCCGGAAGGAACCTCACCTTTCCTGTAGAACTGGAACTGTTTGCTCCGAGAGTCCAGGGCCACCGAAATGGGACCCTTTTGGCCCACGGCTTGCTCCAGGGCCTTTTCGTTCCCCTTCGGGATGCTCTCAATGGAACCACAGGTGGCGGCTACGTCTGCGGGGTCGTAGTGGCACAATTTGTCCTGCACAGAAATGGCAAAGTGGGGTCTTTTGCCCAGAGGGCAGGAAAGGAAGGTCTCGGGGCTGATGCGAGGGGCAGCATGGCCAGACGCCTGTCCAGGGACCACATCCTGACAGGAGTCCCTGCCCTTGCGCCTCTCGGTCACCTCAGCAACCTGCTTGTTCCCCTGCTGATCTGTGCGTTTATTCTTTCCATTCCAGGGACTCAGGACAGCTTACCCAATTCTCTTCCTGTCAGTCTTACCTTCCCAACAGCCCTCCAAGGTAGCTTAGGCTAAAAACGGGCTGCTTCAAAGCTGCCCAAGGAGCTTCACGCCTGAGTGAGGAGTAGAACCCGGGCCTCCCCACTCCCAGTCCAGTGCTCCAACCATTAGGCCACCCTGCATGTTCCCATCGTACCTTCCCCTCGTAGGGGTACAACTGCTCGGAGTTGATGCCCCCATTCTTCTTCACGTAGAGGAAGGCCTGAGAGGCAACTCCACCTCTGCACCCATGGTTGTGCTGCTCCCTTGAGCAGTCTACGAGGTTCTGTTCGCTCAGAGAGACAAGCTTGCCGGTCTTGCGGGCGCGCATCCCTTCTAGGGCTCCGGTGGCACTGAATGCCCAGCAAGACCCACAGCTGCCCTGTGGGAAAGAAAAGCGGCGTGACCTGGGGAGCAAGCTTAGTTCTGAGCCGAAGCCTCGCCTTGCTGCAGAATTGCCCTGTGGCACATCTTAGCCCAGGAGAGAGGCTCCTGCCCCGGGTCCGAGAGCCCAGAGGGCAGAAAAGAAAGCGACCTGCCCCACCCTCCCCATCCCATCAGAGGATGACCCTTACGAGACAGGGAAGCTGTGCAGCCATCTGCCCCAAGCAGGAAGCGCTGCAGCCGAATTAGCAGTGTTTTGGCTAATGGGCCCAAGCAATTCTTCTGCTGCTAACTGAAAAAAGCAAGAAGTGGCACTGGATATGAATGGCTGGTTTTCCAAAGGAAACCTTCCAGCAAACTTCAGAGCCAAGGTGGAGCGAAAGAGGTTCGCTTCTGTTGCAAGGGAAAAAGGAGAAACCTCAGCATTTAACGCTGGTCCTTTACCACTTACACCGACTGCCAACTGAAGTCCAGGCCCAGTTTAAGGTGCTGGTGATGAGCTATAAAGCCCTAAATGGCTTGGGTCCGGGATACCTGAAGGGGCGCTTCCTTCCCGATATGCCCTCCCACCCCTGAGGCAGAGGTCCTTCTCTGGGAGCCCTCCTTGAAAGAGTTTAGAAGGATGATTATCTGGAGGAGGGCGTTCTCTGTGGTGGCACCCCAGTATGTTCCCCAGAGAGGTGTGGCCAGCACCAACACTTTTTTCTTTTTGGCAACAGGCAAAAACTTTTTTTATTTTCCCGTTATTTTAATGTTTAATTGGTTTTAATGTGTTTTATACTGTATGCTGTGCTATTTTAATTTCTATTTTACTTGTTATTTGTTGTAAACTGACCCGAGATGCCAGTAGATGGACGGTTTATAAAAGCTTTAAATAGATAAATAAATAATAAACCAGAAGTCTTCAAAATTTCACATTGGTGGGCAGGTTTGGAATTATGGGAGACCGTCCTGGGGGCTGCCCCCAAAGAGGATTTGCATGTTCATAAAATGGTAGTTCTGCTTTCCACGGCCGCCGCCGCCGGTCACAAAACACGTGTTTCCCAGGGGGCACATGTTTGGGACTAAACAATGTAGGATTTCACTTCTGTAGCACAAAGCCCTTCTTTTGCTTTCCAGCATGCCTGCCTCCCAATTAATAATAATAATTCTGAAGAATTAAAAGAGAGAGCAGAAGAGACAAGCAACCGAGGTCAAGAAAAAGACCTCCAAAAGGCTCAATTCGCTGGCGGAACAAGGAGGGGCGCTGCCAGGTCTGCCCCGCTCGGGCCTGCTGAGTACAGTCCGTGTAATCGAATAGACGAGGCACCCAGGCAGGGGCCACCCTGGCCTCACACATCGTTCTGCAGGGAGCCTGTTTTCAGTACACTCACTAACTGGGAAACTATGAATTGGTGCTTGGACTATATTTTTCTTCCTCCTTCCTAATCCCCTTTCCTTTTGTGTCATGATTTTCAGATCATAAGCCTGATGGAAGGGACTGTCTTAGGATACATCTTAGCAAGCTGTTCTGAGAACCCCTCCTCTTTTTTTTTTTGAAGTGCTGGATAACCAGGCTGAATATACTTAGAGAGAGGCACAGAGGTTGGAGACCCAGGCTTGGATGGGGGCTTAAAACCTAGAGAAGCGCATGACAAAGTAACCCAGCACGAGCCCCCGGCTCGGCAATCAGGTGTGGACTCACCTGGTCTTTCACAGGGGTGACGTAACCTTTGTCACGCCAGTCTACACGCTTGGGAATTTTCAGAGTGGTGGATTCTCGGAACCAGGTGTGGTTGCCGACATCTTGCTCAGCCAGGTCAGGACGAAAGCCATTCATTCTCTGGTTAAACTCTTCGTTGGTCTTGGGTGGAAAAGAGAATTTGCTGAATTTCGAGCAGGAAGCGGGGGATGGGGGGGCAGCAGTGGGAAGAGAACGCAAGCAAGCAAAGGCAAAATGAGAAAGAGGGTGTCCCATTGTAGCCCCCCGGGGCTTGTGGTCATGCCAGCTGCGGATGCGGATGTGGGATAGCCAGGCCAATGGGAACCCTCTGCCGCCGTTGAGTGCAGATCCCACACAGCCCCTCCAGTTCCAAAAATTCTTGAGGATTCTAACCAGGACCCCAAGAGTTAGAATCAATGGTGGGTCTTGCACCCGGCTTCTTTGCAGCCCTCCTGTGTCTTTAGGGGAGCACAGTGCAGGCAACAGGCCTTGCTCCACAAGTTCACATGGCCGGTCTTCAGACTGGCTTGGGCATGACCAAGAAAGACGTGCACCCTCTGCGGGCAACCTCGCCCTCCTTTTGCCCCCAAGGCACGCTGTCTGGGGGTGGGTGAAAGCAGAGCAAAACGTTCATGAGCAATTCCAGCAAAAAGGTGCAGGGGAAAGGGGTTGGTCGAGTTTCTGAGTGTAAAGCAAGAAGCAGTGGCCAGTCATGGGCAAATGGCCAAGAAAAGGATGACGACAAAAGCAGCCTGAATATCCACAGCCCCACATTAAGCTTCCCCACTGCTTCTTCTGGCAACAGGGATGCAATTTCTCTGGAGCTCAGTTCTGGTGCAGAGACTGACACTTTTTGCACCCCAGGAAGAGGCTCCTCCAAACCAATTTGGCAGGGGAATCTCTCTTCGGGCCTCCCTATGTTTTCGGGTGCCTGATGCTCCATGCATCGTTCAGAAAATTCCAGTTCCAAACTGACTTCCAAAGTGCCTACAACTCCAGACAGCTGGGACTTGTATATCCTTCTCTCTTAAATTTGCATCTCAGTCATTGTTCTCTTAGAGCTTACACAACCCCCCATTCTCCATTTTATCCTCACAACAACCCTAGGAGGTAGGCTCTTCCAAGAGCCTGTTACTGAGCATCACCACCATGGGGGGGCTTGAACCCAACCGCCTAAGTCCTACCCCATGAGCAGTGCAAAGAAACGTAGCTGGGTCAAGCAGACGGGCTCGCAGCAAAGTCCATGGCCCCAGCCAGGGTCCCCTTACCTGGTCACCAAAGTGGTTCATGCCCAGCCAGTAGGTGTGTTTCCCCAGGTCAGCCTCATGGTTATGCTTCTCAATCAGATGCAGGTTTTCCTCCCATACTGCTCTGCGGAAAACCTCTTCCCCCTGCAAAGTAGGCACTTGGTGCAAAAAGACCAGTTCCACCGTTCCCTGACAGAGCCCTTTTAAGTCAAGAGCAGGAAAGCTGCAACCCCTCCACCCATCAGCCACAGCCAGCATGGCTCAATGGATGGGGTGATAGACAGTGCAATTCAGCAACACAACCCCCAGCCCTGGTGTAAGTGGTAAGAGGTTTCCCTGGCCCTTGCAATGCGGGGAAGATGGTTTTGCAGGTTTGGGCTGGAAGGATGGGAGTTGTAGTGCAATGCATCTGGAGGCCTCAGGGATGGGGAAGGCTGAGCCCACAGGAATTTTGTGATACCCCTTGACTCAATTATTTCTACATTATTCACCGAGTCCTTGATGAGCGTTTTATCTGAATGGGTTTGTTACGGAATGGATAGATGCATTTTCAGCAGGGATGCGGAACCGTGTGTGGCCCGTCCAGGCCACGGGGTTCCACTGTGCAGGTCACAGAGGAGGTTGTGCGCATATGAATTAATGGCTACTCCAGATGCAGGCCAATACCTTTCCGCCATGCTGGGAAAGCCGGGGCCAGAATCCAGCGCACAGACAAGAAACAGTTTGACTCCCCTTATTTTATAAAATAAAATAAAATTTTAGCAATAAACAGCATTCACCCAGCCAAGATTCCTCTTGGCTTAGTGATTTTATTTTTATGTCAGGAAATAGAAATTTGGCAAATCATCCTCATTTTATCTAATTATTTTGTGCTTGTTGGACTGTAAACAAGGTGTTTGATCAATATACATTGATTAACTGATTATCCTTCCAAGAAAATGGCACTCAGGGTAGCTTGAGGAATGAAATGCGAAATTTGAAAAAATATCCCATCTGTTTAAAGTTGTTCTAAAGTAAGCATATTTCCCACTGAGGCCTTTAAAACATTGCAGGGGTGATCTGTGCATGCTCAGGAGCCCTCCGCTCTAGGGCCTCCCCCATTATGCAGAGACAAACTCACCTCCAGGTACTCTTTTGTGTGGGCACTCTTCCAGTCCCGCCACAATTCCTCCACAGCTGGATCTTGCAAAGTCTTCCCACAGGCCAGGCAGGTCAACACCAGCAGGGAGCAAAAGGACATGTTCGTCACCTAGAAGATGAAACATCCCCGCGGCCATTGCGGCAGGTGCAGCTCCTCCACCCAGTGCACTGCCTCTGGCTGCATGCAGGTAACACAACACCTCCACCCAGGCATCACCTACAGCCGTGAGAAGCCACGGGCATCACAAGCTGCCACACATCCGCAGAGGTCCAGCCACGCAGACATCCTCTGCAAGATCTGGAAAAACCAGGCATCTCTGTTCAGCCCAGATTGCTGGGTTCACCCAGGCACCAGCAATGGATTGTTGGTGCTGTTGGTCGCGAAGTCGTGTCGACCCATTGTGACCTCCAGGCCCTCCCGTCCCCCACCACCCCCCAGAATCCACGCAAGCTCACGCCCACTGCTTCAGCGACTCCATCCAGCCGCCTCATCCTCTGCTGTGGATACTGCCCCGCAAAGAACCCTCACAAGCCAACATCCATTGCGTGATGGCACCCCTGGAAGGGAGCCCGGGTAGCCAAACCGGCTGCATTCAGGACCATGGGAGACCGCCAGCTCTTGCCTCCAGGAAGCCCATCCGGGCAAGTGGGAGCCCAGCCTGGCTCCAGACGTTGGCCAGAGAGGGACCCAATGCAGGGAGCTTTAGCACCTGTACCTGGCAGAAGGAAACCCCTCAAGAGATTCAACATGAAAAGCAGGTGCCTGGACTTCATTCCTTTTTCCTCTTCCCAATCCTTTCCCACCTGGCTTTGACATTGCAGCCCTGAATGTAGGGACTTCCTTATGATTAATCTTTTCACGCCTCCCCTCCATCAAAAAACAGGTAAAAATGCTGTATATGAGCATTCCTGCTTTCTAGCACTAAGTTATTCAAATAAAGAATTGAGACAGTTCCTGTCTTGCTCATACGGTACCTTAGATAAATTCCTTAGATGAGTTTGCATATCAAAGAGGCAACAAAAGATCAGAATGACAAATCCCTTTGATTCTTTTATAGGACAGGACTTGACTTTTCAACCCCCAATTCCTCTCTAAATTTAACCAAGTTTGCATCATTTCCTGAGAAATGATACCAGTATTTCTGAAAGCCGTCTACATAAAGGTCTTTGAAGTATCGGTGTATGCCTAGTGATGTCAAATCCACATCCTTAATGTGGTGGTTGTGTGAGTGCTAGACACCTAACCACATCCTCTAGGTTGCAGTCCACTTAATATTTTACTAATTTTAATCTCATTCCTGGGGATGCTCAAGCTTTGAAAGGCCAAGCGCCTTCTCTGAAACTGACTGTGTCCCCTGATTCAACAGAATAAAAATGGGCCTGGAATGTAAAAGCCAATCAGTTAAAAACTCACCAATGATTGTGTTGGGAAAATTTGGATAAATCTTGTCAGAAAAACATTACTTCTGTGTGCTTTTTGCATTGTGGGATCAAATCCTGTACTTCTCAAACCAAGCTAAGTCACTGTTTCAAATGGCCTTCCTCCCCGCCCCCCCCCCCACCCGCTCCTTTCTCTCACCTTTAGCTGTAAGCTACAGTAGACAGGCCATTTAGTCCAAATAAACATTGTAAATAATTATTGTTGTAATTCAGTTTTACAAGGAAGTATCTTCCTAGCCCAGGGCTTCATATGCACTGGTCATTCAGAATGTTTAGAGTCTAGATAGGGGTCTGAGCTTATCATGAATAGTTTCTCAGTAGCTTGAATTTACATGTCTAAGCAGACCTGGAGATGGGTTCAAGTTACACAACTAAAGTGTCAATGCACTGCAATTAGAACTATTGTAATCTCATTGTTACAGTGTGATTGACTGACCTTCCTTCATCTGTTCTGTATGTGATGACCTCAGAACCTTATTGTAATCTCTGCAGTCTGTCATCAGTTGCCATTCTGTACCTATAAATGCCCTGTAATGGTATTGAAGCTTTGCAGCAGAGTTCACCTCTGCGTACTCGGTAATGCATTATCGTGAGTGTACCGCGGGAACCTTGGGTTAATACAATAAAGCTTAGATGGTCTGGACACTTGATCTTTCCCACGAAACCAAGTTTTATTTCCTCTCCTCAAATTGAGATTCTGGGATTCTGACAATTGAGACATAGCAATGGCAGGATGCCTGAGAAATCTTCTAGGACTGAGAAAACCCAGCTACCTGCCCCACATCCTGCCCTTCCTCAGTGACCCCGTCTGGAGCCCATGCAAGCAGAAATGAGCCCCAGGAGATTTAAATCTCTGCGGATTGGTAATTCGTCATCCACTTTTGCTCCTTCAACGCGAGGCACCTTCATGCCAGTGCTTGTATTTTTCTGGGTTTTCATGGTCTTCTCACAAGAGGCTGTTACTTAGCAGGCTGGCCTGGTAACTTCCACCTTTCAGCTAAGATGTCTTCTCTCGTGCCCAGCAGCTCCCAGCTCTCAGCCAGGTCTGCACAGGAACAACTTGTAAAACCTGAATCCACCTGGGAGAGAGCCTATAAAAGCAAGCAGGCGGATGAAGGAATGATCCCCTCAGACCTCTAGAGGGTTGCATAGCAGAGACTCAGTCCTTCATATTATTATTATTATTATTATTATTATTATTATTATTATTATTATTATTATAACATTTCTATGCCGCCCCTTGCCGAAACCTCGGGGCGGCTTACAACATGATAAAATATCCCTCCTTTTTTCCTCATTGAGAAACCCGGACAGCTCACATAATCCTTCTGCTCTGTTTTATCCACACAACAACCCTGCAGGGTAGGTTAGGCTGTAAGTCTGCCACTGCCCCAAAAGGATCCAAGAAGCTTCATGGCTGAATGGGGACTAGAACCCAGGTCTGCCAGCTCCCAGTCCATCATGCTAGCCGCTACACATATGGGACTATTACTTCTATCATCCCCAGCACAGACCTGCTAACTGAGGAGATGGAAACTGCCATGCAGTACACCCAAGGGGCACCAGGTTGGGGATGGCTGAGGCTCTCCTGACAGTTTGATGGGCACTGCACTCCAGCACATGTGGGGAGCACCAAAGTGCAGAAGGCTGGTTCTGAAAGCATTTCCCAAGGAAAAGCCAGCATCCCAGGCTGACGCTGGTCACTTATTCCAGCTGCTCCTTATTCCAGAAGTCCAAGCCAACTGATCAGAGGGCTGGAGGGGGGATCCTCTTAGAGCAACAGGAATTCGGGAGCAAAGAAACTCAGGAGTGGCTATTCCATTTCAACCTGGTCAGGCTGTCAGGTTTCTGCAAGAGTCCATCTTGCTTTCCTGACCTTGGGAGAGAAAAGTTTGCTGCTTGCCAAGCAAAATCTTGGAGAGTTTTGCTTGGCAAGCAGCAAAACTCTGAGGAAGGGCTTGGCTCTGCAGCTGGACATTTTCTGGGCATGGAAAAGATCCTGGGTTCAAGATACGGGGCTGCCACTCATGTCTGAGTTTGCAAACAGCAGTTTTCCACACAGGGCACGGTCTCTCGGTTTGAGGCAATTCTCGGCACCCTGCGCTTGACTCAGAGAAGCTGACTTCTTACTGGAAATGCAGGAGGGCATCAGAAGAAAGAGCTGCAGACTCTGAGGATGAATCATCCTTTTTCATCCCCCCCACACACTCTCATTTTCATTATCCAGCTTTCCGGGTTGCCAATTTCTATTACCTATCATTGCCTCTGTGCCTTTAGAGCTGAGGGTTCTGGACAGACAGCCGGACATGCCATCTTCCAAGTAACTCCATTCCATTTCCCCTTCTGATTTTTTATGGCTGCTAGGAAGGTTGGGAGTTGTAGGATTTTTCTTCTAAAATGTATAGGACTGTGCCCTTAGAAGTTTGTGACATGTTGCAGGAGCAGGGCGGGGGGGTGGGGGAGGTGTTCACTCCCCTGACTTGCCTCTCCAAAAGTTTTTAGACCTATACAAATCTACCCCTTTCATATTTGTCAGTGTTGGATACATGACACCATGTGATAAAAATGATCTCTTGCAATTGTTCACCTGTTGATTTATAAGAAATTGCTCTTAAATGCACATTTTTTTCCTGGTTACTTAGCCAGCCAGTTCCCAGCACCGCTGGTGCTATTTGGCACCACAAAACCTGTAAGAACCAGTTGAAATCTGCTTCCCACCCACCCCGCAACCCTCCGGATCTTCTCTCAAGACATGCATGTCCAAATGTAGAAACGGCACAGGAAGCAGCCTGATGTGAGAAGCATTTGAAAAGAAATCTAAGATGACATTTTGGGGGTATGTTTCTTGATCTTTTAGACTGATTAGATGAAGTCTGTTATTTATGACAGGCAGCCCAATGGGAAATACAAACCAGAAGATGAATCTTTGTGGTTGTGCGAAGCTGTTTTGTTTCTACCATTAACATGACAACACCAGATTATACCAAATTAAGTAAATATTGCAAAGTCCTAAAAAGCATGTGGGGAGGGGGGCAGGATGATGGCAGGGGAGGCAAAATCAGCCCATACGGGGATGAAAGAAATTCACGGTGTAAGAACTGACAGATGACTAGAAAGTCTTCCCAGATACAAAAGGAGTTCTTGGCTGCATAGACATTTCCAGAGTATTAAAAAGAAAATAAGCAGATAAAAAAGAGTAGCTGGATCTGCTGGAAGGTCAATAAAACTCGGTGGAGCAAAAGAAGGGAGTTTTACAGCGTTGGCACATCTCTGCATGGGAGGAACACCTGGAGAAAGGAGAGAGACTTACATGAGGGAAGGGACTGCAGCCAAAGGGGAGACCCTGAATTCGGTAGAGCTGCCCCCTTCCTCATAAAGCTTGTTTACACAGAGACATCTCTCCTGCATTCTTGACTCCAAGGGCATCTCCCTCCCACAGAACTTATCAAAGGAAAAACATTGCCTCAAAGAGAAGGTTGAGAAGCCTCATAGACAGACAAATGCCAGGAATGATCTTACTTGCATGCTCATTAAGTCTGTAACGAGAACAGGGGCTCACATCAAAGGAGCCCCCAAATCAAACATGCCTTCCACCCATCAAGCACCCTGCCGAAGCATGCATTCACAAAGACCCAGAAACTGTGGGTGAAGTGCAAAATACCCAGAAAAAAATCCAGAATATATGACAGAAGTTGCACGGAACGCAGAGCAGAGCTCCCCGCAAGCGTGACAAGATTAATCAGCATAAATGTTAAGAATTAAACTGCAGAAGGGACTCCATAATGGCTTGACACAAAACCTTCACATTTGCAAAAAACAAAACAAAATTCCCTGCTCCCAGTCTATGTAAATATTTCCAGTTCATTCCCAGAAACTAGAAAATATAACCCAACTGGACCTGCCCAAACAGCAGTGAAAGTTCATTAGGGCTCAAATGACTAGTTTTTCCAGGGACCCCACATCCCCGAGCGGTACCTGCCAATTCAAACCACGTTGAGTCAGCTGAAAGCTTGATCAACTCTGACAACCACCACCAGATCTTTATTTGGTATACACCACTTTTCTCTGAGCAGCTAAAAGCAGTGGGCAGGAATGGCAGCTTCGAGTGAGTGGAAAGCTTTGCAGAAGCACAGAATCTGGGAGCCACGGCTCAGCCACCGGTGGAGTTGAGGCCTGGAAGCTGGGAAGGCTCGGGAAGGGAATCCTCTCCGCCAGGCTAACGGGTCGGGTAGCTCGCTTGGTTGGCCACCCCGCAGTGGTTGCCAGCGCCTTTCACCAGCCGCATGTAGCCCTTCTCACCCCAGTACTCAGACCAGCTGTAGGAAAGACGAAGGGAGAACGTTAGGGAAGATGTCACTCAGGTGAGTGGGCTGTGAGGTCAAAGACTGGGAAATGGTGAAGGGGAACAGCAGGTTGTGTACCTGTAGCAGAAGTTCTTCGAGTGGTCATCTGTGCCTTCACACATGGATTGAAGGCATTGCAGCAGGTAAAGACGCCAATTCCAAATGCCTTTGTTGAAGGTGACATATAATTGTTAGAAAGTGGCATGCAAGACAACAGGGTCTCTGCCCCTGGCAGCTTCCAGTCTGACTCTAGAGAGGACACGGGAGGCAGAAGTGGAAATGCTGGGGACTGCGTGCTTTCAGAACAGGCAGTTTTGTCCCCTGAGCCACAGTCCTTCCCTGCCGTGGCCTCTATGCATCACAGACGGGGGCTGTGCCCACACAGTGCCTCCCTTGCGAAGATTTCTCTAGCTTAGCCTAGAACTTTCCATGGAGCCCCACCCCCTCCCTCCATGTATATATGGGTGAGCTCCCACCATTTTGATAGTTCCTGGAGACCAACGTTTGCATCCAGTGTAGTTACATGTGTATTAGCTGGAAAAAAATGGAGAGAGAGAGGGAGGGAAGGTACATGGGTCATGCTTTTAGCCACTGACCCCAATGGAGGGCCGGTGGGTGGGTTGTGTGAATGCACAGATGACCACTCCAAGAACTAGAGTTACAGGTATGCAACCTGCATTTCTTCATCGTGGTCTCCGTGCATCGCACATGCAGGTGACTGGCAAGCATCCCTCAACAGCGGTGGGAGGTGTCAAATAGGTGTATAATATGGGAAGTAACGTGTCAATCATCAAGTATGAGAGCACGTATTATATACAACAAAGCATATTAAAGTCAACATAAACAGATCAAACTGGTATGTACATTTTTCATTTATACCTGAGCTAAATATATACAGTCCACCATGATTTGTGTCCACAGATCTGCAAGGTACGTCAGCAGCATCAAGAGATGTTGCAGTTGCTGCAGCATGCAGGAGAGTGTTGCCCTTCCACGGGAGCAGTCCGTCTTTGCTTTAATATCTAATTTGCAATGTTTAATGAATGTTGCCGGCATCAGCCAAGTCACCGCTTTGCATAGACTGTCGCTCGGAAGTCTGGCATGGAGTGCCGTGGAAGCCGATACAGCCCTTGTGCACATGGAGTGTCTGGTAGCTGCAAAGGGGAAAGCTGGAGTGCCAACTGGATGGTCTAATTGCTGGGGCCCGGCCAGGTCTCCTTCAAGGTAGCCTGCGTATTTCACAAAGAGACAATCTGTCTTGCAAACATTCTCTGTTCGGAACTGATAGAATGAAAGTGCTCTGAGAAGGTCAAGAGTGCGCAGAGCCTTCTCGATGTCCATTGCAGGTGAAGGAAAGAAAACTGGTAAGACTGTCTCTTGACTGATATGAAACAGTGAGGAGACCATGAGGGGACGGGATGGGTCAGCCCGTGACACGATCTTGTCTCTGTGGAACGTAAGCCATGCGGAGTCCACTTGTATGCAGAGGGTCACTTGCTCTGCTCTGGAGGTTCTGGCCACCAGAAAGGAGACCTTCCAAGATAGGAGTCGAAGGCCTGCCATGGTTAGCGGCTCAGATGTAGCACTACGGAGAGGCTCCAGCATGGAACCACAGGCCGAGTTGGAGGTTGAAGGTTCGTTAGTCCTTTCGGAAATCAACAGGAGAGGGCATGGGAGAAAACCGTGTGCCCGTTGCTCAGTCCATGGAACGCGGAAATTGCAGACAAATAAACCCATATTGAAGTGCGTTTAATCCAGAGGTATGCCATGTATGCAAAAATTGGAGAATATCAGCGACTGAAGCTGGAGAGGGATCAAAGGAATGGAGTTTGGCAAATTGCACAAACTTTGCAATCCCATTTTGAAGTATGGGATGTTCTAGTGTTAGGTTTGTGGGAGACTATAAGGATCTGTTGAATGGCAGGATCCAAATCTGGTGTGCTTGGTATGAGGCAGTCGAGAGCAGAGCCCATAGTCTGCATTCTTGCCAGAATGGATTGCTTCAGGTTTGAGCCTGTCAGTTCCAGCTCAGTGGAAATTGAGGTTGTCAGAACAGAGCTATGGTGCTTTAGATCTGAGCGAGATGGATTTGATACGGCATGGTTCTGGAGGCTGTTGTTGGTAGTCAGGGACGTGACTAGATGAGGTGATGGTATCGTTGCTGATGCGATCAGAATGATGTGATCTGGAGTTGGGATGGATTCATCAGGATTGACCAGGCAGTTAAACGGAGGCTGTGAATCTCAAGATGGACAATCTTTCCATGGTTTGGAGTTAATGAGTCTTAGGTAGATGCGTGTAGACCTTGTTGGACAAGGATAGCAGCGATGGGAACCATGTGTGGTCTGCCATCATCTTGTGATGAGGGGAAATTGTGGGAATGTGTAAAAGAGCGTTCCATTCCATCGCATTCGGAAAGCATCTCCCTTCGATCCCCACCCGATTCCTGCTCTCGAGCAATCGCCTGGCATGCCGCACTCTGTTCCGTGGTGAAAAGGTCTGCTGATGGCCGTCCCCGGGGTTCAGAGATGACTCGCAGTATCTGCTGGTTGAGCCTCCATGTGTGGGGCTGGCCTGGGGAGAGGCTCCGCGCAGCAGCTGTGACGTTTTCTGTGCCAGCCATATGAATGGTCGCGAGGGAGAGGTTGTTGTCCCCATCAGCCGAGTCGGTGTCGGGGGACGGGGAGAGAGCTCTTTTGTGCCCTCCTGATGAGATACACTGTGTCCCCCTTGCTCTCACGGCAGGGGTCTTGTAGGGGTCCAACCGAAGCCGAGTGTGTCACCATAGGTGGAGGCTGCCAGATGTAGTGAGGGTGGGCTGCTGGTTCCCATGGATAATCCTTGTAATGAGTCTCAGAAGTAGGCAGCGGAAGTGGTCTCTGCAGTGCCGATATTGGAGTGAATCTACTGGCACTGATTTGTGAGGTGAGATCCGTGAAGTATGAGCAGAAGGTGGACAGTGGGAGAGGCCTGGTGTTGGTGGCAGGGGGACTGGCTCCTGGCGAAGGGGAGGAGCTCTCTCTGGTGGAGCGATAGGGAACTCCCTTATCTCACCGTCTGAGAATGAGCCCGGTGCCGGCCTTCCCTTCTGCGGGCTTTGTTCACTCGGCGTCTGAGTGGACGAGCCACTGCCGATCTGTACCGTTGGGTAGTGTCAGACCAGAGAGGTCAGAACCGTCGACAATGGGATCAGAGCATCCTGAGGAGCTGGCGGTCCCAAAGGCTCGCTCTGCAGTCGTTGCCCTTCCAGATGGAGAATGTTCTTCTGGGACGGAACATGACGCCTGCGGCCCTTAGTCTCGTTCACCTTTTCCTTCGGTTCTGAGGTTTGGAACAGAGAAGCTTAACTTTCTCCTTGCTTTTTCTAGGAGCCTTTGGTTCTCCCCGATCAGCTGGTGGATTGGTTTTCTCAGAGGGGTTGGTGGGAGGGTGCTTCCTTCGAGGTCCAGGCAGCCTGACCTCCCTCCTTGGCCACTGTGCTCATCTTGCTGAGAGCCCTGTGCCATATCGCCACCTGAGTCCTGCCTGCTCTATTTCTACGCGCCTGTTTAGAAAATGCCTGGCAGTGCTTACCCTTATCCACCCAACGTTCTTCATCAAGGCAAAACAAGCATGGAGAATGTGCCTCGGAGGATGGCATCTTTGCCCCACAATTCGTACACTTCCAGATGGCCAGTTTGCGAAGTGACATTATGCAAGATAGAATAGATATAGAAGACCATGATAGAAGGAGTTTTTATTATCTTTTATGAGGGGGAATGAAGATGAGAGAGTGGGGGAAAGCTCAGATAGCAAGGAGAGGTAGTGAGAAGAAGGAAATTAGGAATAAAATCACAAAGGAATGATAGGAAAGTTCAAAATATCATAGAAGAGTAGTCAAAGAAAGAGTCAACGAACACTAGCGATCCCACTGCACTGGCAAATGGGAGGTCAAATGTGAACTTGTAAAATGGTGGGAGCTTCACCACCAGGAAGGGAGGGGGTGGGGCTCCATGGAAAGTTCTAGGCTAAGCTGGAGAAATCTCTGTGATGCACAGAGGCCACGGCAGAGAAGGACTGTGGCTCAGGGGACAAAAGTGCCTGTTCTGAAAGCACGCAGTCCCCAGCATTTCTACTTCTGCCTCCCGTGTCCTCTCTAGAGTCAGACTGGAAGCTGCCAGGGGCAGAGACGCTGTTGTCTTGCATGCCACTTTTGAGCAATTATATGTCACCTTCAACAAAGGCATTTGGAATTGGCGTCTATTACCACACATTCATATTTTGGTACAGCTGCAATGTTTTCAATCCACTACATGGGGGAAATGAGTTTTTCCAGCCTGGCACTTTCGGTCATTTTGCTGCAGTTTCACTTCCCTGTTAACCTCACCTGGGCCAAGAGGGCATTTTATAGGAATGCCAGGTTCACACAGGGGACAGACACCCATGGAAAACTCACAAATGGGACGTGGGTGTAAACAGCACACTCACACCCAAATTCTCCAGCTACCAGTAGACTTAAGCACACTGACTCTGACACCAGTGGTTGCACATGGCCATGAGGACCAGCAGCCTTGGATAGTCTCCTCCATTCTGGATCTCTCAAATCCCCTTTCAGAGCTATCCAAGTGGATGGCTGTTCCTACACACCATACCTCAGAAGTAATTAGCCCACTTCAGCACACCAGGAGGGCCCTCCTGGATCAGCACCAAGGTCCATTCTGCTCACAACCAGCTCTTCATGGCAGAGACGGTAGCAGAACCTGAGCGCAACAGCATCCTCCCGCCCATGTTCGCCTGCAGCTGGAATATATAGACTTACAGCCTCTGATATTGGAAGTGGAGAGGGACCATGAGGACTAGTAGCCATGGATGGCGTTCTCCAGCAAATTGTCCTTTCCCCTTTAGAGCTGTCCAAATGGGTGGCCATCGTGGCATCTCACGGAAGTGAGTTCCAGAGTTTAACTCTGTGCCATGTGAAGGAGCCCTTCCTTCAAACTGTCTCAGTCTTCCACACATTAGCTTCATGGGGTGGCCCCTTTGAGGTTCGAGGCATATGAAAGGGAGACAAATTTGTCCCAGTTTGTCCACTTTTGCACCCCCCAAGAACTTCCCTCGCTCTCCTCTTTTCAAAGCTAAAAAGCCCCAGACGTCTCCTTTCCTCATGAGGATCATCGCAGCCTCTAGGTCGTCTGAGTTCATCTTACTGCACTTTCCCCAGCCATGTGGTGCAGTGACAAGAAACAGACACGTTTTCTCCTGCCCAGTTTCCCAGCACTGAGCAGTCTCCCAAACCCCTCCAACACCTGACAAAAGGCACCTGGGAGGTTGGGGGGCACTGCTCCTGTTTGTTTATTTATTAAACTTGCATTCTGCACTAATAGTTCTGTATGCCCCTCCAGAAAGATTAAAACAGAGCAATTTGCAGTAACAGATCTTTAAACAAAATCGAACTCTTTCTGTATGATCTTTGGGCCTAAGGATCTGCCTGACTGGGCCAGGTGCTGGTGCTTGGCAGGATGGGACATTCCACTACAGTGCAAAGGCCATGCAACCGCCTCCACCCCATGCCGTTCCCTCATTGTCACCTGTTCTTGAGGATCCAGTAATCTGTGCTCGTCCCATACTCTTGGGACGACCCGTAACCAACCAAGAGCATGGCATGATTCACCAGGTGGCTGCACCAGCTGCTGGAGAAGATTCCTGGATGGAGGAGAGGTTTGGGGGCAGAGAGGGATAACAGACAGAGAGGCATGTGAGCTCCCATACATGTCGCAGAAGGCCCAAAGTCGCCAACTTCTGGGTTTTAGCCTGGACTTCAAGGAAAAAACCCTAGTGCCAGGCCACATTTTGGCTGTCCTTCAGCACGATGGACAGTTCCTTCAAAACCCAGGTGGAAAACCTGCCTGCTTGACACTGGAGCTCATGGCCTCTTGGGTAAGTCACTCCTTGGCTATCCAACCCCTGTGCTGAGTGAGGACATGAAAAGCAAAGGGAAGCCCTTCAGGAACACTAAAGTCCATGCCAAGGCAATACCTTGGTTGCGCCAAGGTCGCAGACCCGCATGCAAGTGTTCTGGGGCTACCTGAGCAAAGACAAAGAAATGGCAAGGTGGACTGTCCAATGGGAAATGTAAACATGCCATTGACTCCCAAATCTGTAAAAATGGATCTTGAGAGAAAGAGGTTGCAGAAGGAAATAGGCGGGGAAGTCTGCAATCAGATACTTGCTTTGCAAGCCAAAAAGCCCATTATTATTATTATTATTATTATTATTATTATTATTATTATTATTATTATTATAACATTTCTATGCCGCCCCTTGCTGAAACCTCGGGGCGGCTTACAACATGATAAAATACATTGAAATACAATAGTACATAATAAATTACCATTAAATATAAAAATACAAAAAAATACATTGATTTACAAATACAAAATTAAAATTATCAGTATAAAATAAAAATATAGGAGGAGAAAGAGAAGGAAGAAGTTGCCCCGGCCAGATCATATGTTTTAACAATTGAAATGATGTTTAGATAAAAAGGTCTTTACCTGGCGCCGAAAAACCAGTAACGACGGTGCCAGGCGGACCTCTGGATAAGGCTGGGAGGAACTCCTGTTTAATACCCTAGAAACCTGTTGTCAGTTGCTGCTAAACCAGAAGTGCAGAACCTCCATCTCTGAGTCATAGTCAGTGCTTTGGAGATTGCAAGGGGCTGTCTGGCCCCAGCACCTCCCTCCTGCCTGCCTCTCACAGTAGGGGATTTCATGGCTTTCGTGAAGTTTTTCTCCAACTCCATATGGTTGAAAATGCCTCTCCTAAGGCTTAAATTCTTGACCCCAAGATTTTAAAACTACAGAGCTTTCCTACAAGAGACACTTTATTGTACATATATACACAAATGTATATACAAATGGTACACATTTTATTGTACAGCAACTCACAATTGCTTGCAGGTTCTTTAGAAGATGCTGTGACCCTCTGCAGTTCTGTTATTGTTAAACAGTATATTTGGGGGTTTTGTTTGCTCGCTTGCTTTAGTTTAAGAGTGGGTTATCACAGCAAGAGAAAGTGCCCTTTCGCTGACATATGGGTGCTATTCCACTGTACTACACTGCCACCTAGAGTTCATGGGTGGGAAAAGCAGGAAAGGAAATTTCTTTTTTCTGTAGGGCTTTTTCTTTTTTAATGTCTCAATTCAGCAACGAAACTGAAGGTCAGTAAAACAGTTCAACAGCCTTGTGTGTAAATGCTAAAACTATGTGGCATTTTTTGGAATGCTGGCCTCATTTCGGCTTCAGCACTGGCTGTTCTGGGAACGTGGAAACACCCCTGAAATTAGGACCTGAATATCTAAAAGAACGTCTCCACCCATATAAGCCTACCCAAACTCTGAGACTGTCATCAGAAGTCACAAGATATTCGCCAAGTGCTGTCCTTATATACATTCTAGCACCAGACCAAGACATTTTTATTCAAGGAGGATTTTAATTGTTGAATATTTAATTGTGGAATATTTTAGCTGGAATTTGATTTTCATTTTAAAGTAGATTTTAGTATTTGTAACTGTGATGTTTTAAGATTTTTCCAATCTGTTGTTAAACTATTACTGGGTGTTCCTGCTATGAGGTGATGTTACCTTACTTTTTTATTTATTGATACTGTGGTTTTAGTTATTTATGAAATTTTATGTTGTTGGTTTTTATTGTGTAAACTGACTGGAGAGACATGTGGCTATGAGACAGTATATAAAAGTGCTAAATAAATGAATTGAATTGAATTGAATTCAGCCTTCAGGCTGAAAGAAGTTCAACATCTGTTACTGAGCATGATGGTCTGACTGGTGCGGGGATTTGGCCACGATCCAATTTTCAGCACATGTTTGAAGGGTAAAGACCCCTTCCTGATGTTCCTCTAGAGTCTCATCCATTCCAGCATCACAGCAGGCTGCAGATTTTGCCAGACCATTTGGAAATCAACCCACTCGAATGGTCACCCTTTCGACACCAGGCCCCCTCCCTTTTCAAAAGGGGCACATACCTGATTTATAGAAATGGAATGGGAAGTTCTTGGCATCCACAGCCACCGAAACTGGGCCAACAGTGGCCACGGCTTGCTCCAGGGCCACCTCGCTCCCCTGCGGAAGCATCACCAAGGAGGAGCAGTTGGCCATCCGGTTCTGCGGGTTGTAGTGGCACGCTGGCTGTTCCTGCGGGGAAGAAGTGAGCGAGGTTTTGTTTGATGCCGTGTCATTTACAGGGGGGCACTGGTGACCACTGGACATTTGGGTCTATGGCCCCTGTGATCACTCGCTGGTCAGGGTGCGGGGAGCTGAAAGTGTCTGCGGCACCGCAGGTGCCAAGTCAAGGCCTTGTGCCGGAGCTGCAGGAAGTCACTTTGCAAGACTCACTCAGTAAAAGTGCGTTCAAGATGGCCTTCTTCGTCCTGGTACCTCCCAGCTGTCCAGCAGTCTGTGACCATTACAGAGATATGGGGTGTCTCCCATCGTGCTTCCCCCCTCCCAAATATTTGTCCTTTTGTGACCCTCACCACCCAGTCCTCTTCTGCGTGGGTGATACTGTTTTATTTTTCTAATGCAAACTATTAGAAACAGAGGGGAACCGACGACTCGAAGTGGAAGCACCGGGAACGCAAAGGCCAGTCTCGCTAAAAAGCCGCATGCTCCGGCAACCCAAAAGCAGGACTGCGGGGCTACACACACGCGCTCAAGCCTTCCTCACCATCCCCACGTAGGGGTAGTCCTGCTCCGAGTTGAGGCCGCCGTTATCCCGCACGTACTGGAAGGCCCGGGTGATGTACCCCCCGTGGCAGCCGTGGTTGCCCAGCTTCTGGCTGCAGTCAATCAAGTTCTGCTCGCTCAGTGGAACCAACTTCCCCGTCTGGTTGAACAGCAAACCCTCCAGCGCTCCGGTAGCACTGAAGGCCCAGCAGGCTCCACAGCGACCCTGGAAACCCAGAAAGGTAAAAAGAGCCCTACTTGAGCTCCCAGGAAAGGTGCCCATCTGAGTGGACCTGTGTGATCTGGGTTCACGCGTACCCTGGCCCTAGTGGGGCAAATTTCCAGTTCTCTGGCTCTGCCATTCCTCCCAGTATGGCCCAAGGATCTGGTCTCACTTTAAATTGAGGAATAATCAGGAAGAAAGAGGAGCACTTGCATGAAAGAGAATATATCATTAATAGAATGTATGCTGATGAAAATTATCCAGAAACAAGCAGAGGAAAAGATCACAAACATCCATCAGTGGGTTGATTATTGATTTATTTGTTTAAAGTTTTTCTCTATCATCATTATATGCCACAGAATCTCAAGATGGTTTGACCTCAAGATTAGACCTTTGCATGCTCCTCATTCTAAGCAGAAAGCCAAGGGACAAACTAGTAAGCAAAGGGTTTTTGTAGGTATCGCCTTAAATGCTAGCAGCTAGGGAGTTTTTGCAAAGACACCCTCAGGCATGGGATCAGGAGTCTCTTGCAGTCCCTGCCTTGGCCATTCAGCCAACCTGTGCCCTTCTGAACGCACCTGGTTTTTCACTGGGGTGACATAACCCTTGGTCCTCCAGTCCACTTCCTTGGGAGTTGATGGAGTGGCCGATCCTTGGAACAGAGCAGCATTCTTGTTGTAGGTTTCATTTGGCTCAGGGTAGAATCCATTCAGCATCTCGTTGAACTCTTCGTCCGTCTGCAGAGGGGACCAAAGTTTATGTTCTTCCCATCCCGGGCCCTATCCTTTTCCCCAGGAGGAGCTATGGGCAGACAACAGCCTCCGCAATCCCGGCATGCTGCTGATGTGCCGGCCTGCAACTCCCAGAATTCCACATCTGGAGGGTGCCAGGACTGGGGAGGCTGGCCCAGAATGAACCCAACAGAGGAGGGAGAGAGAACAATAAAGGCGGAGGAAATATTTTCGTTCTAGAATGGGTGGCCTCTTCCCCTTTTCTTCTGGCATTTTCCAGCCATTTCTCCATCCTCTTTTTAACGGTCTCTCCCCTTGTTCTTAACAGGAGGCAATCTAACTGCATTAGTTCCAGTGTTCATTTCTGGCCAGTTCCTTTCTTCTTGTTCCCCTCTCACCTACAATTCCTCTTTTTCAGACCACTGCCCCCTCTCCAAACTACGCTTCTTGAGACAGCTTGGTTCCGGGCTTCCTGCTCCACACATAGAAACACAGAAACAGAGCGAGCCACCTAGTCTGACCCAGCTCCAGCCGCTCCGCTCATGACATGCCCACCACATGCACGTCCAGCCTGTCCTTGAACACCCTCACCGATGGGGCCCCAGCCGTGGGAGCCCATTCCACACCCCTCCCTGTCTTCAGCCGAACCCAAAGAAGTGACTCAGTCCTCCCAGGCACACATGGAAAAGGTTTTCCATCTTCCAGCCAAACTGAGACAAACGCCTCCCCAGTTCCCTCATGGAAGCAGAACTGCGGATGTTCTCTGTGTGTTCCCCATTTTATCAGGAACATGGCCGCCTTCTCTTTAGTCTGGTAACCTGGTCCATCCCATCCAATCTGACTGGCAGATAGTGTCAGGCATGGTCCTTCCCAAGCACTGAGATGTGCTCCTTCCCCTAGAAATAAATCCCTAGTCCTCATGGTTCATGGCTTAAATAGCAACATGGATGCAGCCTTCTGCTCATGCAGGCAGGCACTTGCTCCGTCCCGCTCCGTACTGCCAGCAGTAGCTCCCTGGTGGAACCTGCGCAGCCAGCGCTCCGCCGTGGGCCATCTCAGAAAGCAAGCATCCCATGGCCTCCCTCCAGGCCAGCCAATTCTCGCCGCCCCGGGTGACCCCACCGAGTCTGTTACCAGATCGCCAAGGTGATTCATGGCCAGCTGGAAGGTGTGTTTCCCCAGAGACGCCTCCACGTTGTGCTGGTGGACCCTGTGCAGGTTCTTCTCCCAGACGGCCCGACGGAAGGCCTCTTCCTCCTGCAAACCGGCACACCACTGATGACCTGGCCATGGGTAGAACAGCCCACCTGCCCCCGGGGAGAGGGGGACAGGTGCCACTCCAGGTTGGTGCCAGAGATGCTTGCGGTGCTGGGACCCAGCTGCTCCAGAACGCAGTTGGAGCCCGGCATCCACGCACGGCAGCCGCCTCAGCCCTGGGCCCCTTTTGGAAGAAGCGCGGGGCCTATGTGAGCAGCAACACGTCCTTCCCTGCAGTCAGGGGTGGCACTAGGGGCAGAAGTGGGTGAGTGGGTGGGCAGCCAGGACCCATGCCAGGAGCCCCTACGCTGGAGTCGCTCTTCCCATGCTGCCTGCTAGTTCTCTGCCGCTTCTTCGCGGCCAGGCAGCGGCGGTGGCTTGGAGACGGAGCTGGAGATGCTGCACCCAGCCAGCCCCTGCTTGCATCCCAAGCAAGTGGAAGCCCCCCAAGGAAGCAGCTGGGGATGATGGAGGAGAAAGGGGGGGTCTTCAGAAATAGGGACCCTGAAAAAGGCTTGTAGGCTTGACACAGGGACAGACCACCATAGGCTACTTCAGAGAATGACCCTGCTCAACATTTGGAGACATTTTCACTCCACGGAGTTATTCTGGATGGTCTCCAGGTTTGGTTGATGCTGCAGAAGGTGAAAAAGAATATGGCACGGTGGGTGGGGCTGCTGGTCCTCCAAGAGAAGAACAGGAAATCTGGGAAGCAGGAGGTGGGAACGAAGAAGCAGAGGCAGCTTTGGCAGAGCCCACAGCAAACTCACCTCCTGGTAAGCCTTGCCATGGAGCTCTTTCCACCCTTTCCAAGCCCCTTCTAGGGCCAAATCCAGTGCACAGGACAAAGCCCCCATCCAGAGCAAGGAAGCTATCACCACCACGAATCGGGGAGGCATCTCTGCAGTCACCTATGCAAAGAATAAGCTCATCAGGTTTGGTGTCATGGACCAAACACCTCTTGACACTTGCTAGATTTTTATTTTATTCCTTCTTAAGGCCTTCTTTAATAGGGCAGCTGTCCTACTGCAAAGCAGCCAGTCAATCTGTATTTGGATTACAAAGGGTGTTTTTTGGGGTAGAGTTTGGACCCCACCTCTGCCTTGCGCTTTGGTCCTTTGGTAAGTGGCCTTTGCTTTAGTCCCCCAGTGTGGCTTTGAGAAATTAGGCTACACATGCCCTTGGCAGCCATTTTGTCAGAAATTTTTCCAAAGGTGCCCCCTTGCCAAAAGCATTGGGGACCCCCTGAGCTACAACTCCATGATCTGGGTGGCCATATGTTATTTATTTATTTGGGATATTTCTAGGCTGTCCATCACTCCGCATCTCTGGACGAAGTACTCCATTTGAAGGGATTGTTCAGCCCATGTCTGGTTTGAAGTGCAAGAACTCTATGAAATGTGTGAGAGAAGGAAAATTACTGTTACTAAGCAGAAGAAAGATGGATTACTAAGGACCAGAGCAAAAGACCCTTATAAGGCCAAAGACCAGAGTAAGGAGCCGTATAAAGAGATTTGTAAATAGGAAGTAGAAGGAAGTAGACAGGTTTGAATTAGTTACTAAGGCAAGCAAACAAAGGCGAGTCAATATGTAGTATAACTAAGTTTGAGCACAAGAAGAATAGTATTTCTCACATCAAAGTTCTGAAGAAAAGAAGGGGGGATTGTAGGGAATGGTCAAGCTATTGCTTTTGCAGAGGATAGGGGGTAATTGGCTCTTGGCAGCTGGCGAAAAGGATAATTGGCTTGGAAGAAAGTTGGCCGTTCCTTATCTCATCCTCCCAGTAGTTTTAGGCCTGATGCAAGGTCAAGATGAACTAATGAACTCAGAGTGAGTAGTGCGCATGCTTAATAGGCTTATGAATAATGGCACACCTCGCATAGGAAATGGGCTTATTAGCATGAACATGGGATGCATGAGCTGGTGGGGGAACATACCAAGGAGCAGGTGGATGGAGAAGATTGTGACCTCTTAGTAACCCAGCCCCTGGGCGAAAAGAGGCAGGGGCTGCAAACTGGGGAAAGGGAATAAAAGGCAAAGTGTTCTGTGGAAACGGCTCGCTACCTGTGAGGCGGGCGCCCGCTCTCGCTAGAACATAGTAAAGTAGTGCTGCTTGGCACTTTGTCTCCTGTGTCGTCACTTCTTGGAACCTGATTCCGTTCCTAACAGAAGGGATAACAAAACGTTCCCCGTGCCTGGACAGCCACCTGAGTAGGCATGCCAGTCCCCACGTGTCGTGTGTGTGCAGGACTCCAAGTTGCGGTCTTCCCCACTCAGCCAGGCAAACAGCCTTCCCACTGAAATTACAGCCATCATTTCTACAAGAGGGCAAAAGTCCCTGGAGAAGATCTGCATGCTAAGGAAAGTCAAGGGCAAAAGAAGAAAGGAAGGCCAAATATGAGATGGGTTGTTTCTATTAGGGAAGCAGCAGAATTGAATTTGGATGGGCTGAGCAGGACTATCATATTTTGGAGGCTTTCCACTTCTGGGGTCACCGTAAGTCAGAGGTAGTTTGATGGGACATAGGAACAACTCCCGCATTTGCATCAATACTTGTACACCAACACAAGAATTCCATGAAAACTGACTGCTTCCATCACCCTCTCGTTGAGCAGAGGGATTAAGCAACGTCCTTCCAAGTATTAAAACAATCCAAAAGCAGCAGGCATGCTTTGCTCTCAGCTGCCCTTTCAGCTCTCCACCCCAGCAAGGACAAAGCCACACCCGGAAGTTGGAAAGGCTGTCTGTTTTTCTTTCTTTTCTTTTTTCTTTTGGTTAGTTTTTGCAGTACAATTATTGAAGCTGCAAGACAGAGAAAAAGGCCTACAGTTCCTAGCATGCTGCTCAAACTTGCAAGGGACTTGGATGGCAGCTCAGGGGCAATTCTGCCTTTTCTTCAGCCTCCAGGAAATTGTCACGGTCTTTCGATTGCAAAGCACCTCCCTCCCACCCCCACTGCACACACCATGTGCATTCAGCTTGACCCATGGAAGGACAGACTGTGCTGCAAAAGATGTGGAAAGCCACATTTTGCAAAAAAAACCACCACTTCCGACAAATTGGCACTGTTAAATTTGAGAGAGAGACAGAGAGAGTGAGTGAGTCTTGGCCTCAACCTTCAAAAGGGGCTCTTAAATACAAAAGAACATTTTCTGCTGATTATTTGCATCAAATTATCAGCTCATGCTGGAATTGCCAACACTCCCCAACAAAATTAAAAATAAAAAACCCCGATGGTTTGCTTCCCAGTCATTGGCTTTCCAAGCATGGTGCCTCTGAAACCGAGGCTGCATTCAGTTATCAATAGATCATTATTCCTCACTAAAACTGTTCTCATCCCTTTTGGCTTTAAGGCCACCTAAAGTTAGGGGCTTGGGCCATATCTTTGGCAGAGAGTTCTCAAAATGAACAGTGCATTGCTAAGAAAAAGGAGGGCCTTCTCTGTGGTGGCGCCCCCGCTATGGAATGCGCTCCCCAGAGAGGTCCGCCTGGCGCCATCGTTATTTGCTTTTCAGCACCGGGTCAAGACCTTTTTATTCAAGCGTTATTTTAATTGTTAATATTTATTTATTTATTTATTTATTGGCCAGGTCAACTGAAATTATATTGTTTTATATTGTGTTTGTTTATTGTTGTGAGCCGCCCCGAGGCTTCGGCGAATGGGGCGGCATAGAAGTTTCATAAATAAATAAATAAATAAATAAATAAATAAATAAATAAATAATAACACCTTTCCCCACTCATTCTGCCAATGGCAAGCCTTACCTAACAGGTTCCTCAGAATGTGTGGGAAGAAGCATTCACTGTGCATCTCCCAAAGCATCAAAATTCCACCCTGCCGCCCACCCAGAGTTGTCCTCCTTGACCACAGAGGTGAGCTTGCCCAGATGGCCACACTCTTCCCTCTCGCCCTGTCACCTTTCCCTTGACCCTGATGGTTCGGTGGATTCTCCCTATGTTGTGCTGTTTCCACCCCACACTAAAGCCTTGGGGTGCATCTCCGAAGGCTAAAGAATTGGCCACGAGAGCTTTCAGTGCAACCTGAAGGCCACCAGAGAGACTACAAGGCCACAGGAGTCCCACAGGAGTCCCAGCACCAGCCTCAGGAACATGCCCCAGGGTGACTCTGACCTCAGAGCACCATTCCCCTGCTCTTGTGGGATGAGCCGCACCAGATGCAGCTCTGGGGGTGCAAAGGTTGGGGTGCAGCAAGGCTGAGGGAAAGCACCACAAGCTGAGACCCCTTCCTGGTGGTTCCTTACCCTCTTCTCACACTCTGTTGGGGCCACGGTTAAGTGGTTGAAACTGGCCATCCATGAGTTTTGCGCAGCAGGAAGAGCTTCTCCCACCAGGCATGGGCTACTCCCAAGTTCAGCCTCACTGGATGTTTTGGGGCTCCATCCCTTTTGCTGTGAGACCCTTTCACCACTGGAGTGGGGGCCCCTACATAGAGTTCAGACCTTGGGCTGCAAGAGATGCCCTACCCAATTTCCAACCTTCTCCTGGCCACCAGTTGGAAAAGCACCAAAGGGGCAGACTCATGGAGGAAACTTGTTGGTGCCTAGCAGCATGTTGGACAGATCAAACCCCACCCTTGGGGCCGATGTACTGCTGAGTGGGGAGGCAAGTGAGAGATGGCCTGGGGGCTTCCGCTTGGGCCCCATGGGAAACGGGCTGTTGTTCGAACAACATGGTTCTGTCTTTGAAACGCTGGTTATTGTGTTGTGCAAACCATGATGAACAACCTGTAGTTCGTAACTCAGCAACAAACCAAGGGTGCTCCTCAGGAGCTGTTCGTGTTTCACAGGCCATGGCTGGCAAGTGATGCTGTTTCAGGGGCAGCATGTTGTTAGGTGTTATTGTGCTGTCTGAACCCAGCTGAGATAACTAGTCAGGTTGTGACTAGTTGGACTTGGGCTGACCAGAGCTTTTCTTAAGCTACCAAAGGCAGACAAGCAGAGGCCGGAAACACACATGGTGCCTAGAAGCTGTCCCCACTTGTCATTCCCTCGGGGGTAATTTTCACCCTTCCTTCAGCACCTCAACATGCTGCAGGACAGAACTTGGCAAGGCGGTCATATAAGGCTCAGGGCCACCCTACATCCCAACCCACACAGGGCTGGATGCAAAACCTTCTGCCGTGGGTAAGGAACTCCGTGGCACCAAACATAAAAGCCTATCCTGCCTGCATTTTGAGCAGTCGATCCGAATTTTTGCCTCCTTTGCACCATCCCTGCTCGTACGAAGCTTTCGTGCAGGATGCCTCTCTGTGTGTTGTTCCTTCCTGCAGGAAAACCACAAAGGCACCACAGCTCGCCCCTCAAGAACGGAGCCGTGCACGCCAGCAGGTCTGAACTATGTTCCATATGGATCCTTTCAGCCTACACTGAGACCCTTCCCTTTCAGAGAGCCTGCCCTTCAGGGTCCCAGGTAGAGAGAAGTTTCCTCCATCTCCTGTCACCGGATCCTTCTGAGCAGAAGGTCCATTGATTGGACTCCGGGCCTTTTGCACACCAAGCAGGTCCTCAACAACAGATACAGTTCCTTCCCCTAAAAATCAAGCAAGATTCAAGTCCTCATTGTTCAAAATACTGGTTTAAATAGGAAGCTGCCTAACCCTGGGTTATGTATTCTGCTTGGCCAGGGAGACTACAGCTCTCAAGTAACTGTTGCTTCTTGATCTTTAGCTTGGGGCAGCAGTGGGTTCCTGGGCCTTCCAAAGTGGGTGGCTCTACCCACTGGACTGCGTTCCCATCCCATCCATGACCTACCTCTTTCCAGCAGGAAGGGTGAGGAAAAAAGAGCTTGCACCCCGTCTCTTTCTGCGAGAGGCAGAAAGCACTGCCTCTTATCAAGGAACGCAACTTCCTTCAACTACCTCTCCTGCAATGCGGTTTACACAACTCTGCTTCTAGCAACCATCTGGAAACCACGAAGGCAATGCTTCTGACCTGTCGCAGCTGGGGCCTTGTGGAAAATACCCGTGCAGGATGTTGCTTTGGCTGTTACACTCAGTTTAAGAAATTCATCCTTGGTTTCAAAAAGAAGTAAGTTTCCAATCCTTATTGATCTCCGTGGACAATGCCTTAAAACATCTTCCACTGGGAAGTTAATGGACAAGGCCTCCATGGTTTCTGGACAGAAAATAAAATATTCTTGACATGGCACAAAGTGGTTTCCTCTATTCCTGTTGAAATCAGTCCCATAGTCAAAACCATGAGGACTGGAAACTTTATTTTCAGATGGGAGTGAGAGCCATCGAGCAGCTCCAAAAACTTCCAATGGCCTGCCTTGCTGTAGGAAATCTTCCTATTTGAATCAGTCCTTTATTTAAATCAGCGAGGACAAGTTCCCTTTGAGACTGGACATCCAGCTGAAAGAATGAGCTAGCTGGAAATGGCAAGATCTGTTCTCTGCCCAACACCACAGACTATATGATACCAAGTGGCTGACTAGAATGAGGACATAGAAACATAGAAACAGAGCAAGTCAGAAGGGGCCTCCCGGGCCATCCAGTCTGACCTCCCACACCAGCCAGCCCTGCTCACGACATGCCCACCATGTGGACGTCCAGCCTATCCTTGAACACCTGCACAGATGGGGCCTCAATGACCTCTCGTGGAAGCCCATTCCACACCCTTGGGGTCCTGAATGTCAGGAAGTGCTTCCTGGCATCCAAATGGAACCTGGGTTCCCTGAGCTTTGCTCTGTTGGAGCGCGTCCTGCCTTCCTCTGCAGGGGAGAACAGGTCTCTGCCCACCTCCGTGTGACACCCCCTCACACACCTGTATGTCACCAACTGATCCCCTCTGAGCTTCCTCTTCTCCAGGCTGAAGAGACCCAGTTCCCTCAGTCTCGCCTCATCCCCCATCCCCTGCAAACCGGCCACCAACCTTGTGGCCCTACGCTGCACTGACTCTAACCTGGCTATATCCTTTCTGTAATGAGGGGCCCAAAACTGAGCACAATACTCCAGTTGTAGGCACACCAGAGTCGTATAGAATGATAGTAAAACCTCTCTTGATCTAGAAGCCACACTTCTGGCTATGCAACCAAGGGTGGCATTCGCCCTCTTGGCCACCGCATCCCACTGCTGGCTCATGTTCAGCCTGCAGCCAACCAGCACCCCGAGGTCCCTTTCACAAGTGCTGCTCTCCAGCCACTTGTCCCCTAACCTGTACTTGTGACACCCATTCCAATGCCCCAAGTGCAAGACCTTGCACTTATCCACATCGAACGCCATCCTGTTGTCTCCTGCCCACTTCCATAGTCTGTCCAGATCCTTTTGGATCTGGAGTACTTGCTCCTCAGTTGTGGCCACTGCTCCAGTTTTAGTGTCATCTGCGAATTTGATCAGCAGACTGTTCACCCCTTCTTCCATGTCGTTAATGAAAAGATTAAACAGGATCGGCCCCAGGACAGAGCCTTGGGGGACCCTGCTTGTTACTGGCCGCCATCCCGATGATTCCCCGCTAATGGTTACCTTCTGCTTTCAGTGAGTCAGCCATGCCCTAATCCACCGGAGAGAGCTTTGGTGTATCCCAAAACTCCTCAGTTTCTCCACCAGGATATCATGGGGCACTTTGTCAAAGGCCTTGCTGAAATCCAGGTATACCAACATCCACTGCATCCCCTCCATCTAGCCATCGCAAAACCTTGTCATAGAATTCCACAAGGTTTGTCTGGCAGGACTTGTTTTTGTGGAAGCCGGGTTGTGTGGCTGCCAGCCTCCCTTCCCTGTCTAGCATCCCTAGATCTCTATTACGAGCCTTTCCATTGTTTTTCCTACAGGGACATAAAGCTAACCTGTCTATAATTCCCCATGTCCTTTCTACTACTCTTTTTAAAAATTGGGACCACGGATGCCACCCTCCAGTCCTCTGGTACTTCACCTGTTCTCCACGAGGTCTCAAACATGGAGGCCAGTGGACATGAGAGAACCCCTGCCAACTCTCTAAGTATTCTTGGGTGTAACCCGTCAGGGCCTGGCGCCTTTGTAATGTTCAATGCCCTGAGGAGCCCCTCAACTTCAAGGGGGGTGACTCTAATCTGTGCCCCTAAGTCCACAGCTTCATCTAATCTCCTATGTGGATATCCCCCATCCTGCTTTGGGGAGAACACAGAGGCAAAATAGTCATTTAGCATCTGTGCCTGTTCCCTCATAGCAGTCACTGGATCCCCTTCCTCCTTATTTAGTGGTCCCACTACTTGTCTCCCCTTCCTCTTCCTATTTACATGCTGAAAGAAGCCCTTTTTGTTGCTCTTGATATTCTTGGCAAGTCTCGGCTCGTAATCAGTCTTAGCCTTGCGAAGAATCCTTCTGCAGCGGGCCTCCTCCTCCCGGTATACCCTTTTGTCTATTTGCCCCAGTACCCATTTCCTACGGAGGTTCCTTTTTCGTCTAATCCCTCTAACCACCTCCTTTCGCATCCATGGCGGCCTCTCCTCCGCCTTCCCACCTTACTGACTAGAGGTATCGTCAAGGCTTGTGCCTCCAAAACCTCCCTTTTGAGTGCCAGCCACCCCGCCTCAACTCCCTTGCCTTCCAGTAACCCATCCCAGGAGGCTTTGCCCAGTCTGACCTTCAATGGCCAAAGTTGGCCCTCTTGAAGTCCCAGCTTCTAGTGCTTGACCTGCTGCACTTCTCCAGTCCCCTGTTCTCAAAGCAAAGGATGGAGTGATCACTCGCATCCAGAGCTCCCCTAATCTGTACTTCATCTATCAGCTCCTCCCTATTGGTCAAGACCAAGTCAAGGATGCTCCCCCCCCCCCCATTGTCGCCTCTCAGACCCTCAAAGGATCAGAGCTTTTCTAACGGGCTGATCTTCAATGGGGAAAATTGGCTTGAAATGCCCTCAGCCTTCCTTCAACATTCATGTTGAGCCAATTAGAGGCTTTGTTGAGGCTAATCAAATTTGCATGCTATATGGCTCCACCATTTGATGGAGAAAAATCACGTTTCATGTTTCTGTGCAGTAATTCAGCAGAGCATTAAGGGGGGAGGGACCCTTCTATAGGGCCCCCCGCTGCAGTTTCCAACAGTGGAAAAAAAAACCTGCTCTAGAAAACTCCAAAAAAAACATTCGGTAGCAAACTTCAAAATGCTAGGCCATCTCTCTCACCTGTCGGCCACATGTTCTTCCCTGCTCGTGTCCTAATAGGGCTTTCCTCTTTACTCGGTAGCCCAACGTTGTATAAGACCTTGCGCCCAGACCTTCAGGCCAACCACAGCCTGCCGGGATGCCCCACAAGGCCTTCCCCCACCCAACACCCATCTCTGGGTGCTTTCCTTGCATTTTGAGCAATTCCACCCATCTCTCTCGCACACACGTGTGCGCGCTGTGGCTTGAAATGCCTCTCGAGGTGGTCGCTGGCTGCAAAAGCTTCGCAACCAAAATACATGGCTGTTTTGCTCCACTGACTTTGTCTTTGGCAGTAGCTCCTTTAAAGCCCTCTGGGCTCAGCCTCCCCCAACCCTTGAGAATCCAGCACAAGGAAGCATGCGGCAGGAGAGGCCAGACTAGTTCTCTGCCAGAGCAGCTTGGCGCGGAGACGGGACACAAGGCAGGGCGGGAAAGAGAACTGCCCCAAATCAGATTCGCAGGGCAAGCACATGAGAAAAATACATTTCTCCCAGAAGACCACCTCTCACCCTGGCAAACATCATCCTGCCCCTCCGCCCCCTGCCCACAAACACATACGCACACACAGAGTGTCGCACGAACAAAACCACAATCAGTGCAGGCTGGCAGGGCACCCAGTTTCCAATATTTTAATGAGTCACTACATCTTACCACTCATAATTATAAAAGAATAAGAATCCATAAAAATATTTTCTTTTCATAATACGCACTTAAAGATACTCAGGTGAGTCATTTGTGGTTCATGTTGTCACCATCAATTTTAGGCAAGTTGAAGCTTCTTCTCGCTTTGAATTTCACCCCGCTCCAGGTGAGGAAGTGGGGCGGAAAAGGGACCAATGGGGAGTGGAGAAGAAAATGAAGAGGCAGGCAGATTTTTCCTGTGAGGAGCAAAACGTGATGGATCCCAGCCTCTGCCTGATCCACTCCCCAAAGACTGCAGTTCATGCTGAGCGGATGCAACCTAAAACCATGTTCCTCCAACTGGGAGTCTCCAGGGGTACTGCACTACAGTCCCCACCATCCTGAGCTTTGGAACAATGGGGTTTGTGGTCCAGCACCTCAGCGCGGGAGGGGGGAGAACATTGCTTTAGGTTTGTGAAAGAGCACAGACATGCACACATGAGCTGGAGGAGCACGGGCATAGAAACACAGTCACTGACCTGCAGAGAACTGAAGCAACCCGAGAGAAAGCTTCGGGGCCGCCCCAAAAGCTCAGAGAGTGGAAAAGCAGAAAAGAAAAAAGAAAAAACGCAGTACTGAGAAGAGAAGGGAGTGGCGAGGGAAGGGTATAAGCATAAATAGCCTTGCAACGCCAAAAGCCCACACAGAAAACCAGAGACAGTCACTGGTCGCCTGCCGTTTGTGCTGGGGCCGGGGCCGGGCTGGTTGCAAACTGACGTTGCCAGAGGGCAGGGCCAGTGCGGGCAGAGAACCCAACCCCTGGCGGCTCACGGCCCACGCGACACTCCCCTAGTTCCTGGTTCTGGAGTGCACCGAGATGCCTGCCGGGGCCCCCCAAGTGAGGCTCCCCCACCCACGTGCTTGCTCCTGCCCCGCTCTCCGCGCATCTTGGCAGCCCGTGCCCAGGCACTGCGCAGCCTCGAAGGCCGACCCGTGTGGTGCGGTGGGGCTGTGGAGGGGGAGAGGGGGGGAGAGGGAGACGTGCAGAGAACTGCAGCCAGGAGGGAGGGAGGGAGGAGCCCCCCATACCCAGCACAAAGAAAGTAGCAGCAAAATATGGGGAGAAAGGGAGAGATGAGGGGGACCCTAAGAGGGGCTGGGGACACGAGGGTGAGAGCTCCGCCGCTCCGCCTCCATTCTCCTCATCCATCCAAGGCGACGAGAGAGAGCGGGAGAGAGAGACACGCAGCTGAGGCCACTGGCCCTCCGGGTCTGACGTCTGCTGGGGGGGAGGAGGCAGAACGGTGGGCAGGGGAGCCATCAGCATCCACAATGGTTTGCAAGCGGGCAGGCGGGCAAAGGTCTCCCTGCCCCTCAGAGGTATTCTTGAAGAAAGTGCAGCAGCGTGATTTCGTAGTGCTCCCCAGACTCGGGGCAGCGAATACTGTGTCGCTCGTTGGGGTAAATCTGCAAGGGACGGGGGGAGAAGACGACGAACGGTGAGAGGCTGGGCTGACCTGTACAGTGCAAACTTCTCCTTCCTGACCCCAAAACAGCCACAGCCAATGAGCCCCCCACCCGCCCCCCACAAAGCAGGTGAGCACCACCTGCAGCTCGCTGGTGGCCCATTTCTGCAATCATTTTTAAAGCTTATTCCTGGCTTCTGTTTATTATAGCAGAAATAGTTATCTCTCCCCGCTCAAACCCCTTTTAAGGCAGCATTTACTACAAGAAGCTTACGGCTGCAAAGACATGTCACCGTTACATTCGACGTCTTGCAAGTCTAAAGTGGCCAGCAAGCAAGGGGCTGGTGAAATTCAATATTTTCACAAGTCCCCCGCCCCAAAATCAAGAAAGTAGGCAAAAAGAGTAGCAAGGGCATAAAACAGTAGCCAGGGCATAAAAAAGACTTATGACACAATCAGTGCCTCTCACAGAAAACGGCATTCCTCAGTGCCGAGCATGGTACAACAATCGTTTCGTGCACCTTTTATCACAAAAGCCCGGGGGGGCACACAGGGTACCCCCCACCCCCACACCAATGGATCCGCACAGCAGCACCGTGAGGGAGGGGCCGGCTGAGCGACAGTAACTGTCTCAAGGCAGCCCCACGAGCTTTCAGGTGTGAACAGGGGTCTGAATGAGCATTCAGCGTGGGGGCGGGGGGTACCGTTTTCAGGGGTGACCCCACAATTGTGCAATTGTCTCCCTTTATTTTTGAAAATGTTCATGGCTGTTTGTATTGTGGTCCTTTCCTAGGAACTGTTCTAAGCTGCCTGAAGAGGTTCAACTGCGTATAAAATGAAATCATTTGTCATTTATTTATTTTCTGTTAACTAATTTAACTTCTACACCACCCAATAACTCTGGTGGTGTGCAACCATTCCTAACGGGGAATAGGGTAAAATAAAACTACCACAAATATTTTTCTATAATAAACCATTTAAAAACACACTCACCCACAAAATAGCCAACACAAGGTCGACCTGATGGCTGCCCCCATGAAGTCACACGAGGACTTAGATATCGTTAGATGTTTTTAAACAAAATTAATGTGCCCAGATCCAAATCACTAACACCATACTGGGTGAAGCACCTCCATCCTGGAGGATTCAAAACCCTGTGCATCTCTCATCTTAGCAAGCGAAGCGTTGTTTGCTATGCCTCGCCACCTCCACACAGCCCAGGAAAAAACTTGGATGGGAAGCTGGGCCGCATTCCTGCACTTACCTGTAGCTGATAAGGTTTCCCGGCCCGGATTAGCTGGGAGATCAGGAAATTGGTGTGGAAAAAGTGCACATTTTCATCCAGAAATCCATGGAGGATCAGCAAGCGATTGGGCCTGGGGGGAGACAGGGGGTGGGGCTGAGCCACAGGGCAGGGCTGCAGCTGCTCCCTGGAGAGGTCCGACGGATGGGGCCTTTCTGAAAAGCCCTGTCTTTGAGGAGGAGCTTTCCCAAAAGGCAAATGGCCATGTTCCCTTGCAATGTACGGCCACGGAGAAGTGCTGCTCTTAGTCCGGGCAGCGAAGGGACAAGGGACTTCATTCCCCACTCCATTCTACAGGCGTTGCCCTGTCTGCTCCCAAGTCCTCCCGCAGACTCACCCAAACACAGCGAGAGGCATCAGGTGAGACCCCCAACCTGTGACCAGGAATGCCCGCACACAACAAGGACCGCTCTGGGCTATTCCAGTAAGACACAAATAAACTCCATTTTTCAGTTAATTTCTCTAGTGCATGGCTTTCTTCACAGTTTTTATGGTAAGTGTCATAAAAGCTACTGTCAGAATATGCTGAGACAAGCTCAAAATAAAAAAATATAAACTGCCATTTATAACTTTATAAATGTTTATCACAGCCCACCCTGGGTGCATAAAAACTGATTGGGGGGGGAGGCGGGGGGGAAGCACTGAAAAATCGCGTGCTGAAAAGATACAATTAGGTGTTCTCTTTTTAAATGTGGAAATCCTAACTCTCCTTAAATAAGAACTTGGTTTGGTTCCTGGCTGTGAACGACACAAGCAGCGGCAGCCCTTGCGCAGAAATTCCCCCCCACCCCGCCAATCCCGTCTTTGGCTCCCAGAGAGACTCACTCGTTGGGGAGTTTCTCCACGTGCAGCGCCACCGAGCCGGCTTCGTAGCCTTGCTGGTTGTTTTCGGGAACATCCATGTACCGCTCTGTGTATCCAGTATCATACGCCATCCAGACAGTGACCGGGGCCCCAGCAATGGCCACCTGAGGGGTGGATGGCAGGAGCAGAAGCGGACCGCCGTCACGCTCTGCTCAGCGCACGCTCACCAAGAGGAGCCAAAGGCCACCGCTTTGGCCAGCTGGCTGAATGAACACCCTGCATGATGCCCCCTTGACCTGGGCACAGAAAGGTTCCCGGGCGGCCAGTGCAAGTGGGTTGGCTCAGCCGACCTCCACGGCAGCCGCACGCAGCATGGGAGATGGGGCTTGGGGCTGCATGGGGCGAGCGCGGAGAGGGTGGAGATCTTCGTGGCGCGGCTTGGAGGGAGGAAACCCCTCGGCGTACCTTGAAGATGTGAGGCTTACAGATGAGGCCCATGAGGGAGAGGAACCCTCCGTAGGACCAGCCGTGGATGGCCACGCGGCTCAGGTCGATGAAGCCGTACTTCTCCGCTACGTAATGCAGCCCTTCCACCTGGTCCTCAATCTCCACCTGGCCCTGAAAGGAGATGGCAAGGAAGGCCGCGTGGGACCCTGGCCCGCATTCCACCCAGTGATGGTGGCATCCTGTCTGTGCGAGAGCACGCTCCCTCTTGAAAGCATACAAGCGCAAGGAGCTGCACGTGACAAACACAGTCCGAGCGGACCCAGACTTGCTCCTGCTCACTTTCACCACAACCGCCTACCAGCTAGCCCAGTGGCTGGTGACAAGAAGTGGAGTCACAATGTCCCCCCACCAGGTAAAAAGCGGCATAAGAATGCCCAGACTGTGCAAAAAGTATAAAAATTCACAATTCTTGTACTTGAATCCAATGAAATTCAAGGATGAAACAAGTCCATTCTCCAGCTCCTCTGCCCCCCTCCAACAAGTCTGGAAACACGGCAGCCCTGGCAAGAAAGGCTGGCTGGAGGGGGCCCTGGGGCCTCACGAGCTCCACTGGGGTGGTCTAAGCTGGAGGAGCTGCCACCAGAAGCTCCCCCTTGCTTCCTCCCTGCTAGCTGCTCACCTGGGCTTTTGACACTTCTACCAAGCCCCTGCCCACACCCACCCTCCAGAGACCCTGTGGAATTGCATCTTTGTTGTCTGTCTATGCTCAAAGGGGGCTTTATCAAGCGAGGGAGAAACGGCTCTCACAGTTCTCTCAGCCGCCTTGCTTTCCAACCTGGCTGGGCAAGAAGGCCTTCCACACAGACCAAGCAGACTGGCAGAGGAGTGGCAAAAAGGCCCGTCCATCCATCCGTCCACCCTCTGCCAGACTCACTGCACGGAATTCCCAAGCACTCACTGCTGACAGAGCCGGAGTCCAGGCTGGCGGAGCAGCAACTGCATTAATTCACTGCATGTGGGGAGGCGGCACGTTCGTGGCCGGCTGCCGGATACTGAAGCAGAAACCGGGATGAAGGCTTACCATCTGGTTCTTGAGGGCCCCCTCGAACTTAAGTCCTCTCTGGCAGGACCCCCGGCCATCTATCACCACCACGGCGTAGCCGAGGGAGGCCAGTGTGTTCAGGCGCAGGTACTTGATGCCTTTGAAGGAGTTATTCACCAGCTGGACCTGGTAAGGTGGGAAGGCAAGGAAGGGAAAAGTAGTCTCCGCTGCAGGGACACGCCCCACCTGCAGCCACCCCCGGCCCAGCTCTCCCTGACGGCCACCGCCTTTCCGTCTCACGCAGGAGAAGAGAGCCCTCTAATCACCATTATCAACCACTGCATATTATACAATGGAGGAAACCATCTGTCAGATCAACGGACAGCTCTTGCTCAGCCTTTCCCGACTTCAGGTAGCTGGATACTGTTGGACTGCATGCCCCACCATCCCAGGCGTGGTGAGGGATCCGGGGATCTGCTGTCCAGTGCCACCTGGGGATCCACCGGTGGGACAGGGTGGCCTTCTGGTCCAGTATCCTGCACCACTGTGGCCAAGGGGAGACCCCAGGCCTGAAGCGAGCTTGGCAGCCCCTCTCACACACGCTCCTTCCCGCTTTGCTTTCTCTGTGTCACGTGGCGTTTTCCGGCCTAAGACGTCACCCTCCCACCCACACCCAGATCAAGAGGTGGCTGCAGCCGAGATGCCACTCTTATCTGCTTTTTGCACAGGCAGCCTGGGAAGGCCGAGCGTCCCCACACTGAAGCACCCTGGATGCTTGTGACCATGGCTTACGACAACCCCACCCGTAACGGTTTAGAACTGGGGTGACGGGAGTCATTGTCCAAAACATCTGGAGGAGGAGGAACACTGTGGAAGGAGCAGGAAACTTTCAGATCACAGCCCAAGAGGCAGAGAGCTCACCATTTATCCATCCTTGGGTGAAGAGAGTTGCTTTAAGCACAAGCACCAGCAGCTGTAATTTTTTTTTTATAAATCCTGGTGATGAGCCACCGAAGGAAGCATTTCGACAAAATCATCTCTTAAGAAGACATCTAATGGGCAGAGTGTGAATGCTGCTGAGCAGCATCCAGTTGGGCTGCCTCCCTGCGCCCAACCCCAGGAGGCAAAAGCATGAGCAGGGTCATTCCACCAGCCTTGTTCAACGTCTACTTGACTTTTTCCTCTTCCCTCCCCATCCCTTCTTCCTTGCATGTTGTGTCCTTAACTTTTTTAGAAAGTAAGGTTGCCTGTGAGGACCATCTCTTGCCTATCGATGTTTACAGACTGCTATAAGAGCCTCTTCTGGCTAAGGAGCGAGACTGAAGTAATGCTTTAAATCAACCAATCACACATTCATCAGGGAGCCGAGATGTGAACTAGGAGCGCTCAGCAGCAAACCTGTGTAGAGTTCTAGCAGGCTGCAGCTCATCACCGCCTCTGTCTGTCCTCCGCACTCTACACTGCAGCCCTGTCTACGTCACAACAGGACGTATCACAACCAGCCAGCTTGCAAAAGCAAATGTTTCCAGATCGCACAGCGAAAAGGAAGTGTTAATCCAGTCTTGCACACAGCAGCCTCTCCCAACCCGGTGGCCTTCAGAGGCATTTGGACCACAACTCCCAGAATTCCCATCCACCAGGGCCACAGACTGGGAATTCTGGGTGTTGCAGTCCAAAGATGTCTGGAAGGCACAGGGTTAGGCAAGGCTGGCTGGGAGAGCATTCCTAGAGAGGGCCCAGGCTGGGTGCATTTGGAATGCCAAGAGGACGTTCTGGGCACCCACACAGAACGGCTGCCCTGCCCTGCCGTGAGGGCTAAACCATACATAAAATGGATGCGAGAGGGGCCATGGCTGATCTCCGTGCCCAGGAGGCAAATAAGTGAGGATTAAAGAAAAGGACTTGCCCAACTCCCTAAGTGGAAAGGGGTGCTGGGGCCCTACGTTCCAAAACCACTCGAGGTGGCGTGGGAGGACAGTGTCTCACTTTGCAGACGACCAGCTTTCTGGCGAAAACCCACCTTTAAAAGACGTGAACTGAAAATCAGGAGAGGCAGGAAGCCCACTTTTGCTGGACTGCTTGACTTCTCTACTGGACCATTCCTTCCCCGGCAGTCCACACGGAAACCAAGTGGAGGGACGGCCAGACAGGGCGTGACCTTCAGATGCCCCCTGCCTGCTCACCCACACAGAACACCTGCTCGCCTCTGGCCACCGAGACAATTGCTCAATACAAGACCCACTTAAGCCGGCCAGTGAAGCTTCTCTGCCTCAGCTCAGCAACCGCCTTACCTGAGGCCCTCCATAGACGAAGAGTACGGTGGGATGCTTCTTCCCTGGTTGGAGGTCATGAGGTTTGTATACCATCCCATACAACTCGACGTCCGACTGGGTGCGGAAATGAAAGATCTCGGGCGGGATGTAATCAGCAGGGCAGCCTGCAAAAGGCCAAGAGGGGAAAAGCCACTCTGGGGGCGGGGGGTATCGCACGTCACAGTGGCAGCCGATGAAAATGCCCATGAACAGCCTACCAAAAGCTAGGCAAAGCCCGTGTTCCACAGCCGTGCGACCCACACGGGTTGTGCAAGGGCACACAGGCGACAGGCCAGGAGGGCTGAAAGACCAGCCCCTCTATCCACCAACACTACAGCACCTCAAAAGTATCTGGAGAAAAACCACCATCCAGGGACTGGGGAAACAAGCTACGGCTTATGGGATCAGCTGACAAACAATCCCTGGGTAGGGCAATGCAGCATGGGTTAAATAAACCACGTTCCAATGCTACATGGGAGGCAGGCCCACATATAAACTGCGGGAGAGAGAGGAAGGACAGGGCTAAGGAGATATATCATGCATATTAATAACTTGGGCCAAGCCTACACTTAGACTGGCAAATCAACCTACTTTGGGAAAGATGAGTGCAAATTTTATTTGTTTGCTTTTGCTAGGATTTTTTCCCAGGAATTTGCAATTTGCTTCATATTCAGAATGGAAAGAACTTAAAAAATCCTGAAAGCAGGGGAGTGCCAAACAAATATTTTCATCTGTGCCTAATTTCCAGCCCAAGTCATTGGCTCTAAGTCCCTTCTTTTCCATTCTGTATTAAACAGTGTTGATTACTTTATAAATCCACGCATTTTCTTTTAAGTACTATTTTCCCCCCAGCAAGCTCTTCTCTCACAATAAAATGTATTTCAGTCAGGATTTGGGACAAGAAGCATGCCCAATTATCTGGAAACTGTGGAAGCTGCTAATTACCGTATTTTTCGCTCTATAAGACATGCCTGACCATAAGACGCACCTAGTTTTTAGAGGAGGAAAACAAGAAAAAAATATTCTGAATCAAATGGGCACATAATCACAAGCACATTCCCCATCACTTCCCCATGGGCTGCACATCTGACAGACTTACTGCACACACGTAAGACGCACAGACATTTCCCCTTACTTTTGAGGGGGAAAACAGTGCGTCTTATAGAGCAAAAAATACGGTAACTCAGTTATGGAATCTACAAAGCTGAGTTCATCAAGCTCCCTGTTTCAGCCCAACTGAAACCAATTTTAAACATGGAGAACTGCAATCATACACCCCCTAAGGACTTGTCTCACCTAAAACTGCGCTTGAGTAATGAAACGGCCTGGGGAAAATTAAAATTAAAAGGTCTGGAAGCAAAGAGAAACAGAGATCTACTCACTAGCTGCTTCCATCATGCTAGCCCAAAATTTGGGCTGCTTGTGGAGGGGGTCTTCCTCGGAGCCACTGAGCTTGTAAACATGGACGCAGGGAGGGGCGCTAACGCTGCTGTAGTGGCTGATGAACATGTCAAAGTTCTGCGAGAGAGAAAAGAAGGTGGACAGGGGTTGAAGTGCACAGCTCTGAGCCCCTGTGGCTCCCCAGCACTTTCTTGGGCCCTGCAGCATTTTTACCCCCCAACCAGCGTCAAACCGACCCCATGTCCCTGCCTGTACTAACTGGACTGGGAAGGCATCTTCGCCCTGCCAAGAAAAATAAAGCTCAAGTCCAAGCAAACCTCTCTGTGTATATTTCCTAAGGCTCTTCCCTGCCTTCCCTGTTTATCTTCTTCCCCTCAGTCAGGAGCCGGACAGCACCCCAGCTGTGGATTTCTGCTTTCCTTCGCTTTTTTGCTTACATCAAAGCGGGGAAGTGTGTGTGGCCTATGGGGCAAGCAGCCTTGGGGGGAGGGCATGCTCCTTCTAGGGGCAGGGCCAAATCCGAGCCTTGATTCTTCAGTCTACTCAGAGGCAAGTCTCAGCAGCTTTTCCAGCTACAAGCAAGTCCCTTCAAGTCAGGCCCTAGAAGCAGGCAGGGCTCAGCCACTCAGCAACACTTTTAGGTGGCACCCCCAATTCCAAATCTCAGGCGCCAATCAGCATCCTCTCCTTTCCAGCATGGAAAGGCTCCTGCCTCCAATCGGGGGAAGGCATCGTGCACAGTGAAACCCCACAGGAGGGAGATGCTGCCCAGGTCTGGCTTGCAGCAGTTCAGCAAAGCACCATGTACAGATATGGCCCCGTCCTATGTGAATGCACACCTAGAACGGGAGGAGTGCCACAGGTAACACCGTCCTCACAAAGATGCTTATCACTTTGGGATTAGAAAACCGGGATTCCAGCACCAGGCCTGTAGCTCAGTGGGAAAAACCCTGATGTTCTCACAGAAGGTGCTGGGTTCAGATCCTGGCACCTCCAGTAAACAAAGGAGGCGATGGGAAAGACGTGTCAGGACAGACAGCACTGGTGTAACAAGGGTTTCTATTGTGTTCTTCTGCTCCACTCCCAGCTGCAAAGGAGGATGAGGTTCTTCCCAAAACCGGACTGGGCTTTCCAGCTCAGTACTGAGGCAGCCATCCACACTTCTCTCATGATGCCCACCCGACCGTAGTGACTGCCACAGTGCGCATCACAGAGAGGAGCGTAACTGCCTTGCGCCACACAGAAAAACGCTCAGTCTCGTTTTTGCTCTCAATCCTGCAAAAGAGCGTGGCTCGCGTGTTTGAAAAAGGCGGGTTCTGCCTGGGCTGGACATTCTGGCTGCAGAATGCCGAGCGTTCAACCGGGAGAAGGGACAGACCTGGCTCATGGAGCAGCTGTGGGAAAAGCCCAGTGTGGTGAGCCGCACGACCTCCCCGGGAGACTCGTAGCTGACCACGTAGAGGTGGTGCTCCAGAGGGGTGTCCTTCGTGCCGTGGAAGTACACAAGCTTCGTTTCTTCGTTCACCCAAATCTGCAGCGGGGGCGGTGGGGAGCATGCACAACACAGGGGAACATCGCTTTAAGATCAGGCAGTGCACACCCCTGTAATGCCCACAGGTCTCCCCCCCCACCCCCCACCCCGTTCCTCAAATTTTTCTGCAATACCCGTCTTGAACATGCACGAGCTGGGGCGGTGCGCAGGATCCCAAGCACGGGGCCTTCAAGCTTGTTCAATCCTCCATCCCTAAAAAGGCCCAACATGAGGTTTTCCCCTTTCACAGCAGCTGTGGGGAGACTGGTATTCTCACAGAGCAGTGGAAAGCAGCGCCCAAAAGCTTCAGCCCTTAGGTTGGAAAATGCTCGGCACCCCCGGACTAGGAAGGCGAGTCAAAGCCGGCCTGGAAAAGGCGGGTCTGAGAAAAGGGCCTTTGTGCATGGCGAGTGGTGCTGTACGACCCCGGGGCAGGCATAAAGGACAGCGAGGGGAAATGCGGGTGCTCTCAGGAGCAGGAAACCCCGGACTGAGCTGCACAAGCGAAGGGCACCAAGGACGTGACCGGGGATAAGAGCCATGTGTTTGCAGGCAGGAAGCTGTGGGGAGCTCTGGAGGACGAGAAGTCTGTGCAGGACCCATGAGGGGACAGGAAGCCAGGGAGGGTTTTCAGGTGCGGGGCGGCACAGGTGTGGTGAGCCATTTGGCTAGCAGAGGGTCAGATGCTGAGAGAGGTATGAAGATGGGATGAGGGAGGTCCCACAGAGAGTGAGGATGCAGCAGTCAAGACGAGAGACGCCCAGAGCATGGACAAGACATGACTGCCAAAACAAGAGGGAGGAAGACCCGGGTACCTTGTATCCGTGCCGTGCCAGAACTTCCCAGTCTCCGCTTGTGAGGGCAACCTCCTCCTTGAGAGGGCATCTGAAGTCCCCTGAAAAGAGAGGAGGGAAGAAAGCAACACAGATCAAACACCAAAGATCACGAGCAGAATTAAAATCACAGCAGGCTGTGGAAGGTCAGGCTCAGACTGTATTTTTGGATTCTTCTAGTGCTCATTACAACTGGCTGGGATGGATTTCACCGCAGGTAAAAACAAAGCCAGGAGAAAATGCTGGAAGATGCAAGGCCTGACATGTATCAGTTGCAAATTCAGTCACCAGAGCTCCCTCTTGACTCTTTCTATATATTAATGATCTCATGTGCATCCACGGAGAACAAATGGAAATGTGTGAGCATGCCTGAGCATTCGTCGCTGCCACAGCGAAGACTGTGCAACCTGGAGAACTGAAACTTGGCGTGCAAACTAGGAATCGTTCAGGTGTGTGTTTCATAGACATTTGGATTTTTTAAAAAACATGTTAAACCAAAAAAAAAGTTAAGGTTGCCAATAAGCTTGAAGCCTTTCTGAGTCAACAGGAACAGGGCTGCATGGTAAATGCACTTTACTGAGCACTTCACACATGTCGGGCTGATGGGAAAGCATTCGAGGTATTCCTGGTCCCAAGCACATTTCCACTTCGAAGTTTTCCACAAAGGCTTTCATGTCCAGGAACAGCGGGATGGCTTGGGCTCTCACCTTTGCTGGGGACGTATGGCTGCGTCCAGTCATAGCTATTCCGCTGGAGGATGGCTGTAACCCGATACAGGTGGCAAAACCCCGTTTTGCATTCATTGACATGTAGGAAACACAGCTCCTCTTCTTCCCCCTCTGGGAGGTTGAAAGGGTAGAAGATGTCATGGACCTGTCCGGCAGAAGGGAGTGGTAAGTGTTACGGCAAAGAGCATGGCACGCTTGAGGGATGTGGTGGGAAGCCCCCCTCCACCCAAATTCCCAGCTCAGCCTCAGGAAAATTACTGCCAATCCCGAAGTTATTCCTGAACAGGGCCCAGTAGCTTTAACAGGTGCAAAATGGAACAGTGAGGTGCTGGCCCCTAGGAATAGAGCCCCTGATAAAGAAGGGCGAGAAGGTTATTGGGGCTCCAGGGGGGCTGCAGTGAACTTCACCGTGTCTGGAAACCAGTCATTTCTTGGAGCCATGCCAGGGATTTATATACCACTTCGTATTTATTTATTATACTTGTATCCCGCCTTGTTTCCTTCCAAGGAACACTAAGCAACTTCCATAATTCTCCTCCTCCTCTCCCACCTTACCCCAACAACAACAGGGGTCTGTGACTGGTCCAAAGACCCCCAGTTAGTTCCACAGCTGAAGTGGGGGAGGGGGATTTGAAGCTGCGGGATCCTCCTTAAAGGCTGGATCTTGGTAGTATAACTCTGGGAGGAGAAGAGGTAATTCTATGTATGTCGATTTCTTGCCAACAGATCACACTTATCTGGTGGCTGGTTTTCTAACTAGCCTTGCTTTTTTCATTACTGGCTTTTGCGAGATCCATCATTTGTGCTTGTAAGCTGGTCTGAATGGCTCACATTAATGTAATAAAAACTCTGAATTAAAACTCCAGTCTGGGTCTGCCCAGATGGAGGCAATAAACTGGGTGAGACGGACAACTACTTTGACTAGGCTGAAGTGCATCTACTGCATTCTGTCTAGTCCAGGCAGGGGTGAGGCAGAAGTCAGATTTTGGTAAACAGAGATGGTGGGGACTGAAGCTGAGACCTTCTGTGGACAGGCATGCGAATCCTCCAGAACAATCCTTCAAAAAATCACAAGCTCAGGGGGTCACCAGACATGCTAGTGGGGCTGCACTCCTTTGCGGCTGGGGCCCTTCTCCATCTGACCCACAACCCATCCCCTTACGTTGATCCACACGTCAGTGACTTCTTCATAGATAATGAAGGGGTGGACGTCTTCCGGCACGGCTTTGGCAAATTCTCGGCGCTGCTCCTCATTTTCCGGCACTGGGATGAAGAGGGCAGGAGGGAAAAGGACGAGCTGCAGTTTTTGCTGAGGTCTGTCTAGGAACATGGTCCAGGCGCTGGGCAAGGCAAGGAAGCAGGCAGGGAGCGAGAGAGAGAGAACAGGCAGATGAAAATCAGCACAGGGCGACTGAGATGGAGCCAAGATTCCTTACGTTGCAGGAGCATTGCTGCAGCTTCCGCCATGTCGAGAAGAGCCCTGCTGGATCAGGACGTGGTGAGACCATCTAGTCCAACCCCCTCGTGCCCAGAGAAGGCCCCGAGGAGGGTGCAGGGGTCAACTGGACCCTTCCCTCGCTGCTCTCTCCAGCTGCACCTACAGCGGGGCTCCCACTGAAAATACAACCATTGCAACTAGTAACTGCTGATTGCTTATTTCCTTTCTAAACTGCACTGGGGCCGAAAGCTCGCAGGGCAGTTTACGACAGCTCATGGGTTCTGATAAGGCGTTTCCTTCCAGAGTTTGGTTCAAGCATGGCACTGCTCACTTCAGTGGAACTTTGAGCTCCGTGGCAGTTCCATCTCCAGGGAAGGCTGGGAAAGACCCCACTCTGACTCCCTGGAGAGCCACAGGTGGTCCCCTGGTGCAGAGGAAGCTGAGCTGGGGTGACTGACGGTCTGACTCGGTATAAGAAAATTGCAAACTTGGTATAAGAAAGTTGGCACTTCTGCCAGACTCATAAGGACTAGAAACTTACTATGTTTTTCAAGGAAGGCCTGCAGTTCAGTGTCAGAGCAGAAGGTCCTAGTTTCAGTGCCCAGCATCAGAAACCCCAGACAGCCAGTACCAGCAACACGGGGCTGAATGGACCAAGGTTTTGGCTTGGTACAAGGCAGTGTTGGGTATTCCCCACCGCATCATAAAATCTACTTACTATTTACCATCCCGGGTCCACCCAGCCCGGGCAATGTACTCCACGCTTGGGAACATGGTAGCAAAGGGGTGCACCAGCTCCTTGTCCTGGGAACAGACAATCTAAACACAGAGAAGGGAAGGGGAAGATGTGTCAGTGAAGAGCAACAGTGGGTTGATTCGAGAATACTTACACCCTGCCTGGCTGAACAAAGCACCCCAGAGGAGCTCACAGAAACATCCGCACAATAACCACATGCCAGGAGAGAGGAGGGGCAGTGGGAGGGAGAGGAGACAATGACTGAACCAAGCACGGGGGCCCAGCATGGATCCAGCCACAGGGACAGAAACGGCAAGAGGCCTGTGCTGGATCAGGCCCAGGGCCATCTCACCCAGCACTCTGCTCACACAGTGGCCAAGCAGCCACCCGCAGGACAAGAGGGCGACGGCACCCTCCCACCCACGTTCCCCAGCGGCTGGTGCACTCTCAGGCATGCACAGTGCCATCTTGGGTGCACAGGGATCTGCAGCCAGAAGACAAATTCCTGTTAGCACATAGCATATTGCTGTATGTTACTGGTTTGTTTTTAATCAGCTGAGTTGATGTGAATCCGTTTGGTGACAGGGGGGAAATAAATTACTAAAATACATATTTAATCAATATTTTAATATGTTTCAATATTGAATTCTATTGTTGCATTTTATTAATTTGCAGCCAGCGTGGATGGTCAATTTATTTATGTTGTATGCCATCTAGAGACGCAAGTAATTGGATGGCATACAAATTTTATAAATAAATAAAATTTAAGGAACACATCCAATTGGCCAGTTAAAATAGCCTGTTTACCTTTCCCTGGCTGTCTGACTGAAACTCCGCTAGCTTTATGGAGATCTTGGGGTTCTTGCTACCTGAAAAAGAAGGAAAATGAGTGTGAAACATGGGTTCTTCCATTTTTCTTAACATGCTCCCACTCAGATCATCCTTCTGAAAAGAAAATACAGCATTACTAAAGCTCTTTGAACCCTTCATGGATCACTGCCTTGTCGTGGTGAAGGGGCTTGTGTAGCTCAATGAAGCTATGAGCTCTGCCGTGCAGGGGCACCCAAGACGGACAGGCCATAGCAGAGAGCTCAGATCCACTGGAGAAGGAAATGGCAACCCACTCCAGTACCCGTGCCATGAAAACCCCATGGGCAGTACCAAGAGGCAAAATGATACAACGCCAGAAGATGAGCCCCTCAGGTCGGGAGGTGTCCAATATGCTACTGGGGAACAGCAGAGGGCTAGTACTAGTAGCACCAGAAAGAATGAAGCGACTGGGTCAAAGCCGAAAGGATCAATAGATGGCAAAAGGAGGGGACGGCAGAGGATGAGGTGGCTGGATGGAGTCACTGAAGCAGTTGGCATGAGCTTGGGTGGACTCCAGGGGCTGGTGGAGGACAGGAAGGCCTGGAGGAATGTAGTCCATGGGGTCGCGATGCGTTGGACATGACTTCACAACTAACAACAAAGCTCTTTGAGAGTGACTACTTCCTACACTGTAAATAATTTGTTCTTCTTACTGACAGCTACAAGATTATCCCTAGCAAGGTTCTGGAAAATCAATACTTCCAACTTCCTGTGGGAGGTTTTTGATTCCAACATTTTACGCATCCATTCAAACTACAAAAAGAACAAATTATAGACCTTTTATGTGGGATGCCACCTTGTCGTTACTTTTGTAAACTACATAATGACTGCAAACTGCTACCACCTTTTGCACAAGTTTGCAAAATATGATAGATATGAACATTCGTTACAGAAAATTGTTTTTCCCCGTCTTTTCAGTTTTCTTAACTTAACATACTGTTGCTGCTTTTATAACAGGACACAGACACAGCATGGATATATGGAGCCACCTTTGCCCCTTAAGAACTCAAAATGGGATGAGAAACTTCTGTCCACCTGAGTACTGCATTCCATTCTGGAGTTCTTGGAGGGTGGGGCCCAAAATACACAAAACACCCCCTGTTTGAGCATCTGGCTCTGTGTCCTAGGAAGAGCATTACCACAGTTTGGAATGCCGGGGGGGGGGGGGGTTGGCACAAAAGCAGGGAAATTATCAAGGGTTCCACAACTGGGGGTCTGGGTCTTCTCCCCCTAATTTCCAGCAGACCAGTACAAAGGCTTCCAAATTTTAAACTTCTCTCTGTACAGAGTTTGAACCTGTCTGATTTTCAGGGACCTCCTGGCCTCAGGACCCATGGAAGTTGCAGCACAGAGTCTGGTCCTCACCTCTTAGAATTTGATTCCACATGACTCTTTTATAGAGACCTCCTTTGTGAACCACCCTGCCCCTGAGTGAAGGGGGAATTGACTGTTACCACACTTCATCTTTGGAACTCCATTCCTAAAGAGGTGCGACTGGCACTCTCGTTATTCTATTTCCAGCATCAAGGAAAGACTTTTTTATTTAGTACCTGCTTCTAGAATTATAGTCTCATATGCCTTTTGCTGCTGATTCTATTGTTTTCATTATTGTTCATATTAGCCTCCTGTTTCACACCTTGCATTAGCTGATTTTATGCTGTTTTAGACATTCTTTTATTACAGTTATGCTGTTGTTTCTGTAATTTTGTGAGCTGCCCAGAGAGCCCCTGGGCTATGGAGCAGTATGCAAATATAATAAAGAAAAAAGAAATAAAATAAAATAAAATAAAATAAAATAAAATAAAATAAAAAAGGAGAGGGCCAAATCCCTAAATTGAGGGCCAGACTGGACCCCTGCGCTTCCCACTTCCCCCTCAGAACCACATGCCTGGATCAAAAGGAAGGCCTCAACTCCACCCCACAGCTCCCCACTGACCAGTCCTGGGATAGCGGTACGAGTCCGTCTTCCGTTCCTCCAGGGCAGGGGAAGGGACATGAATGACCTCTACCTCTGACTCATCCACCTCCTCGTACAGGATCCGGAACGTTTTACAGCCTTCAGCACCTAGAATGAAGGAGGCAAGCTGAGAAATGCCGCTGTGGTTCAGCCAGGCTCTCCCGGGTGGCTACTTCAGCAGCCAACCTGTCACACAGGTAATTTTCTACCCGAGGCACACCTACAACATTTTAATGCAATGAGAGAACAATAGGCTTATATGGTGCACATGCCAGAAATCTCGCAATTGCTAAGGTAAAACAATTTAAAGCTCATCAATTTCCCAACCAGGAGCAGTAAGACTGGTAGGAAAAGCAATGCCAAAATAGGCAAGTTCTTAAGGATCATTTACTTGCATTCTTTATCTGATGAATTTTATCCTGCTTTTCCAGCAGTTACCATCTCCCAAAGCAGTTCACACGAATGAGAGAGAGAGAGAGAGGGAGGGAGGGAGGGAAAGATGGCCCTCCATCAAGCTTCCAAACAAAAATGGGACACTTGCACAAGGCCAGGGGGACAGAGATAAAAAGAAATGGAAAGAGATCAGTTTCTCAGACAAGGCCACGAGGTCTTCCAACAATGCTGCTTGACATGATGCATGATGAGGGAGTATCCGATGTTGGTTCTATGCAGAGTCGGACCACTAAAATGATTGAGACTCAAGTCACAAGTAACTTCACTTGAGGGGCAAACTCAAGAGTCCTGGGATTCCGGCTCCACTTCTTTCAGTAAGCCTACTCTAACAACTGAATAGCACTGCCTGTTTATTTCTTTGCAGCAGGGCCAAACACCATTTAGCTGGAAGGGAGGTCCTAAAAGTTTGTGTGTGGCAGGGGAATGCCAGTGCTTCTGTCCCTCTCCCTTGCCATGTCTGTATCTCCAACTTCTAGCTTATTTCTGCAAAACACCAGCTGCTCTCTGGGTTTTCAGTGGGAATTTCACTAAGCACCACCTGCAGATGCTGCGAACTAACCCTGTGACCTTCTGCAAGGGCTGTTCCACAAAGCTGCAAAGACAGATGAGCACCAGAAAGCTCCCCAGAAAAGAAAAAAAACACACACACTGTAAGCCGGGCCACCTGCCTTTGCCCCATGGGACTGGCATCTCCCACCTGCTGCTCCTCAAGCACCAGCTTCTTCAGCAGCCCAAGTTCCTAGCTCTCATTTACTCCATGGGTGGGGAGCTGGAGAACAGACACTTCAAGAGCTAGACCCAGCCTTCCGCAACTGGGTGTCCCCTTCCGCATGTACTAGACCGCCGCTTCTGCTGTTTTCAGGGCTAGCTGTGATCCCCCCACAGCCCAGACTCTGAACACTCACCTTCTTGGGATGCCGTGGGACACCACCAGTACCCTGTAAACCGGTCAAATTCTTCCTGAATGACAAACGTGGCCACACCTGCCGATTTGGGGTCCTCCAGCACGCTGGATAAGCCTGCAGAAAGGAGCATGGGAGGAGGGGACAATGAAATTTTGGACAGGGCTGCTTTATGCAAAGTCAGCTAGCTCACAATTGCAAGTAACTCCCTAGGGTTGCATGAGGAAGACCTTTCCCTACTCTATTTGAAGATGCTGCAAACGAAATCTATGACCTTCTGTATGCAACACAGGGGCCCTGCCACTAAGTTATGGCTTTTCCTCTAAACAGGTTAAGTCAGGTTCCAGGCCTCATGAGTGTGAATAAAGAGATGCTTTAAATAGGAACTCAGGAAGCGGCCCGAGACCAGTCTCTTCCTGTTCGCTTTTCCATACAGCAAAGGGCAGGCATGATTGAGGTGTTCACAAAGGAGCCACCCCACAAACTTGCAGGTGAGAGATTCAAGGCAGTTAAGAGGACAATCTTCTGCACAAAGCACGGAGCTGAGCTGCAGAACTTGCTATTACAAGTCACTGCAACAGCCACCGACTCAGCTCCAGAAGGGGAACTGGGCAAATCCACAGAAGAGGCCACCCGTGGCTACTAGTCCTGCTGGCCATACGTGACCTCCAGCATCGGAAGCAGTGTGCCGATGCACACCAGTCGGAGGGGGCACAGGGAGGGGGGAGGGGGCGGCTGCATTCCTGCCCTGCCTGTGGGCAGCTGGGCAGCAGCCGTGTGAATAGGAGGGCTGGATGGGTCGGAGTCGGGTCTGGTCCAGCAGAGCGTTCCCAACCTTCTTACTGGTCCAAACAGCTACCTTTCTGGCAGAATGTCAGCCGCCGCTCTTCTCCCGTCTCAATATTCGCCACCCACAGGTCATTGTTATTGATGAAGGAGAAGAATGACGGATCGGCAGGACAGATCTTGGGATCCATCCGGGGCCCCGAGCAATTCGTCTTGATCTCCAGAGGTTTCATGGGGGACACCTGTGGACGGAGGCGCGAATACTCACAATTTATGCATGGTGTGCACATATGTGGGAGGGAGAGAGAAAAAGGGAACAGAGGCTTAGCTTTTTTACCCAAAACATCAGAATCTCTAGGACAGGGATCATCCTGTAAAGCTGCCTGGGGGGCAGTTCAGGATAGACAAAGATGCCACCACATGGAACATCGCTCCACAAAGCAGTGGGCAGCCAAAAGATGCACCAAGGCCACCAATCTGACTGGCTTTAAGAAGGGATGCCCCCAAGGCACGCCAGGCGGAGGAGGGAAGCCCCCCCCCCCCCAAGTGGCAGGTGCTCACCATGAAGCCATTTTTGCCGCCGTCCCAACAGTGGAAGAGGCTGTTGCTGGCCTGGAAAAGGAAGAGGCCGCTCCCACGGTGGAAGTCATAGGACGTGATCCCGAAGACGCCCAGCCTCTTGCGCTCCCTCAGCAGCTCTTCCTCCCTGGAATACACCCCATGGTGAGGGGTGGCCTGCGGGAGAGAGCCAGCTTGGGTGAGGGACCCTCTGTCGCAGAGGTGTGGGGATCCTGTGTCCAGGAGCAGTGCTCAGCCTGGGCCCACAGGCTCCAAATCCACTTCCCTGAGCCTCAGATCCATTCACTGGAGCACTAAGCATCCATAAATGCCAAGAGAAGCCCCCACCCCATTTAATTGCAGAGCAGCTCCCCTCCCATATCCTGAAAAGCTCCTAGCCCACTTCAGCAGGGTAATTACATTTAGGAAAAAGTGTTTTCATTGGCCTTTTCTCCAACCTCAGATGGTGGCAACAAGGGGAAGGGCCACTTCAATGGTGCCCCCAGCCCCAGCTATGGAATGAGCTTCCCACTGAGGTGCACCTGGAACCCACCTTACTATCTTTCTGGCACCAGATTAAGATTATCTTCTACCACGGGGCATTTAATGTCCGGGATCTTGTTAGTCAGGTTCCAAGATTTATCTTGTTTAAGTTATTAGAACTGAATGTGTGCATTACGTTAGGTTTTAAATTTTGCAGGGCAACCTTTGACCATGTTTCATAATGTGGTATATTTCAGACTGTATTTGTAAACCACCCATGAGTGTCGGTTATTGGAAGGGACGAAAGTTAAAATAACAGCAACAACCATCTTAGCTGCCATGCAAATAGGGGATTTCTAATGAGATTCTCTCTTTTTAATTTTAAGAATCAACTAATTAATAATTGATTTTATAAAGATGTATAAAGACATGAATAAAGATTTTATAAAGACATGTATTACTAAATTTCGATCCCACCTTTTTCCCTCTTGCAAGGAACCCGAAGCAGCTTAGACGGCAGCCCTCTCTATTTTATTCTCACAACAGCCCTGTGAGGTGGGTTGAGAAGTGGAGACAGGCCCAAAATCACCCAGGGAGCTTCAGTGGCTGAGTGGCAGGGACTAAAGCCAGGACCCTGCAAGTCTGGCACCCGACAGCCCAAAAATGCCCCCACAACTGCTGTCTTGCAGCACAGAGATGTAAGAGTAAGGGAAAACCTGCACCACTTAGGCCAGCGATGGCCCAACCTTTTCTGGACCAATGGGCACACCTGGAATTTTGAGGATGCTGTGCGTGCTCTTCCACAATGGCAAGCTAAGGCAGGTGTGGCCAGCCACGAAACTGCCATTTCCTAGAACTCAAATAAGTGCTGCCTAAAGAGAAAAATCTGCTCAGAGCTTAAGTACAAGGCCAAGGTGGGGTGGGGTGAGTTCCAGAACACAAAACCAGACTGCTGAATCCACCATTTCTGATCCAACACCCATTTTACCAAAGGCTTGGAGAAACGGGTGATGCTTGGAGAAACACAAATGGATGCAGGCAAAACACCAATTTGCATCCCACACAAGTTTGTAACAGCCAGGGAAAACACCCCTCTTATTTTTGGACGATTCCCTTCCATCTGCTCAGCTGCCTGATTTTCTTTTTCTGGACAACACCCACCTTATTTTCCAATAATACCTTTGGGGGCTCACATGAGCTACAGAGGCATTCTTGGAAATAGAGATGGTACAAATGTCTGGCTCACACTTTGGACAGCCCTCACGTGGCACCCAGTTTAAACAAACAAATGCATTAAAGAAACACGAACAAAACCCTCTTCAAAAACAGGAGGTGTGCAGAGGTGAGTGGGTACCAAGATGGATGTACCCACTGCTCCTTGCAGGAGTTGCCCAATTTAGCCTGAAGGTGGAATGATTCCACTGCGCGTTGCAAGGCATACAATTCCCGACTCCAACGGCCTTCACCTGAAAGTGATCCAGCATCTGTTTCCACGACAACAACAGCATGGCTTCCTTCCGTACCTTTTTGGGGATCTCAGAGTAGAGAAGGGAGTTCTCCCTACTCCCATAGGGCATTCCTGTGGGAAATGGCAAGCAAAGGAGAAAAGGATGGAGCTTCCAGAGGACCAAGCTGTAGCCCTTAAATGCAATCTTCCAGCCATTTCTCCTCCCGTAAAGATTGAAACAATCAAACTGAAGTTCTGCAGGCCCTGTTAATCTGTTTACACATCTGTGATGACTTGACTGGCTCATCAAACTAACTGATGCTGCAAACCTTCTTAAAACCTCCTTAAAAAGAACTACCCAATTGCATTGATATAGCACAGGAAATTCAAGGACTAATTCAACTGCCTGGCTCCTGCCTGAAGGGTGTCCCCCACCCCGAGCCTGCCTCACCTAGGTAGTACAGCCGGTGTGAGTGAGGACTTGATTCTTCCAACTTGCGGACAAACTGGAAGTCATGCGGTGCCTTGTTGATGATCAACCCCGTGTACTTCCGGCTGCCGTGAATGATCTCACGCAGCCCCTCCCACGAATGCTTCTCCACCTGGAAGCGGGAAGTGGAGGTGTCCTCCATCTCCACCGCTTCAGCGCCGTCCGACAGGGCGTCCACCGCCGTCATCGCTGGCCTTCCTCCTGAACTGGTCAAGGAACTGGGGGTAAGAGAAGGCAGGGAATTTTGGCAGGGAAGGGGGTTGCAGGAAATAAGAAGCAATGGGTGCCGTCAGGTCTCTAGCCTTTAACAAAATGGTGAAGCTGCAGGTAGGTGCCTACATTTTAGTGCTTCCCACGTTATCTGGAGAACACCCTCATCATCCTGCCCGTAGGGACCCAGTGCATGAAAGCAAGAGCTCAGATGAGCTTCTGCTCACTTATACTGTTGTGCAACCGTTGGGAAAGGAGGACCTGCTCATGGAAACCCCTCGGCTGCAGCCCAAAGCAGCAGGAGGCGAAGCACACCAGTTCATAAACTACAAGTTGAGGGAAAGCTGCCTTTCCACTGGATCAGGACATGCCTGTCAATCTAGGGCTATGCCTCTGGCACTGACTGGCAGCGGTCCCTGGCCTTTCCCAGAGCTACCTGAAGATGCCAGGGACTGACCTTCTGCAGGCGAAACAAGTGTCCAACCCTTTCTTATAGAGATACCAATCCACATCTGAATAAACACCCCAGTCCATAAAGAAATCCATGTCTGGATGCGGAAATGCGAGTTACCATGTTGCCTGATCCAAGGCATTCTACAAAGCCATGACTTGGTCAACCATCCATAAAAAGAACCCATGGTTTGTTGCGGGACTGTGAACTGTGGGTTCCTCCTCATGGTTTGCTATCTCGGCTGAGTCAGGAAACATAAGGACCCACATTTCAACAATCCATATCCTACCCACACTTGAAGTATCCTTATCATGCTGCATGAACCCACTTACTGAGCCAGAGTGTAAGTCCGTTGACTTCTACGTTGTTCACAGCGGGGACGTGCAGTTTGTAGCACCTCCACTCATCTGGCCTACCCACTGTTCCTCACCACTGACTATGTTACTAGCTCTAGCCCAAAACAACCTCGATCCTCAGGTTGTCTTCTGGTCTACAGGGCTCAGCCATGCCTCTCCTGGGTTCTTTCTGAGTACTATTTGGACATATCGGGGGTTGAAATGGGGACCTTCCACATGCCAAGCAGGGGTGCTGTCAAAACGATGCACAACTCAGACTATTTCCACTGTTTCCCATCTATAAACAAGGAAGGCCACAGCTTAATAGTTACTGATTAACTAACCTTCTGTATGGGTGACAATAAAACATTCAAGATCACATGAAAACAATCCAATGATACTGAATAAAACCATAGTATAAAACAAAGAAAAACAGCAGCAGCAAAAAAAAAAAAAAAAAAACAGAACAAAAGAAAGAAAAAGAAATATGGTAAAGTGAAGCTAAGTAGATTAAAACATCTGAGAAAATCAAAAGTCCTTCAATTAACATTGGAAAAACTACAACACAGGTGTTAGGCAAGCCCTTCTGGGACTGCATGCCCCACAACCTAACTGGAAACCACAACAGCACCAACATGAGGGCAGTGCCAGGCTGTATGGGGAAGCTCCACCGCTTGCAAGAGCACAAAATCTAAACGTGGGCGAAGACCCAAGAAAGAGTGGCATGGCGACTCGGGCATTCTTGCAGAATGTTGAGAGCGGAAACTGGATGATGGAAGGGGTTCGGACAGAGTTCGGAATCCAGAAATGGAAGCGCTTGGATGGACGCACACACACACGCGCACACACAGAGCCCTTTAACAGATCACGGAAGCAACGGTTTCACTCAGAACAAGCACAAACAAATGTAAGGTTTTTTTATTGCAGCTCAAGCAGTACCTTTGGAAGGATCACCTCTTCAAAAGGAAATCCATGTCCTGAAAAAGTGTACCATACAATTCTCTTCCGAATCTCCAAAGCACCTGTCAAGAGTCTAGGGCCCTGGGACAGCCTTTTAGTACCAGTCTGAGGATTGAAAATTATATTCTTATGAAGTTGGGATTAAAAGGTAGGTGCCAGAAGTGGACTCTAAATGCCCCAACAGTGGCAAAGAGACTCAGAGTTTGAAATGATAAATACTAGCTCTCTCTCAATGGGCTGATACTTTTGCTGTTCTAGCTGCATTTGAAAACACATCCAAAGTCATTTAGATACAAAGAAAGATCGCATAGGATGTATTTGAAATAGAAATGTTGACTATTCCCCCCTTTTCTCTTTGCTAATAGTGTTCTGTGAAGTTATTACGAACAGATGCACTTTTCTTTTTGCATTAATTCCCCCCTTTCCTTTTTGTTTCTTATAATTGAAAATAATTTTTAAAAGGACCCATTTGAGAGATGTTCCTGAGTACTGCTCCTTTTTTCCTGAGTCTTGGAAGCCTCCTCAGGCCTGCTCTTCCTAGGGCGGCTCAGGGATGTCACTCCTCAGAGGCACAAATATATCTATGGGGGATTCTTGAACAACTCCACATTGATTCTTTAAAAAAATCAAAATTTACATACCAAAATGTGGGCCTTTCTGGCCAAGCATATGAGCTCCAGGATCTCTGGTCAGCTTCTGGAAATGAGGGAAGCTTGCATGCACATTGCACTAAAAAGACCGTATCAGAGCCAAAGCAGAGGACCTCTTTGGATAAAAACACCCCTCTACTCTATGAAATAATCGACAAGCAGTTCTTTTTAAGGCTGAGCTGGCCTATTCAGTCCAGTGTTACACCGACGCAGGAGGGGAATCCCTCAAGAGCAAAGGCCAGTCTCAGTACCCTGGGGGTTATCTAGTAGATCACACCCCCTTTATCCCAGTTGCTTGGGGGTTTCCTGGCTCATGTGCAGTTTTCCCCACATTGCAGAAGCTGCCTCTTCAACCTTCAGTCCACCACTGGAATGTGACTGGTGAAAGCTCTTTACAAATGAACTTCAGCCTCCAGGGAAGGAGAGCAACAGCCTGCTTGGGGCAGCCTTATCCACAGACAAATGGCAGACCACCTCCCTTCCCACCCTTTCCCAGTGGCCCTGCCGCAATGCCTGGATAGCTAGCTCAGCAGTGTGGGCTT